CTTTGCAACGATGTTGACCAATTTCGGGATGCGCAGAAAGTGGAGGCAAAACTACAACATCCAGCACGTCCTCAACGGTCTCCTCTTTAGAGCGGTTCCCAACGCAAGGTGCAACAGGCATAAGAGGAATGCTTGAAAATTCATCTTCCAATCCTGCAGTGGTCGCCGGCCTAGCTTTGGAAGAAGAAGCTTCCGGGTCCTCGGAGACGGGCTCATCGGGGAAAGCCTTGCGAGCCTTCTCTCGCTCATCCTTAATAATGGCAAGTCTCCTTTGCTTTGTTGACATTGTTTTCCAAAGAAAAGGTGGAATACTGTCGGGCTTGCTCGATCCTGAATACCTTCGGGCTTTCACACCCCCCGCATCGTAATGAGCACCTCCATCTTTGGGAACAAATTACGCCATTCATGTGCAACAAGTGCCGTTCGACCATTGGAAAAGAGAATTCACCATCCGGACATTTGATCTGACTTACTCTCAAAGGAGCAATAGGTTGATCATAGTCCTTCTCCATCAAATCTCGCAAAGGAACAACGAGAAATTCGTGACGCCAAAGAAAGTCAGGATGGATGGGATACCCCAGAAATATTCCAGCCCTGGAAGTAGGTTCAAACTTCAAAGGCTTGTTGGGTCGATTCCTCGGGCCAGTCCAAAAGTTGACTTGACAACCAAAGGGCAACTATGGTCCGGGAAAATCCTCTCCAAAACGTACCTTCCATGGTGAATGATAATCTGGGTGGTCCGTGATGTTATGCGCCATGCAATAGTGTTTGGCCGCATGTGGCCAATACGAATGATGCAAACCAGCTTGTTCCAGGTTGGTCCTCGTGCCCTCGATAATCGCCCTGACGTTCCTCTCAGCAATAGCATTAGTTTTGGAAATGTAGTTTGTACTTTGAACATGCTTCCATTCCAATTGATCCGCCGCTTTCACAAGTTCAGGAGCCCGATCACTGTAAAACACGTTCACGGTTTCCCCGGTGCGGACAAAGTGCTTGAATGCCATCACACATTGATGAGAGGTTTTCCGTGCTGCTGGGTAAACATAACGGAAATCAGTGGCAACATCTCGAACCACAAGTGCAACTCTAGATTGATCAATGCCGATTTCACGATCATCTGATGTGATAAGATGGTCCGCCGTAAGGTGATCACCAAACTTCTTGGCCTCGACTTGAGTGGAACCTCCCTTTTGTTTTGATGGATATTTGTACATCTTCGCCCTGTTACAAGTCTCGCAAAAGGGGTTCTTGGGAGTGTGACACATCAAGTGCTGGAGTGAGGTCGCCTCATCACGCAAAGCTGCTTCACCGCGTTCGCGAGGGGCGTCCTTCAAAATAGGCTTAGACACGAAATCGGAAGCGATGACCTTACACGCATCTTCGGAGGGAATGTCATGGCACTCTTCAATGACCTCACCTTCCGGTTGGCTAATGGTGTCCTCAAGCAAGAAATCATCGTTCCCCAATTCATCCCCATCATCCTCATTGGTCACAAGCACCTCTTCAACAGCTTCTGGTTCCTCGTCAATGACTAGAACTTCATCCTCAATTTCAATGGGAGCTGATGGTAATGATGTAACCTTTGGAATGCTCTGTGACAAAGCTGGAACAGCATTCTGAGTTGCTGGGGGAATGAATGGAACATTGTCTTTGACCTCGAGCTTGATACGTGTACCATCCGGAAGTCGGAAATAAGGTCTGCTGTGGGCTCTCCAAACGAAATCATATCCGTCCCTGAGGCATCTCATACCCACGGATAACACGGATGGAGCCTTGTCAAGAACATATGGCCGAACAACACTATCGGTCTGTTGGATCTTGACCCTGGCCTGCTTGGTACCGATAATATTCCCATTGGCTGTGGAAAATTTCAGAGGTTGAGACGATTCGTAAATACACCCCACCTCCGCATCGGTTCCCGACAGCAAATCCTGGGAAGCTCCTGTATCCGCGATCCACGGAATGTGAGAAGAATCCATTGTCATACGAGCAACAGCAGCTTTCCCCTTTTTGGGGGAGGTCTCGGGCTTCTCTGGCTCGGCCGTTAGGCCTGCGGGGATGCAGGAATCACAGCCGAAATCAGAGTCGCATTGAAATTTGCAAGGAGTCTTCGTGCCTTTGAGCAAATCCTTCATCATAGCTTCATGCATGGTGCCGATAAGAGTTGCGTCAGAGACAGCTCTCTCATCGAACTTCAGAACATAATCAACAGGAAACTCGTGTGCAAACCTTCTCGACGAGGCAGTGTAGGGCCAAAGCTCGCCGTCAGCCTCATAGTTCGAAATAGATGGGTAATCAGAGAATTGCACGCACTTCTTGATACATGGCACACTCTGGAAAACATCGTGAGTCACACTAGGCAGGCAAGGATGCGAGGCGACCGAGTCGAGGGTCGCGGCGCACACCATCGCCTGGAGGAGGCACCCCGCAGCATTGCTGCCTTTTGACGATCGCGGAGACTTGAGGGACTGAGAACCCTTCGAGTCTTTCGAAGGCTTGCTTCCCTTCTTCTTCTTCTTTTTCTCTCTCGGCGATGTCTTGGGGGTGTCTCCACTAGTGGTCTTCTCGGCCTTTGGGGCTGGAGCTGCCTTGGAAGTTGCGGGGTGCTGCCATGGGCAATCTTTCCCTCTCTCACATCTGTTCGCTTTGAAGAACTTGCACACCTGGGGCTTCGAACCAGGAGGACTCTGCGAACGATACTTCCTTGGCGTCTGGGATCTAGATCCGCCCTTCTTGCCTTTCCCCTTACCTTTCGGTGCCTTAACATGTTCGAATCGGCAGTCTGAACCATAGGTGCACTGGCCAGTTTGAAATTTCACACATACACCCTTGGGGATTCCAGGAACTGCAGGGTTGTTCGATGGAGTCCTGCCACGTCCAGTTGTGTTGCTTGACATAGCATCCCGCATGTGAACAAGCCTCTTACGCTCCAAATAATTCCTCGATGCGTCAATCAGGAATTTATAGGAGTGCTTTTCCGTCCCTTCCTCAGCCCGCTCATACTCATTGAGATCATGACTGAGAGGCCGAAACTTTCGAATCTGGCGGTGGAACAGCGCTTCAAGGGTCTTCTCATTCTGCTCATTGCCCATTCCAGCGATGACCGTGTCCCATCTTGTCATGAAGTTCTTGAGGTCCTCGTTGATGAGCTGGACAGAGAGCAAGTCCTCAAAGTCGTAAATTGCACCATGTTTGATGTTCGTGCTGAAGTGCTTGTGAACCATCAAAAGAATTTGGCGCCCCCTCGCGTAGCGTTTCTCCTTTGCTTCTTGTTCTTTGAAAATGTCGACTTGCCGCGCGAGGTCGCCCTCCAAGATATTCGTCAACGCCGATGCCAGCTTTGCATCAAGATGGACAAACATTCCTGAATCACGAAGGACTTCAACAGTTTGACCTGGGATCCAAGTTGCCTCAATCCACTCAAATGCCTTTTCGGGTTGGTCGGAAGTAGCAACAACAGCATCCCTAACTTTGATCCTCCAATTACGGTACTGTTCGGGCTTCGGGAATCGGGGAATCTGAATTCTGTCACCCTCCTTTACACGAACGCGTTCCGCTGTCGGATCGCTCGAATTACCTAAGTGCTTCAGTAGCTTTCGTCGAAAGGATTCATCCGATGCAGTAGAAGTTGATGACGAAGATGACGAGGGAGAAGATGATGGATCTCGTCGCCGGCGTCGGCTACGGTCCTTCTTCTTTTTCTTCTTCTTCTTCTTTTTCTTGTCCTTGTCATTTCCACCATCACCATCATCGCAAGGCCAACCGTCTCCGGTAGCAGCATCGTCCACGGCCCCGGCGGGAACGGATCCGTCTTTGCCGTAGGGGTCGCTCCCGACCTTCGTCCAACTGTGCGAGGAAGCATTCGAAAGTCCGGGTGGAGATGCAGCCAAAGGAACATAGCCAAGGGGGTAGCTGGTGCCTGCTGAACGGGAGGCGCAGGGGCTGGAGCAGGTTGAGCAGGCGGTTGCTGCTGATTTTGCATCATCTGCTCGACCATAGCCCTTAGCTCCCTGATCTGCTTCTCCTGCTCGCTGATCGTGTTCATGGCGTTTTGGTACTTCATCTCGGCTTCTCTTTCCGATTTCATGGTGTTCACACGCTGCTCCGCATTCATTTGAATCTCGCGTCTCATGGCCTCCGATTGGCTTTGAAGTCCGGCAATAATCTCACCATGCCTTGCCTCCGCCATCTGGGCGACCATGGGACCGGTGTCCTGATTCACGAACTGGTTGAATTGGGCATTGTTCTGGGTAGCGTTGATCTGCTGATAGTTCGTCACGTCCTGGTTGATCGTCATCGAAGGATCGAGGTGGACGTTTGCAACATGTTGGTTGAACTGATTCATGGACTGTGGCATAGGGTTTCCCCTTGCGAGATCGGTCTGGGGGTCGTACATGACGATGTCACCATGCCGATGCCGATCTGATCCAACAGGTGAAGGAGATCGAGCACCAGACCGCCCAGTCCTCCCACGGTCACTCCGAGATCGAAGTGATTCGGGGCCCTGACTGCTCAGTGCCTGTCCCTTCCTGATGAGCTCCCTGGCCACTTGGGAGTTTGCTCGACTAGTCGGTTCATATTGCGAGGCGTCTTCATCGCCTGCGGGCTCATCAGGTGTGGGACGCACCTCGGTATGGGGTAGTCCAGGGTCGCCATCCATGGCGTACAACTCTGTACAAAGAGCCGCTTACGGCTGATAACCTATAGAACAGGTTAAACAACCGGGAAGGGTCACAAATGAACCCTGTACTCAGCGCGCTTTTTCCTTGAGCCATACGCAGTCGTAATGATGAGACTGCGTAAGTGAGACATTCATGCATTGGGGTTTTACATGGTTGATAAATACATCACGTTACAAACTACAAAAAGGCTGGCTTGGTGCATTCCAGGCCTTTGCCGGCAAAATATGAAACCTCCACAATTTCCACAATTCAACAGCAACTGAGAATCTTGAGAACCCCCCCCCTCGCCACAGAAATGGGGGGGGATCTGAAAACGGCCTCCTTCTCCATCTGTTGCCGCTGCTTGGTCTCTTCGTTTCGGGTCGCTGCCACGCGGATGGTCTTCGCCTGCGTGGGTGGGTGCCGAGGTTCCGAGAAAAGGTTTGCAAGTGTAGAGCCAGAAAAACCTACCAACAGCCTACATGTCTACTCTTGGTATGGTAGCAAAAAAACTTTGTGCTTTGCAGACCCCCAGTAAAAATGAACAGAACCAAAAAACTAAAAAACTAAAAAACACGCCAAGAACAGTGAAGCCTAGCTTGGCGAATTGACCTACCCCATTTGGGATCAACTCCCAAAAGGAGCTTCCTCTCAGTCACCAAATCAAAGCTGAGCCCTTCATCTGCCGCGCGTGCGGGGTTTGGGTCGTTGATCAACCCCAGTCAACCGACAGGTCATCCGCGTGTGGCTGGACCCTCTTGAGGTCCGACGCGCATCTTGTCACGAAATGAGAAATGGCCGACTGGGGCAAAATCCAAATCGGTTAGCCCCAAGTGAACATCCGATTCAATCGTTCCACTAAAATAGGTCCCAAAATGGGTGGTGAATTCACCTGTCCCAAAAATGGGATCCCAAAACGGTTTTGACAACCACAGCCAAATGGGGAATGGGGCCACCCAGCAACATAGCTAAGACTCCTTGGGTATGCTTCGCTCAAAGTTTGGGTCACTTTGGCCGGCGCCATCGCAGTCTTGCGGATGCTCCTGACAGCCTTCTGCAGCCGAAAACTGCCTTTCCTGTTTGTGATTAAGGTGCCCCCCTCTTGGGTGTTCCTGTTTCTCGCCTGAGTGCCCAAACAAATCTCCCCAACCTTTAGTTTGCCACTAAAACCTGAGTGCCCAAACAAATCCCAATCCCAATTCTGTGCCCCTACGGTCCAAACCCCAAAAGCGACTAACAGAAACCCAGGGAGTTAAGCGAATCCAAAGCCACCTCTGCCCAACCACGTCGCGCCCCAAAGGTTGTGATCTGGTCCCCAAAGTCCAAAAAAAAAAACGTGAAACACATGCCATGGGCTTTTCAAAATCCAAATCGGTTCGCTTCCAGTGAACACCCGATCCAACCACTAACATAGGTTCTAACATGGGTGGTGAAGTCACCGAAAGCCCCAAAATGGTGCCGATGGTGGCATTGGTTTTGACGCATTGGTTTTGACCCGCAGCCATATTTCAAGCTGCAGCGTGACACTTTGGCTTGCTTGACGTTGGAAGGGGAGCAGCAAATCTCTAATTTTAGCAGTTAAGTGGTTGGATTTCCACCACTAAACCACAAAGAAGCAAAATGTTCAAAACAAAAACAAAAACATGTTTCCCAACGACAACCATGTGTTAGCCACTTGGGTTACAACCCCCGAACAAGGTGAACCTCACTGAAGGGGAGGCTTGCAAGTGGCTTAGAGCCAGAACTTCCGAACTTGAGCCCCAGGCCCGCTTGGCGTACTGCAGGGTGTGCCAGGTCTCCTCCGAGTTCCCCTCCGATGGGCCTCAGCACAGCGGCCAAGTTGGCGTTCGGAAGGAACCGCTGAGCAAGAAGCGAGAGGTTGCTGTTGACCTGTCTGCAAGAAGTTGTTTTAAACGTTTTGTGGGTTTAGTGGAAAACCCCTTGGTTTCAATTTACACCCTGGGGTGACAGTGTTTGTTGTTTAGAGGGGCTAGCTTCCATCTGGGTTGGTTCCTCTCCCTTTGAAGCAATCCAAACCTTGGCCGAAGGGCCCAGAAAAATCGGGCTAACCTTGTGGGGTCTCTAAAAATAGGAACCCAACCCCAACGGGGGTCCCCAAATCCCCTGCTAAAAGCTCAACATTTAGTTGGTCATAACAAGCTAGAAACCTTATGAGAAGCCGGATGGCTGCGAACAAGAGAACACGGATACTTCTCAAAATGAAGGCACCCAACGGGTGGACGATTTCCTTTCAGTGTCCCTTCCTAACCATCTAAAAACAGGTTCCCTATTTTGAGACAGACCCAAATTAGGTTGCAGTTGACCCCTCTACAAAACGTTTCTCACTTTTTGTGGGTCCAATTCGGAACATCTGAGCCTAACAGTTCAAGTCCAAAGATCCTGGGTCCTCCAGTAGAGAGGATAGAATTACTGGGAGACCTATCCGTTACCAAATAGCCACAATACAAACCCTTGGCTTCCCCAAAGCCAAACCACGGCCTCACGGGATTTGCCCCGCACTGTAGACCCCGGCAGGTGGTCGCAATCATGGTGCAGAAGGCATTGCCGCCCAAGCTCTCCTGACAAGCGGGTGCGGAATTGGGTTCTTTGCTTGTTTGTTTGTTTGTTTGTTTGTTTTTTGATTGATTGCGTGCTTGTTTGTTTGTTTGCTTGTGCGTTAGCTTGTCAGTTTTTCTGTTCTTTTCTTTTTTGGGGGATCAAGGAAAACCAAACGGGAAACCAACCATTTTGTTACACTATTTTGAGACACAGCCATATCCACTAAAAACCAAAGGCGACAGCAAGTGGAAGCCCCTAGCTAGGGCAAATGCCTCCAGTCCCCGCGAAAATCCCTCAACGGGGCTCTCAAACCCCTGCAAAAGAACGGGCCCTGTTTGCCTCCCTGGCAAGAAGCTTTGGTAGCCTATATCCAACCCCCCTGAGAATGGCTTCGTGCTTGGCTCTTCCGTATGTCTGGGATCCATCGAAAAGGATTAGGAGCATAGGTACCCTTTTTGGAAAATAGATGGCCCTAGCTGGTATGTGGAAAAAAACCATCTAAACCAGCGCCGTCTATTTCTAATCAAGCTAACCTAAAACGGACGCCTATGCTCCCCAACTTGTTCGTTACCAGGTAGCTGGCGGCCAAACCCAAAAAGATCGACGAACGTCCGTGAACTCAGGGAGCGAGAAGGAGAATGAGCTTCCGGGCTCTGGCGATGAACCGTTTTGGCTTCTCCCCTTAAAGGGCACCAAATCGGGATGGATGGCGGTTTCTTGGGAGAAACCGCCACCCCAGGCCTGTCTTCCATTTACTCAAGCCACCTGAAAAAAAAGTCCAGTAGTCACAGATTCCCTTTAAAACCAACCAGGAAACACACAAAAATAAACAAGCAAATGGAAGCTGTGTCTAAGTCTTCAACCACGGGCACCGCGCGCGTCCCAAAGTCCTGCAGCACCCGTGTGAGCTTCGAGTCCCGGTAGGGCACGAAGGCCCTGCGCCTGGCTTTGGCGCAGGAATCCGAGAGAGGAACTTGCGGTGAAGTCACTGCACAAAACGGGTCGAGATTTAATTTGGTTTTTGTTTGTTTGTTTTTTTTTTGAAAAAAACGAAACAAAATCATTTTAAACAATGGCGCTCCCTTCACAACCCTTGGCATGGTTGCACAAGACACAAATCTCAGATGCCCAGTGGGTGTGGGAAGAAAAGGCCATCCCTTTTTGGTTAGTTGACTTTAAAGGGGGGCCTTTCCCCAAAAAAGTAACAAGGGCACCACTGGGCAACTGGGAATCGACCGATTTTTGCAGCCTAAAAATGAAGAAAACCAAACTGTGTGGATAGTTGCGAAGTCCATTTTGCACTACCGGATTCCCCAACAGTAAATACCAACAAACGTTGCGGTTTCAGCCATGGTTTGGCGCGAAATGGATTTCGTCCATCCACAGTATGTGCCTGCCTGGACCCTCAAACTGCCCAAGAAAATGCCTCATGTCTTTTGGGGTGATGTCCCTCTTTTATGTGTAGTTTGAGGATCCAGGTGAACAAACAGCAAATGGGCGTGTATTTTGTGGGGGCTTACCCTTTTTCGCCAATGTTAAAGGAAAACCAAAAGGAAAACCACAATTTTAGGATGTCCTTCCTAAAAAACCCTCACTTCTTTCACTTTTCGAGATGGTCATGACTTGCCCTCCCCCGGTACTCAAAGCAGACCAGCTACCAACATTTCAAACATGGGATTGTCGCCATTGGGTTTCCCATGGGGAAGGCTTGGCCAAAGTAGCTTATCAGCTTATCCTTTCCTCAGGTCCCAAAACACACTTCTGCTTGCATGGTAAGTCTGTGAGCAAAGCTGTGGTCAGTGCCCAACTGTTTTTATGTCAGCTTCAGATGAACTTGGGCTGCATTTAAAGGAATGCCCTCCAATGAATCAACGCCCGCAGCGAGAACCACCTAAAATCACGCAACTGATCTGTGGCTTGTGGCCTAGGTTGGAGGCAAGCCTTGGTCTGAGACCCAGCTTTTTCTGGCAACCACCAAAAGGGGTGCGCTTAGATCTACTTCCTGACTTTGTTCCAGATTTTCGCTTACCCACAGATACACCATGCCCCATGAGAAACAAATCGGAGTCTGAAGCGAGCGCGCGCCCGCCCGCCTCGAGGAGGACGCGGAGCTCAAGGCGTTGATCACATTGCCCAAGGCCTCGGGCGGCCGACGACTCAGCGAGCCTCGCTAAGGGTGCCGTGTCCAGGTCCTCCAGATTTGAGAGGGTAGAACAAGTTGGCAACTTTTTTGGGAAGACGTCTATGTTAGCAGGGGAGCCCAAAACCCCAAAAAAGAAACGGTAAAAGGGCACTACTGGGGGAGCTAGGTAATGTTGAGGTCGACATGAACCAAAAAAACACACTTTCTTTCACCCTTATTTGGGCGCAAGGGGGGGCCTTCAGTTGTAAATCCCCCATGCTTTGGTTTGCGCATGGCCGGGGATGGCCCAGCTGAGTGCCATTGCAACTCGTCTCTCTCTCTCTCTCTCTCTTATTTGTTTTCTCTCTCTCTCTCTCTCGCTCTCTCTCTCTCCGGTCCATCCCACCCGCACATTGGCGATGCACGGCAAAGCTGGATTCACCTTCCTCCATTTGCTTAAGTCCGCTGGCAAGAAAAAACAATCCAATAGTGATGAATTGTCTTTGAACCAAACAAAGGAAAGATATTCTTAAGCACATGGGAGCCTTTACATTTTGGTGAGAGAGTGTAGGTGGCACAATTCCCAAATCTTTGGTTTCGTCATCCCATTTGCTTGGGTGCTCAGACAGAGATCTGATCCGGCTTTAGCCAAGCGCCTCCAATTCCTGCAACAAGCGTGCAACCATCCTCCCCTTTACTTACCTTGCACACATCAAAGAAATTGCTCAATCTACTTTCAACTTGGCGTAACACAAACCCGCCCACTTGTGATCCAATTGCAGCCAGGCGTCACTCAAAGACTTGTTGATGTTCGCGCCTTCCTGAGGCTTAAGCAGCGTGCACTGGATCCAAACTCGGGTTGCGAACGCTAAATCTCACGAAAAGCGGCGTTTTTGTTGATCCGCAGTCACCCCGAAATTATTTGGATGCATGGACACCTCCCATTTGCTCAAATAGATGGCCCCTCATATGTCCGTCCCCAGCCAGTTATCGATCTGACTCGCGGCATTCAGATTTCCACACCCTCATCGTGGGCTACATCTGGGTTGCAAGTGGACGGCACCATCCTTCAGTTTGTTTACATCATCCTCCACTTGCCCAACAAATGACAACTGCGCCATCTACTTGTCCTGATGTACATTGCTTGGCAACCCAAAAAAAAACCTGGCCCCCTGCATTTGGGCGTATTCTAGAAATGGCTCAGCTTTGTATTGCCATTCCCTTTTGGTATTCTAACTGGTTTCCCAAGCGGAAGCCCTTAAAAAGGAAAAACAAAAAAGCAGAGTTCGGTTACGGGGCTCCTTAGATGTCCAGCTCAACAGCTGCAACTTACAGGTGGGTTCCGGTGAAAGCTTGGTTGACGTTGGGTTTGGGGAGCAAAAAATTAAATTTTAGCAGCTAAGTGGGGATTTCAACGACTAAGCCACAATAAGCAAACATGTAAAAATGTTTCCCAACAACAACCATGAAAGGATCGCCACTTTGGCAGTTTCAAAGGAGAAATGGCTCGGAACCCCTTTCTGCACCACCTAAACACCCTGCCGGGTGTTAAAGCCAGAGCCACATGAGTCATAATCAGAACCAGGTCTCAAAAACAGCCATGTCAAGAACTTTAAAAAAAAAGCGGATTCTTCCGCATTTCCATCTATAGCTGCTTGCTTGTCTCGCGGATCTCTCCGTGCCCCAAACGGGACGACCACAAAAACCCGCGGAAACCGCGGCTCGCTCGCGCCGCTCGCGCCGCCCGCTCGCGGGTTGCGCCTGCCTTGAGCTGCTTCCGCACCTCCGAATCGTTGCGCTCGGAGCCCGCCAGGTCCACCAGGTTCAACTTGGAGATGGTGTTCCTGGCACACCGCTGCGCGCGGCAGTTGGCGCGCGGCCGTTGAGCGGTTTTCACTTACCTTCCCTTCTAACGTAGCACCTCACAGAAGGTTCCTTCAAGAGGAAACTGATCTTCTGGGTACCTTCCTGGCGCCAACCCGCGGCCACCCAGTACTGAGTTGGGTCGAACCAACGCCATTGGCGCGCGGCCGCAGTGGAGCGGTTTTCAGCGAAGAACCCCCCACCCGATTGGGATTTGAACCCCGGTACTTTTCCACCTGGGAAGTGCCCCTGAAACCAAATGGGGGGGTTTGGTCAAACCAAAGCCACCAAGTAGTGGAAAGCTGAGGTTGAACGGTCCCCGAAAAAGAAACAAAACACGCGTGTTGGCTGTCCGGTTCGTCTCTCAGCAACCCAAGCAGTGGGTGTTTCCTTGTTGCATGTCCTATTGGTTTCCGTTGGGCTTCACTTTCACACCACAGACATTCCAAAATTGTGGGTTTGCCTTTTGGTTTCCTGATTCGGTTGCCTTTTTTTTTCCGCCCATTGCCGCCTGCTTGGCCAGCAGGCAAGCAGGGAGTTTTTGGGATTATGCTGGTTTCCCGTAGGTTTCCCTTTAAACACCAACAAGCGGATCACCAATTGGAGAAACACCCATATCTTGCTGGTTCAGCAATGGAACCAACCCCAAAAGGATACCCTCAAAACAAAGCCCCCGCCCCCCAAATCTCAATATACATACATACAAAGCGTTCCCCTGAAACCACCCAAAAACCTGAACCCTCACGGCCAAAATGAGCCACCCTTCTTTTGACCGCTTGCGCCTGGCTTTTTTGCAACGCACCGGTTCCGCCCATCTTGGGCGGAACGAAGCTCTTCCTACGCGCGGCCTTTGGCCAGGCTAAGCCGCTGGGTCCGCATGGCGCCGTTGCGGAACAAGGTGTGACTCGGGGCCTGGCTCAGCATCCCCGGCTTCTCCTGGCGACCATAACAGCGGCCTTTCGGACTTGGCGACGAAAACTTAAACCCTGAAAAAAATGCACACCGAGTCGGCTTTGGGCCATTTTGTGTGCATTTCTTCCAAGCTGTATGAAAGTGGACAATGGAGTTCGGCACTGAAACAAGAGTTGAACCAAATGAAACCAGCGGGACCCAGCGTGTCCAACCTGAAAATCGGGGGCCCTCAGATTTCCCAGCTGATTCCCACGTGAATTCATGGTTCGCCCACTTGAGCCGAGAATTCGTAGTCGGGAAATGGGCCCAGCCATTTTCCCGCTTCATGGCATTTGGTGAATTCTGACTCTCGTCACCTGAACTTTTTTGACGCATGAAACTTCTGTCACCCTCTTTAGGTAGGCGGGTCACCGGTGGCCTCCGTAGTGGCCCTAAACCAAAACGAGCAGTGACGGCCTTACGACCCACCGGCAAGTTCTAAGGGCTGTCAAATGGTAGCCTAGAAACCTTCCGTTCAATTGGTTTGGAGATGTTTGGAGCCAAATCGGGCTTGGTGGTTGGGTGTGGCTTCCCATTCACCCTCTACAAGAACCAGGGGCCCGTTCAAATCCAAATCCAAACCAATCCAAACCAACCAAGTAAGGGTCACCAAACTAAGTGCACTTATTCGGCTTCAGATTGGGGGGGCGGGGGCAACCGGTGTGTTAGAATCACGTCCCGAACCTTGGATTAACGTAGCAAGTGCGTTGCTTTCTGCAGTGTTGTGGCTTTAGAAGGAAACCAAGAGGAAAACCACTTTCTTTCTTTCTTTCCTCTGTTTTTTTTGGGAGGGGGGGGGACGGAGCAGGGCCTGATGTTTTAAAAAGACGCCCCATATGGAGGGAAGGGCTCATTTGTCGCAGCCTTAAAGCTCAAACAAGGTGCTATATGGCCTCCATATGCACTGCCTGGATCCCAAGCAAGTCCAAACTGTCTTCATTTCGCCTCTATGGTCCTCTTCCAAGTGGCTAATGTCTGAAACGGAACTCAGCCAGCGGCCATGGTTCAAACAAATGTTGGAACCCACCCTGTCATCCCCATCTACTCGCCTGATGCCCTCTCCCAGGGTCACATGAAATGATTTTCCCTTCAAAGGAATGCCTTCGAAACGAGAAAGCCACTTTTGGAGGCTCCCGGAAAACGGGTCAAACACAAATCCCATCTCCCTTTGTAGAATCCTCCCTGTCATCGTTCTTGTGCCGATTTTAAACAGGGCTGTGGGAAACGACCACTTCCGTGATACAACAAAAAGGGCTTCCCAAAGACTAACCCCCCATATAAAAGAGGGAATTCAGAAAAGTATCACAGAAGTGGTTGGATAAACCCCGAGTGATCCAACACAATCCTGGTTTTTAACTTCCATTTGGTTAAGGCCCCAGGAAAAAAAACACTAAAAAGTATTTCCAGTCGTGATGAAGTCCTTTTAAGACCAGCAAGAGTTTTTTGAAACCACAAACATGTTCTTAAGCAAATGGAAGATCAGGTTCCTATTCAAATGATCCCTGGGCTGCCCTGCTAAAAGTTTAACTTTTAGTGGGTTAAATATGGACATCCAACCACTCAACGCAAAAAAAAGAAAGAAGAAGCTAAAAAGCTGAAAGGCTACGCAATCGGATGGCTGGGCTTGCCGCGTAAAGGTCGTCTCCTCGGAGGATGGGTGGTAAGCCCTGGGCGGGGTGCCCAGCAGCATCTCCAGCATCAGACTTCGCCGGTCCAGGGCTTCCAACTGGTCCTGACACCAAAAATGCACATCACCAGCCTTGGTAACACTCGGTTGCTTTCTGCTCCCCTGCTAAAAGTTTAACTTTTAGTGGTTTAGTGGAAAACCCATTAGTTGGCAACAAGTTATAAAGTCCTAACAGCCAAGCAAAATGCACCAAAGGGTATGTGTGTGTGTCTTTGTGTCAAAACAAAAGTACCCCAATAAAAGCCCCCCAATCCCAATGGGGCGAATAGCGACGAATACTGCGGATAGTTGCGAAATCCATTTCGCACCACTGTGAAACCATGGTTGAAACCATTGTTTGTTGGCATTTGCAGGGCAATCATCATTCCAGGGATTCTCAGGTGCTGCAGGATTTCGGCCATCCACAGTATGGTTGCAAAGTGTGTGTGTGTGTCAAAAAACGGTACCCAAAACAGATCCCGGGCAAATGGAACCATGGACTAAAACCTGCGGTCCGATTCCTGGCAAAAAAATAAATGTTTCCCAACGACAACCATGATATGGTTGCAAAGTGTTTTTAGTTTCATGTTTGTAGGTAAGCTGTAAGCTGGCCCCGGCCAAAGGATCTTCCTGAACAAAAACGGCTGGGAACTGCCAAGTAAAGATATTAAACCCCCAGTGTTGGCTGGGTTGCACAGCTTCTTTCATTGTTGCAGCCCCCTACTTAAATGAACAGGACCGGAGAAACAAAACAACAACAACATGTAGTTCACAGCCATCGCTCTGACATGGCTGCGGGTCAAAAAAAAGTACCTCTTTGGGGAAGCCTGGTAGATGGACACACGGACCGATAAAACCGGCAGTCGCCTGGTGCTTGAATTTTAGCCCATCCCCCCCCCCCCCGCCTACCCAACATGTAGTTCACGCCCATCCCCCTGACACCCTGAGAAAAAAGAGAAAGGAAAAAACAAAAACTGAAAAACCTCCAATGGGAAGCTCTCAGAACCCCCCCTTCCCCCTTTCCAGGCCCGCCGGCCCGCGCGCCTCGTGTGAGAACCACCCTGCGGGCTTCTTGCCCTGAAGCTCGGCGCCGTAGTCGAAGCGCCCGAAGAGCTCCAGGGCGCGGAAGGAGGCCAAGGCCTCCAGGAGCACCGCCTCCAGCTCCTGTCCGAAAGAACCCGCCGGATCTTTTTCCGAGTCGGCGACATCTGCCAAGCCCTGCTGAAAGTCACTCACTGGTGGTTTACTTTCAAGTGGGGTACCGGATCCCCCCCCAACAAAACAAACAAACAAGCAGGTAACAAGCATGAAAAAAAACAAGAAAAACGATCTCAGGCGGAACTGTAAAAAGGGAAAAGCCAAACTCGGTTGCGACATCTGAAAAGCCCTGCTGAAAGTCACTCACTGGTGGTTTGCTTTCAAGTGGGTACCAAATCCAAAAAAAATAAAGAAAAACAACAAAACAAGCAGGTAACAAGCATGACCAAAAACCACGATCTCAGGGCGGAACTGTAAAAAGGGAAAAGCCAAACTCGGTTGCGACATCTGCGAAGCCCTGCTAAAAGTCACTCACTAGTGGTTTACTTTCAAGTGGGGTACCAGATCCCCCCCAACAAAACAAACAAACAAGCAGGTAACAAGCATGAAAAAAAAAAACGATCTCAGGCGGAACTGTAAAAAGGGAAAAGCCAAACTCGGTTGCGACATCTGCGAAGCCCTGCTGAAAGTCACTCACTGGTGGTTTGCTTTCAAGTGGGTACCAAATCCAAAAATAAATACAGAAAAACAACAAAACAAGCAGGTAACAAGCATGACTAAAAACCACGATCTCAGGGCGGAACTGTAAAAAGGGAAAAGCCAAACTCGGTTGCGACATCTGCGAAGCCCTGCTAAAAGTCACTCACTTGTGGTTTGCTTTCAAGTGGGGTACCAAATCCAAAAAAAAAAGAAAGAACAACAACAAAACAAGCAGGTGACAAGCATGACCAAAAACCACGATCTCAGGGCGGAACTGTAAAAAGGGAAAAGCTAAACTCGGTTGCGACATCTGCGAAGCCCTGCTAAAAGTCACTCACTGGTGGTTTGCTTTCAAGTGGGGTACCAAATCCAAAAAACAATAAAGAAAAGGGTACCAAATCCAAAAAAATATAAAGAAAAACAACAAAACAAGCAGGTAACAAGCATGACCAAAAACCACGACCTCAGGGCGGAACTGTAAAAAGGGAAAAGCCAAACTCGGTTGCGACATCTGCGAAGCACTGCTAAAAGTCACTCACTTTTAGTGGTTTGATGCGGAAAACCCATTGGAAAAAAGTTAAGGTCCTGACATCTCCCCACCCCACCCACTTGTTGTTCAACCTCCCCCCCAAGAACAACAACCCCCCCACCTTCTATGGAAGGTGGTATGCCGAAACCGGCCACTCTTCAAGTGATCCTTTAAAGTGGACGCCAAGGTGGGGAGTCAGGTTCACCAAACCTGGGCCCTCAGACCCCTCGCTAAAAGTGACTAACTTTTAGTGGGTTGAAAGGAAACAAAGCTAAAAGGCGAAGCGCATGGCTGAGAGCCACCAAACTTGGTGGACGCCCCAAATGAGTAAGCTACAAAGCAACTACTCCGTAGTTGCAGTGACCTCATGGGTACCTACTAGCGAGCTACTAGCAAATGCACGTGCGCTCGAACCAATAACTTCCAATTTCGCAGTGGGGATCCTTTGGTGGACGCCAGCTGGGGGAGTAAGGTGGTTCACCAAACCCATTGAACAGGTTGATTCAACGCACATGGCGATGACACAATGTATAGCCTTTGCCCACTGGCCCAAGTTTCTCAAGGGCACTTCCCACGGCAAAAGCCCCCCCTTCCGAAATACAAATAGGGGCAACTTTGGGGCCACGCAAAAAAAAAGAGGAGAAAACAAAGGGAACAACAACTTGTGTTCTACTATCCCCCGGAAGAACAAAAGCTTACACGAGGGAACATGGGACGAGACCTGGCAGAAGTGCTTCCCTGCAGACATCCCATGAGCCCCCAAGACCTCCAGTCGCCAAGGAGGTCCAAACGCAACACCTTTGTTGGCACTTTACCCTCTCCTAAAACAAACTCCCCTCCCCCCCGCGCCCCCCCAAAAAGAAGAAGAAGAAGAAACGCTCCACCTTTGTGGTAGTTGACCCCGCCCCCTTCCTATTTAACAAAAAAAAACACATGGATCGCCAGTTGCTGCTTTTTTCTTCTTCATGCACTTTCCCCCAAAAACCAGCAGCAGTGACTGAAAATAAGAAGCCACTTGGCCATCTAGGTCCACTACAATAAAAATTTCCCCCTTCCCCCAGCCACTCCTTCCGTCCGCTGTCGGCGTCCCTCACCAGAGCCAGACAGCCCGGCATGGGGCACTCTATCAGCGCCAGCTTCAGCGCCTTGAACGCCACGTGCCGCCGCCGCAGGCCCCACAGCAGCGACAGCCACAGCACCTGGTTTGAGGCGAGCAGGCGAAAACGGGAGGTCCGAGCTGGGTCTTTTGTTTTCAAAATGCGGCCCCTTCAGGAGTGACCTGACTCCTAGCAATGCCGCCGGCCTTCTGGGTGGCCGAACAAAAGAGAGAAAAAAAGGTGCGACAAAGGCAATTTGCCGAACTTCTCTTGGGGGGCTCGAATGGTTTACTTAGCTAACATGGAATACTTCCATGCACTGTAACAGCTTCCATGGTCTGTGGAAGTGTAGCCGCTCCCGGCCTCACAAAGGTTCTGACCTTCTTGATGCACCTCCTCGGAGAGGCTGGAGGCCATGTAAAGCACCGCTTCCACAGCCTCCACCGAGAGAGACGGCACCACATGGGGCAACTCTGGCGAGTCCAACCTCATCAGCACAGGGCAGTGCCTCAGGGCCGGGGCTCTGTGCTTTTTTTTTTCTTCCCCCGGAACTTTTCAGGTTGGTTCAAGGGGAAACCAAAAGGAAAACCCATCTGCTTGCTCGTTGTTGTTGTTGCTTTTCTTTTGGGGGGGGGATTGGGGGGTCCCCCCCATTGTGGCACATATCCTAATGTGCTTCTAGCTTTCTTGAACAACATGAAGCTTGGCTGTTGGGGCCATGGGTTGGTTCAACCCAACAAAAAACCCACCACTGCCTCAGCTTGCACAGCCGCAGCCCATAGCGTGTGCCCAGCCAAATCCTCTGCAGCTGCCGGCCCCTTCGCCTGTCGTCCGCAGCCTCCGGGAACGCGGTCCCTTCCCTCGTGAGCACTGGCGCGGAACCTCGGGCGCCCTCGCCTTCAGAGCCCACGGCCTGGGCGCCTTCAGCGGTGCGCCCAGCGCCCTCGGCGCCCTCGGCGCCCTCGCCGTCAGTGGCACCCTCCGCGCTTTCGTGCTCCACACCTTCAGCACCGTCCACGCTCGCGGCCTCCGCCCCCTCAGCAGCTTCAGCAGCCTCAGCGCCATCGGCCTCATCTGCAGCCTCAGCGCCGGCGCTTTCAGCGCCCTCAGCCCCTGCCACGACTTCATCCAGGCCTTCGACCGCACCGGGCAGAGCCAGCAAACGCACCGTGCGTTGGAGCAGCACCTGGGCATCGCCGGCATTGGGCTCCAGCTGCAAACTCCTCTGGAGAGACTGCTGGGCTCTCCTCAGCTCACTCTGAGATGGCTGAGCCTGCAGGGTGCCCTTCCGGAAATTCCAACTTTCAACCCACACAAACACAAAAACTATGTCCTAATCGATTCTGCTTCATATTTCCGCTACCCTTCGGCCATGAGACATGTTTTGGAGGAGCCGCAAAAAACCCGTTTGGTGGTCTGGCGGTTTCTCCTACCTCGACGCGGAACCCACGGCTTTGGCCTGGAACAAGATCATGGTCGCCAGGTTGCAGTGCGCATCGGCCTCCGACCCGTCTCCGTCCGTCTGCGCCAGCCGCGCCAGCGCGTCTTCCATCTCCCTGCGGCTCTCTTCCCCGAAGGGCCACCCAACGGAGTCCGAGTCCATGTCCTGCCGGAAAGCCCTGGGCGGTTTGATGGCAAGGTGGGATCCAAGGGCCCACAAGGCACTGAAATCTGGGCTGTCCTCAGATCCCTGGCTAAAAGTTTAACTTTAGAGGGTTGAATGGAAATCCCCACTAAACACCAAAAAGCTAACAACTTAAGGGAACCGCCAAGAAATTCGGAAGGGTCCTTCGCTTCCACCTCCCCGTCCGACCGTCCTCCTCCTCATCTTCTGGCTCGCAAAGAGCTTCGCGGGCCCTCATGATCAAGCCCATGTCGTGCTCAAGAGCTCGCATCTGCAGGTGTCACGGATCTTGCCCATCAACAATTAACTAAGTGACTGGTAGCTGGGCTGTCCTCAAATGCCCTAAAGCTTAACTTGTGGGTGACGTGGTACCCCCCCACTAAACCCGAAAACGCCACAAAGCTAAGGGGATGGCTGGGATAGAGCCACTAAGGTAGGTGGGTATGGGTCAAAACTAAACCAACAGGGGCCCGCAGGTTTTAGGCCATGTTTCCATTTGCCACGGCAACCCATTTTGGGGTTACCCTATTTTTGACCCACAGCCCAGGTGTTCCAATGAAAATGCAGTTGAGGGGAAGAACCGGCTGGTAACGGCGTTCGTGCCTGCGACCTGGGAGGGACCTAAACAAAACTGCTCCCAGACTTGCCGGTGTTCAAGCAATCTTCCATTTGCTTAAGCCCCCTGGAAAAATAGCAATACGACCAGTAGTGAGAAGTTCCCTTTAAAACCAACAAGGGGAAATAAAACATATCCTTGAGCAAATAGAAGCAATTAATCACTGGACAAATGTTGTGTTGATCCATCCGCACTTGGAGGGCCAAAGCCTGGGCACAATCAAGCCATAGTGTTTGAGAATGGGCGGAAGCTGTCCATGTCCATACCTGTTTCTGTTCTCAAAACTTCAACCCGCGTTTTGATGGCTCAAGGGATTGTAAACCGCAAGTCTTTGACTTTCCAGGTTCTGCGAGCATCCGGGGGCACCCAAACCAATCCAGAACCCGTGGGACACCAAAGAGAACCGAAACATCTAATTTCGACCAACCCTGCCCATTAGTCTGCCCAAATGACCTGACAAACGGCTAACCTGGAACTTGACTCGACGTGATGTTGTTCAACTGGCCAAAGTCACCAAAAGAAAAGGGAAACCCATGGAAACCCACAGAAGGAGTCATGATGAGCCAAACTTAACCCAAGAAAAAGCTGAGTCAAGCTGAGTGAAAGGCACAAAGATGGAACACCCAACGGGCAGCCTGGAAGTTTGAAGGCAATGGCAATGAGTTCCGACGTTGACCCAGACCCAGTCAGATTTGCTGGGCTCATTCAAGCGATCTCAAAATTACATCTCTACCCTTGGTATGGTAGCAAGCAAAAAACTTTGTTTTTTGCAGACCCCCAGTAAAAATGAACAGAACCAAGAAACTAAAAAACTAAAAAACATGCCAAGAACTCTAACTGGGGGTTTAAAGGGACCCCTCCCCCCTTCAAAGTACTGAAACGAGAACTCGATCCTCCACTTTCAAGCACTGAAATGGACACAAGTTCCTCGACACTGGGAAGGACAGAATTGAGGATGGCCGAGCTGAACAGAGCGGCCTTTTTCAACCCAACCCTTGGTTGGTGGTTTGGATTTGGATTTGAACCCCTGCTGCTTGTAGACGATACATTGGATTTCCCACCCTCAGAACCCACAACACATGTGGGTTTGCTGGAGGAAAAAAAGAAGAAGATTTCAACCAAAAAGCTAAAGTCTAAAGATCCAACCCGATAGCAATCAAGTTCAGACCCCTTACCAATAGCCGGCCTGTGCGACCTTGCCCGACACGCTGCCGACGCGGATGTCCCGCAAGAACATCAGCTTGATGGCGAGGCGCCGCCAGGCAAAGGCGGAGAAGGCCCGGGCCAGCACCTCCGAGTTGGCCTCGAAAGAAAGGTGCGACCAAAAACCCCTCAAAAAAAGCGGTGCGACTTCTAGACGAGAGGGCCAAAACACCCCCCCAACAAAAAGGAGGACATACCTGGCAGGTTCAAATCATATGTGTGGTTCTTCCCTGGAAGGGTCGCCTTCAACTGAGACAAAGGAAGTGAGACGCAAACCACACACCCGTGCACGGGTAGTTTTTGCCGTAAATCTGTGCCTCGCCGAAACTCAGATGGATTTCCCTGGTAAAAACCTATCCAAACCGGGACAACCAATCTTGTTTTACCGAAAACCGATCAAACGGACACCTGTGGCCACATTGGTTTTTCGATAAAGTTCTTTTTTGGGCAAAGGGATGCAAAGGGTCGGCTGCAACTGAGACTCCGGAAGTGAGACGCAGACCACAAACCCCAAGCGCAGCGTTCAAATCTGCGACAAAGGGGCATAGAGCCAGAGGCTGTCCGGGCCATGGTAGCACACCACGCTGAGATCCGGCAGGTGTCGATCTGCGAAGTGAAGCTGCTTGGCTGCGGCCTGGGCGCGGTTTTCGCGAAGAGTTGTCCCTTCCTGACCATCTATGAAGACTCAGTTGTTCAGTGACCCTGGAAAAAAAGGGAGGAAAAAGGGTGCCACTGAACAACTGAGAAGAGGTTTCCCTATTTTGAGACAGACCCAAAATTGGTTGCTGTTGACCCCTCTGCAAACCATCCTGTGTCACTTTTAGTGGGTCCCGTTCGGAAGAACCCGAGCAAAGTGTCAACCAAAAAAGCGAAAAAGTCCAAAGGTCCGTTACCCAAAAAGCCAAATTGATTGACAAATCCAGCTTCGGGGGAAGTCCAGTGATCCCTGACTTGGTTTGTGAACGTGCGGGTTTTCCACTAGCCCCAAAAAGGCTGAACATCAACAGAACGCTGCATCCCCCCCCAAGGTCAGAATGGTTGGTGTCCTTAAGGATTGCCGTTGAAAATTCAAGCAGGGGTCCACTATTTTGAGAACCCAAACAGGTTCGCTGGGCTGTCCTCAACGTAGATATCCCATTGCCTAAAATCAAAGGCTTCAGGCCTCCCAAGAGCCTCGCATGTGCCATGCCGACTTCTTTGTTTTCGGGGCCTTTGGGCCTTCTCCGACTCTCCCCCCGCCACCCGCCGAAAAATGCAACCTGCTGATGGACAAAAACGACGTCGAATTCACCACTCGGGCTACGGGGATAGGCCGTTTTCTCCGACACAACGACCCAACTGGGTAGTGTGGTTCCTTCAAGGATCCCAAAACTACAAGGGGATCCTCCGCAGCTGGCTGAAAAAGGGTGATGTTTCAACCATAGGTGGCCTTTCAGAAAAATAGATGGCCCTGGTAAATGGAACAAACCCCATCTAAACCAGGGCCCTCTAATTGTTAAGCAAACCAACCAAAAAGGACACCTATGGCTTCAACTGGCCCCAGCTGGTTTTTGCCCATGCGGGCCCCTTTATCCGCATCCGCCTGGTAGGTCGCGGCGAGCCGAGTCAGGCGTTGCAGGTACAGTCTGTCCACTCCAACGCTCTGCCAGTCGCGCCGGGGCAACGCCTCCTGAATATCCCTCCCCACGTCTGAACGGGGTTCCCGTCTAAAATCCATGGATATTTCAGGAAATTACCTCCCCACAAATGCCCGCTGGAAGTGGGGAGGAAGGGTATCTGCACAACGTATTGTGTAACAATGGACGGCAGGCACCAGTTGGAAGCTGATTTTAGATTTGGTCGCAATATGTGAATAGGGTATGAATAGGGTTTCATCCATCCCAACGCAGGATGTCGTCCATCTACAGTATCAACACCACACCAAAAGAAACTCGAACAACATGGTGATGATTAAAACCACCAAAGCGGTAAATATGGGGAGCCCTTAGCTAGGTTTATGAACAACTTTGAAAGAACAAGGTTTGGGTGACCCGTTTGCCGGCCTAACACATTGGGTTCTGGTCCCAAATTGATGCACGAAACACCTGACTGGCATGCCATTACATGCGATCAAAGCCTCAACGCAACGATGGCTAGGCCGAGCCAAAAACGGAGCGAGGGGCACATTACTGCCGCTGCTGGGGTTGAGGACTGCAAAACAAAAATAAGTCACCGGTAAAGCACAAAAGCAAGGCAAGTGTCCAAAGAGGAAACCATTTTCCGAAATGGTGGTTTGATTTTTCGATTCCCCTTTAAACCAAATTGAAACCTGGCCATTTCTCTTCGGTTTCCTTCAGGAATAATATGAAGACAAATGGTGGGTGGTTTTCCCTTTGATGCCTCCCTAACGCAACCTTCAAAATGGTACGCTCCAGAAATGGCACTTTTTGTTTTGCAGTTGATGTTCAACACACACCTCAAAAAATTAAACAAGGGCTCGCAACCATATGTGACCTTTTGGAAAAGAAATGGATGGGTTTCCCGGGCAATGGGGCATTAAACCAATCTAAACCAGCGGAACCCATCTATTTCTTGCCAAGCTAACAAGTCAAAAGGGACACCTATGCTAGATGTCCATTTTTGGGGATGGTCTCTCGACCAAGTGGACCTTTGGGAGGCTAGGAGTTGACCCGTTGTTGCCCTGAAGAAGCTCACTTACGCGTTTTAGAAACAGAGGTTGCAGAGCTTCTTCTTGGCTTTTCCTTAAAGCCACAAAGAACCTTGATTTGGGTGTGTCGTTTTTGGTTGGTACCCTTCCATTCGGTTCAGGCCCCGGGGAAAAACATATTTCCAGTAGTGATGAGTTCCTTTTAAGGGCAACAAGGGAAACAAAAAACGAGGGAAAAACAACTTAAGCAAATGGAGGCGCCCTTTTTTCAGGTTGGCACCCCTCCAATCAGGTGGACCAGTCGGTCCTTCACCAAGGCCTCAGCAGGGCAGCGCCGCAGCGTTTGCAGCGGGAAGCCCTTGTGCAGCCAGGCGACGTCCGCGTTGATGTCCTGATCCCCCCGACCGTACTGTGGATGGTTGCGAAATCAACCGGCGTCCCGTCTTGGAACTCAAATGGACACAAATGCAGCCTGGCTGCCTTGATGTCCTAAATCACCGGATGATTTTTTGAGGCTTCCACAAGACGGCTTGAGGAGACCCGTGGTATTCGGGAGGATTTGATCCAGCCGTACGTTGTTGGTCCAGCTAGGTCTTATACTGTCCGAGTAAGGGCGAGCCACCATTTCCCAAATCAAAAGTTGATCAATTCACTGGTGGTGTCCATTGAAACTGAAATGGGCTAGGATTCATGTCCACCAACTACATTTGAGGGGTCCCATAGCCAAATGAGCGCAAGGGGGTCCAATGCCCAAAAGGAGCTTCTTCACACGATGTCCTGGGCTGGCTGAGTAAGGTAGAAACGTGTTACTTGGTTGCTGTTACTGTTGACCCCTCTGCAAACAATGTTTAACCTTTTGTGGGTCCAAGTCAGAAAAATCCGCCCAAGGTGTCAACCAAAGAGCTATTCAGTCCAAAGATCCGTTTCCAAATAAGCATGAAGCGTCGTGCCACTGTTTCCAAACCAAAAGGTGTCAACGCTACAAAAGCTAGTCCGCAAAGCAAAAAAGGGGGTTGCTCTTTGAGTAGGGTAAATACATGTCAAAAACAAACCATTGTTTTGCCTCGTTGTCCATTGTTTCTACTCTATTCATGTTGCTTGTAGGGCAAAAACAGGTCTAAAACCACCTCATCTTGCCTGGGTGTCTTTCTTTCCGCCAGGCCTGCAGCCGTTCCTGGAGTTCGGGGCCCGAGATCTCACCATCCACCTGCCCGGGGGGGGGGGGGGGGTTCCTTTCAGTTTCTGTAAATACAAACTAACAATGATGTTTTAAGGTCTACCCATGGCTTCTAGGGTGGTGCGAAATGGAGTTCGTAACCATCAGCAGCAGGTGTCCTTTTGGGAAAAAAGATGGATTTCCCTTGTAGAGGAAACAACCATATTTTTTAGATTTGCTACCAAAACAAGCAAAAGGGAGACCTACTGTATGTCCCTACATGTCACCCGTAAACATCACCCCAAGACGAAGCTCATTTATGTTTAAACGGGAAACAGGTAATGTAGGGACCAAGGCGGGTTGGTAGGTGGCCAGCAGAACATCCACCAGCATTCTGGTGCAAATATCGCATCGTTCTCCAAGGTAAAGTACTTCTGGGCGCGGCTGCCCTTGTCTGCACCATGTAAAGTGAATTTCGGAGGGCGTCATTGAATCAGCCGAGTGTGACGATGAACAGCTTGCCCATCACCTGTTGGCTTCCTGTTGTGAAAATTCGAGCTTGGCAAATTGCCAAGCTCGGGCAATTTGCCAAGCTCGGGAAAAGGAACCCTTTTCAAAACCCGCAATAGGCCTCGCGCGTCGCTCTTAGCCCCTATTCGGATTGGGGAATCGGTGGCCCCTATTGGCTAGGGGCCCCTTGACAGCCAATTCCGATCCGAGCCGATCCTGCGCCCTTCACAGAAGGTCAGTTCTATACTTTCCGTCGTGGCTCTGTGGCCATTGCCCCCCCCTCCCTCCCCTCGCCCAAAACGTGCTACACTGCTTTTCGCGGGGTCGGCGAAGATCGATCCACCCCAGTGGCACAGGGTCATTTGCCTGTGAAACACCACCCCAAGATTCGCAAACTCATCTATAAGCTTGGCCACCAACACCTTCATTTGTTTAAGTCCCCTGGATACAACCTCAAAACCAACAGGGAACATATCAACATTCTCAAGCAAATGGAAGAAATGAATTGCTTAAAACTGGATCAAGAGGGACATTGAAGGACTCCTGCAGTGGATTCAACTCGTCTGATTCTTGATCGGGGGGTGTGCTCGTTAAATGTGGGGAATCAGAGCACTTGAGCGGTTTTCACGTCCCCACCCTCAAAAAAAAGAAAATAAAAAAGGACGGGTTCAGCTTAGATCCGGGGTCAGCATTAAGTTCTGGCACCCAAAAGGGTTATGCTTATAGACTGGCTTGAGGAAAACTAGGGACCGATTCCTGCCACGGACAACTCGCCTGTACTGAAATTTCTTATGTATATCCCAGACGCTCGTGTGCCCTCCTAGGGAGGGTCCGGGGCCCTCCTAGGGAGGGACCGGCCTGTTTGTCAAATACGGAAACCCTCGTGGCCCCCAACCGTCAGATAACCATCGGATAACCGTCGGATAGCGAGGGCCCGTGAGGGCCCAAAGCATAAGTTGGGAGCGTCTGGGATATATATATATATATATATGAGGAGCGGACGAAACACTTTACTTGGCCCTAGTACTTTTTTGAACGTTATCGTTTTTGGGGGAGACCTTATCGTTTTACAGTGTTTCGAACACTTCTGCACATCGGCTCAGTACGATCGCAACCGCAGCATATTGAGCGTCGTCAGTACATGATACGCTAAAATGCTCCAACAAAGTCATAACAGCAATTACAGATCTGTAAAGCAATGCATGCCGTCCAGCTCAGGAATTTATAACTTTGTCTGATACACTTGGCATAGCTAAAGAATCGCAACTTTGTGATACAGCTTCCGCATCTCGAATCCTGCTCAGGTTGAAGTGAGTCACAGTGCAAGTAGCTTCGAAGTACACTTCCGCTCGAAATTCAGAAGCACGTGGGTACAAGTCTTGATACTGTTTTTCTTGCTTGAGACCATATCTCGATCCTGTTTGTCTCTGAGTAACTTGCTCATTTGAGTGGGAACTCCTTGTGCTCCATATTTGTTTACCCTTACTTCCTGTCAGCTAAGTCAGAGCAACCAGTACCTGGGTCGATCGCAGTGCAAGCTGAAGATCGCTGTTGCCTGAGTCGTCATATGCAACCACATCTCAGCTCCGTGGTGGAGTCCGAAGCTCAGCAGAGGCATGGTGGTCTGTCTGTGAGCAACATCAGTCGGTCTGAGTTCCATGGCTCCCGGCTCCAAGCCGTGCGTCTGTGTCCCGTGAAGTACCATCTCATTTCCAGAAGATCAACAACAGTTCCTCGTGCTGTAGGATTCAACATGGTACTCCAGCTTCCGAGCTCAATGAATCAACAACACATAAACACACTTCCGCAGCTCATCAGAATCTGGCACCGTAATTTGCGATCATAGTACGCAAAATAGCTCACGATTTAGGATCGCATTAATTCTGTACACTTCCTTGGCTTCCATTTCTGATCCAGCTCGAAGATCACCAACACGTGCACCAGGTCTGGTTGCGCATCTTCCAGCTCTCAAAGCAAAATCTGCAGCTTTGTGTTACAATGCAGCATACGCGAAAGATCATCTCCAACTTTGGTGATACTGATGCGTGTAATGCCTTCGCAGCTCCAGCTCAAATTTCGAAGCTTTGTAGTACAGTCTAGTGAAGTGACACCGCACATCCAGCTCGAAAATCGCCAACAACTGTCGACTGTGTCTCGTCTTCAGAAAGTACGAACTTCTAGCGTTAGTGCCAACGTTACGAGCACAACACGTGTATGCACTTCCATAGCAAGCTCGATACCTTTTTGCAGCTCAGCTCAGGTCAAAGCATAGTCAGTTGACTCCATGGCGTCACGCTTTTGTGTACAAGCAGCTCGCATCTCACTGAGCTCTAGCAGTACAAGTACAGTACGCTCATCGAATCATACTTCCCATCTCAGTGAATACGCATGATACCTGAGTACGTTATCTTGCACACGGCTCCAGCTCAATAGCAGAAGGCGTAGCTCGAGTCTTTTGTGTCGGTCTGCGAAGTACACTTCACACCCGCTCAGCCTAAAATGGACACAGTACCGAATGTCACCTGGTCATGCTACAACGGCTCAGCTGAGATAATCGCTTGTATTTGTGAGTACAAGTCAGCAAAGTACGCTTCCATCCAGCGCAGAGAGGCTTAACGTAATTTTGAGTCTGGTAATGCGGTTCGTTCCACCAGCTCCACTCGAAAATCCTGTAGTCATAATGAATGGCTGTACTTCCCAGCTCGAAGACCGAACATTGAGAATAACATCGCCAGTACACTTCCGCAACTCAGCTCGAAAACAGGCTAACATGGCAGTACGGTCTAAATCACGAAGTAAAAGTACAACTCCACTCCAGTACGAGCTCGAAAATTGAGTACAAATTTACACTTCCGGTGAAAATACAGGTAGTGCGCAATAGCTCCGGCTCGAACACGCAAATACACTGATACACTTCCGCAGCTCCATCGAAATCGCTTTTTTGTAGCAATCTGGTATGCGCAAGACAGCTACGCATCTCAGCTCACCATAACTTGGTGGCCAGTACAGGTGCGCAATGCGCGAGTACACTTCCGCAGCTCCCTCGAATTCAAAGAATGGTTGGATGGTCCTGCACAAGTGGTGTTCACAGTCTCCAGCTCACAACTTTGCAAGGTCGTACATGATAAAATCGCAGCTCCAGCTCGAGCAACTTGTGGTACAAGGTGTGTTGCAAAACTGGCGCTCCAGCTCGAAAATCGCAACTTCTCAGTACAAGTGTCGTATTTGCGAAGCTCACGTTGGCAGCTCCAGCTCGAAAGTGGCGACTTGCCTTCTCGTTTTACGGTGGCCACGCAAGGGTCCCACCCTAGCTAAGTTGCAACTGCAGGGGCTATTATAGAGCCGTGTGCTAGCTAAGGGTTATCGTTTTTGGGGGAGACCTTATCGTTTTCCATGGTTTTGGCATGTGTTATGCAAAAACGTACCCCGCCTTGATAAAGTGGTCTTCGTGTGTTTTGTCCGTGGCTCATATATATATATATATATATCTATCTATCTCGGTTGCTACCTGCGCCCCTTTTAAAAGTTTAACTGTTAGTGGTTTAGTGGAAACCCCATTAGTTGGCAAAATGTTAAAGTCCTAACAGCCAAGCAAACTGCACCAAACATATATTGTGTGATGTGTGTATTAACTTCTAAAAAGAAAAGAAACACACTCGCCCGCCTGTAGCACTTCTTTGGTGCCCTTCAAGCGCTGGACGGTCACCTCCCGAGGAGCCATGGGCCAGGACCTCTTTGAGCCATCCCAGCGGTCGAAAAGCGCCGGGGACATGGCGATTTTCCGGAGCCACGAACACCTCCTCACCAGGGCCGGGGTTTGGACCTGTGGATGGCGGAAATCCATTTCGCACCACAAAATGACACCATGGGAAGCCAGTCTTTCTTGGCATTTATAGGGGAATCATCAGAAACCAGACTTTCTGAACGGTGGTGCCAAAGGGATTTCGTCCATCCACTGCAAAAAAAACAAGAGGTGATCACCTTTTGGGATCATGACAACGGGCGGTCAAAAAATACGAAACCCAAAAGGTCCACAAGGCTGGTCCCGAGATTCCGGTGATTTGGTTGTTGGGGGTGGGTCCCCGGACGGTCCCCATTCACACTCAACAGGCTCCAGGGCTTGACATCCAAATCCAAAGAAATCCAAGCCACCGGTCAGGGAGTGCTTGAAAACTGAGCTCCAAATTGATGCCACGAAAACACCAAAACGCGTTTTCCACTTCGCCGCAACCGATCGGAACCCGTTTTTTTTGGAACCTGTGACACGGCACCCAAGTGCATGCCCCCCTTTCCGGGGTTCAAATCATTTGGTTTGGCATCGTTTTTCAGGTTAAGGGAAACAAACCGAATTCTTTCAACACAGCACATACTCAAATATGACTATTCTGACGATTCTCCATGCCAAAATCTCAAATCCTCAAGCAAAGGACCTCCCGTTCTGGTGAGCCCGATTCACCCGTATAGGCAGAAGAGTAGGCATCCTTGTTTTGTCCGCCTTCAATCTCGCGTCCATGCGCGCGGTGCACTCGATGCGACCGGATTCCGTGCAAGATGAGGTCCCTGACTCCAGCCAACCTTAAAGGGGCCGGGGCTTAGTCTCCTTTACGGGGGAGATGAAACTGATCAATTCCAGGCATCACCCTTTCCCAATTCGATTTCAAGCGCAAGTCTCTTGTAAACCAACGTAGGGAGCACAGTGCTCAGTTGGAGAGAAAAGCTGAACCTTTCGGTCAATTTATGAGCGAAATCAGGGAAACCATCTCCTTCCGATGCTTCCATGGTGCCCAACGAACCCCCCGGACCCAAGGGGTGGCAAGGCGCCCACTAGCCGCCGGCCAAGCATGCGTATGTACAGGCGGCGCCCGTGACGCGTTTGGAATGCGCCCTTGGAGAGTCAAGTGTCCATTTGGTTTCAGCGTTCCTCCAATGGCCAGTGAGCCGAATCGGTGTTCCGGGGTGGTTTCCGTTCAAGTCGGCTGGGCTTACCTCAACAAGTCCCACCTTGACTTCACAGACCCTGCCACATCCATCAAGACGAACTGGGTCCGCGGGTCTCACCGCGGTGAGACCCCCCGCCATGAAACGAAGCCGAAGCCTCACGCAATGCAGCAGCCAATAAAGGCTTAGCCTGCGCGCAAGCCCAGAGAAACACCAAACATCGATGCTGTCCACTTCTCAGAGAGGGGCTGTATAGCCCATTTGCCTCGGGGTAGTGGTTGGAGAATGTCTCCCGAGCATCTCCATGCAAACGACCGAATGAGACTGAAACGCAGGGCATAGGCTGCTTGAAACAAAGATGAGCCAGGTTCCCAACGTCCTCTTCGGAAAGGCCCCCACAGCAAGCCCAAGATTGGGCAAGCATAGGCTAGGCTGTCTTAAGCGACGGACTTTGGCCGTGCAGCTTCCAAAAGCAACAAATGAAAGCCCTTCTCAAGTGTCTATGAGTGTGACCGACTCAACCGAAAGACATTGAATGGTTTGCCACACAAATTTGAGAACATGGCAATTTGTCTCAACATGTGTGAGCCAGCATGTTCAGGTCCATTTCCAGGTTTAACAAATCGCGGCAAGGCCATGTCGGGGAAAACACACACACACACATACACACCCTCCATGCTGCATTTCCTTTTGAACCAGCCCCCCCGCAGTCACATGTTGCCTGACAAACGTCGCCACAGGAGACTCCTACGCAATTGCCTCAGCTGATGTTGAAACCAGATGGAGACAGGAAGTATATCATTCTAACCCTTGGGTGTGGCAGCAAAACACATTGTTTTGCAGCCCGGCTCAATCAAAGAACAGAAGCAAACAACTAACAAACAAACCAAACAAAACTTTGAAAGAGCTGTGAAGACGTGCTTTCTCCTTGTGGGGCCGGCTCCATCAAAATCGTCTCGCGGGCGCCCAAAACGGAAGGCTTTCCAAACGTGTCCGCCCAAAGCGGCGAAAACACGAGTTGTAAACCAGCCAAATCTCGGTTGCTTTCTGCGCCCCTGCTAAAGTTTAACTTTTAGTGGTTTAATGGAAAACCCATTAGTTGGCAACAAGTTAAAGTCCTAACATCCAAGGAAAATGCACCAAAGATAGTACAATTGAGATTCTGTTGCACATCTAGTCTATCCTTCTCCGACCCCCCCTCCCCCGAACAACAAAACGTCCTCCCCCGCCTAAGAAAGAACAACAACAAGCAAACAAACCAGAAGATCCCCGCAAACGGAGTTGCATCTGCGCCCTAGCGTTGCCTTCAGCGCTCTCTTTAGCCCGTCGAGTCCGCTCTCGCCGCTTCCTGGAGCTATGAGACATCGGCCAAACCACTTGCTGGTTCTCAGGGTGTGAAGTTTAGTCTCAGCCCAGGTTGGACCCAGAAATAGAAGGTTTACCTTTCGGGGCCATACATCCTAACATGTCGAAAGGTCGATCCGCTTTGGGCAACTGAGAAATGGGTCCTGGGCCAAAGTTTCGGACAAATCGGCGGGGAGTTATGTCCAAGCACTTGATGGCGGTTCAACCGATGTTGATTCATTTGTAGCCCAACGGGAGCCCTGGCTATGATGAACCCCTTGACAGACTCATGGGTCCATCAAGCGAGAAAATATTCATTCACCAAGGGTTTTGGAAATGAGCCGCTTGGGATCCACACAATTCAAGAGAAAACCAGAAATGGTTAGGGGTCATTCCGAATAATTTCCTCCGGGGAACAACCAAGGCTAACAGTATCCATTGCATGAAGCTTCTGCACCAACCATTTTCCCATGTGGCCTGTTGCTCGGGCTAGCGGAAAGCCACGTAGAGCTTTTGGGGGACCAAGGCAATCAGAACATAGCGCAGCCCAACCGAGATGGATGAAACGAACTATGTTTAAGGCTCCACCTAGCGGAGACACCCCGCTCGAATTACTACTCCACGGCGCAAATGGAGTATGCCACTTTAGACATATACACATTACATCAAGACGCTTCATACCGACCAAACTCCCCAAGTGGTGTGGAGGAGTCGGAAGTGGCACGGCCCTATCTTGAAGCACATCGATGCTAAGTTCCAGCGCCGTGAGCGTTCAACAAGTGCGTGGACCCCGATCTTGGGTGATTTCAGCCGGCCGTCCAAGACAAAGTTCGAGGGTGCGGCTGAGCTAGCTTTTGCCTGCGAGCAAATCACACAACATATTGGCAACTACTAAAAAAAACAAGCCAAAGGATTTTGACATTATTGTTCCTCCTCACCGTACTCACTTGCCCAGTTTGGACCTGGAAGCAGAAAATGTGATCACCTTGCGGTGTGACTACAGCTGCCAAAACAAGGAACACATATTAGATCCGGTCGATTCGCTTTGGACTGAACTTGGCGTCTCACTCGGCAGGTCAACTAGGGGAACTTCAAAACCTCGTCACAGATGGTTTTTGGGATCCAGAACCTTGGATCACTGGGCATTCACAAAGAACCTCCACCATTGGTTACCTTCATTTTTAACTTGCCGCAACTTTTTGACATGTTTAGATGCCAAGGGTGAATGACCTGGGACAGGAAAACGACGCTGCACAAAGCCCACTTTTTGCCCTGGCTGAACTGGAACATGGAGGAAGTCGGTACGGCTGGCACTGCCTCCTCCCCAGCAACAGCACAACTCTAGGGGTTGATTCCCCATTCTTTTCAACCATCGTTCTTTTCAAAATCCGGCTGCTTCCAACCTGGGTGTTTGATGGTTTCCTGGGAAGATGCCAGATCCCTGGGTTTAGAATGGAAATGGAAGTTACCCCTAGAACGCCTCCAAGCTCCACCCGTGGCCCAAAAAGCTGCAGGCCCCGGCCCGGCTGACTCCCGGCGTCCTCGAGGCTGGGCAGGCCCTCGGGAATTCCCGCGGGGGGAGGAGAAGGGCCGCTGCCGAAGAAGGTGTCCATGGTCAAAACCTCGGGAGAGGAAACCCTCAGATCCCATCGAGTGGGCCAGGGCCCAAGAAAGAGCCCCCAAGCTGCTTGCTGAAAACCACGAACATGGCGGCGACCAAACCCAAGAAGTGACGAAAGTCCATGAACTCAGGAAGTGAGAGACCCCGAAAAACGCCGCAACCCTTGGCTTGGTGGCTCACTGACTCACTTCCGCATCGAGTGGATTGGCAAAACAGGTTTCAACCTTTGTTACCACTGAAATGGCCACAAAAAAAAAAACTCAAAAGTGGCAAGTCCAGGAACTCACAAAGTGAGCTCATGAGCTCACCCCCCCCAAGCAAAGAAAACGTTAAAAATGGAGGGCGCTGCATCTAAATCTTCAGCTGCGCTCGCTTTCTGGGGGCCACGTCAAGTTCCCAGAACCATTGCTGGGCCAAAATTTGCATGTTTCAAAGGCCAGTGGATGCTTTTTAATCTCACCAGCGGCAGACTCGACTTGCTTTCGGCAAACCGCTCGACTTTTCGGCAAACCGCCACTGACAGCATGATGGAAGCAAGGGAGAACACGGCAAGTGGGAGCTTGACCTGGCTGAAGCCAATGATCTTCTGAAAGCGCAGGCCTCCCGAACCGGCTCTTCGAAGCCACTTGCCCCAAAGGGGACCCCAAACTAAAAAGCTTTGCCTTTTGGGCTTGACAAAAACAATGGCCAACAGTGGCCACCGAAAGGTTATATCACTTCCGGTCGCTTCGCTTCGGAAGCAAAGCGGAAAAAACAAACTGGGCCGCCCTCAGATCCCCCGCTTCAAGCTTCACTTTAGTGGAGCAAATGGAAACTACCACTAAACACTAAAAAACCAAAGGGCTAAGGAACCGGATGGCTGGGAGCCACCCAGCAAAGACAACACACACAAAAAATGAAGAAGCGGCCGGCGGCCGAAGCTTCGCCCCCTTGTCGTTCTTAGCACCCGGGGTCTTGGCGGATTCCGAGCACGGATGGGGTCGATTCGATTTTTCTTCGTTGCACTTGGGCCCGGCACCAGCACCAAGGGCGGGAGCCCATGCCTCAGCCCAAGCCGAAAGCCGAAAGCCTCACGGCTTAAGCCCAGAGATGGTCTAGCTGCCACTTCGGTTTTTTGACAAACACCACCTCCTGGTGTTAATATATATATATATATATATAATATATGAACAATATCCACTCACCAAGCGTTGGAAAGAACATAATATACGTACAGCTTCTTTGTGGTTTGACCTAAACATATTTGTGAAAGATCCACCAAGCGTTGGAAAGAGGGCCTCGTGCATCCCACCCCAAAGCCCTTCAGAACGCCTCCGCATCCTGGGCCTCGCGCCTGTCCTGGTTCCCGCGCTGCCAATAGCAGGGCTGGCCTCTCCGGCCGAGTCGGAAAAACGAGTCCGGAATCCGCCGGACGGGCGACTATGGACGGGGTGGTCAAAACCGTTTTGGTTGATCCCATTTTGGTTGGTAGGTGAATTCACCACCCATTTTAGTGGTTGGATTGGGATGTTCACTGGTACGATTTGGCTTTTGACGACTGGCCAGAAAAATACCAAAGGAGGTCGAGGCCCGGGCGAGTCCAAGCAACCAAACCTTTCAAACGAACCCAAAGTTTCCAGATAGACACCCTGGCAGCCTGGCACTTCTTCGGATTTCTCACAAACAAAAAAAACAAAGAAAAAAGAAGAAGGCCCACGCCCGCCTTGCCCCAGGGAGCCAACAAACAGCTCCAAGTGGCCCTCCTGGCTCGAGCAGAAGCTTGGCAAGGCGAATGGAAGCCGAGTCATGATCAATACGTGCACTGCTCTGCAGCAAAGGCGGCACGAAAAAGGGGCCAAGCAACTACCACTGGGAAACAAGGCTTGCTCTGCAAGATCCCTACTGAAAAACAAGCAGTGCTCTGCAAGATCCGTGTGTCTTTGGGGCACACCTGCTGAAGATAAACCCTTTGCATCACGCCGTGGCGCGCGCGGGCAGTCCTTGCTTTGGCCTGGGCCGCGAGAGATTCGCGGGCACACTGTGGCATCAACAACCCTAGGCTCACTCAACATTGAGTTTTCTCATTATTTCTTGCTTTTTCTTTTCTTTTCTTTTTTTTTGGGGGGGAGAGGACAGCCGTTGGTTGACTTTTCAATTGCAAACCAAAAAGGCAACCAACCACATTGGCAGCTTCCACGATGACCTCCTATGGAGGCCCCAGAAAAAAGAGTCCCCCAAAAGCAGACATCGGAGTCTTTTACGCGAGGGATACTGAGGCGATCGACTGGCATCCGGAGCTGTCCGGAAGGTGAGGTTCAAGTCCTGAGCGCTCCCTTACCCCTCTGCCGGGGCCAATGGCTGTTGGGCGAATTAAGAAAGGCCAGGGACCGCGCGTTTCCCCTACCGATGGGCTCCTGAAAAGAAGACATTTCGAGACATGTAACAACGTAAAAAAAAAAAGGATGCGGTGCCCCTGAGGTTAAAAAGGACGGGGGGTGGGTTCCTTGTTAATTTGGAGCAAATCAGCTACCTGGAAACCCATATGTGACATTTGTTTCTGTCCATACGGCTTGGGCCACAAAAAATGGCCATACGGTCATTTATGGCTTTTTGTCAACAATTTGTGGACAAAATACGGGCTGCATACGGCCAAATACAGCCGGCCGTAACAAAAAATGACTATACGGAAAAACAAAAATCCGATCCAAATACGGATTCCGGCCGAACAAATATGAGGCGCCCATAGCTTTAGTCATAAGGGTGGACGTGCGGGAGGATGCGGGAGTTGGATAGAGGGGTGTGCCGCCCCCTCAAAGGGCCCAGTCCAAAAGAGGACGGGTCAGTGACTTAAACTCGAAGTCACTTGCCCAAAGGACCCGGAAAGACAAGGTTCAGCCCTTGGGACCTTGACTCAAATCTGCCAAAATGGGGAAACCAAAACAGGGCTCCCTACAAGTTTCCCTCTTTAACATCACCCCAGACTTAAAAATTGGCTCAAGAGGCGAGGTCTAAAACCACCCAAAAGGGGGACCGTCCTTTTAAAGTGGCCCAGGTGTCCAAAACCGAGCCCCGATGAGCCCCGCTTTTTTAAACGAGATCGATGGATGGATTCCCTTTGGGCCGCCCAGCGTGGTTGTTCGCCTCCGCAAAGACGATGCGGCAAGAGCCCGACACCTCGTTCTCCCTGCCCTGCAACCGGGGAGTGCAGACCCAGCGGAAAAAGCCTTCCGGCAGGTGTGTTTCTTCCTTTTTCCTCCGCGCCGAACACCGCTCAGAAAAAAAAACTCTTGAAGGGAAAGCCAAACAAAAGGAAGAAAAGGATTTACCGGCTTTTTTTTTGCACAAAGATGTTGTCTGAGGCCACCTTTTGGTGGCGATTGCTTTCTTTGGCCGGGACTTCCAAGGCGACTTGGTCTTGTCGAAGGGGATTCCCGGATTCGAACACTCCAGCTGCCATGCGCTTGCCCCGTGCCCAAGCATGGTTCCTCCACTGTGCAACGGTCCAACCCGCGGAATGGTAGGAAACAACTTGATGTTGTGCAGCCCTACGAAAATAAGCAGAACCAGAAAAACTTAAAACCTAAAGGCTGGCCAACCGTGAAGGCAATCGAGACGAAAATGAACAGAACTAACAGCCTAAAACCAATATGCAAAAATAACAATGCCCTCTCGAGTTCTCTTCAAACACGGGCCAGGGTACCAACCCTACCAGAAATAGCACCAGTCCAGCTGCCTCATTGTCCTCGTCGCTGTGAAACTCGAAATTGATGCAGCTGCCTACCTGAGCGACACTGACGTGAAACCCCTAAAAGTCATCCATCCCCCCAAAACAAACCCCTTTAGAAATCCCAAGCGCTCCATGTACGGAGTATGTGTTGAGATTTACCTTCCACACAGATCGAATGTAGCTCATGGACTGTGCGGGAGTGACAGCGTTTTGGGCTCCATGCTAGGGCATGGAGTAGGCTCTGAGATGAATTGTCAAATAGTGCAAGCGTCAAGCGGCTTGAGCCGGTCTCACACGCAACCGGCTGTTCACGTTCCAAGGACTTGTCTCTTTTGCTATGCCTGTGGCACGCATTTGAACAAGCCAAGGGCACCATGCCAAAAAACAAAACTGCAGGGACTGCGGACAGCCGTTCGGAGTTCCCAGTCCTTTCCCATTTAAAATGGCCCCCCAGTTCCCCTGTACCTTGTACCTTGCGCTCCCACTTGCCCAGTTCGGACCCAGAAATCCGCCGACCCCATGCCTGGTCCAGAATGGACCATGCTTTCGGCATGGGGGCGGTGTGTTCTGTGTTGCTTTTGTTGATATGCTTTCTATAAGTTTAATGTGAATATGATTATGTAGATATATATATATATAACCTATAAGTCCCTTGGGGCGGCCCTTGGGGCTGGTTTCTACGTCGGCTGGATTTCTGGATTTCTGGATTTCTGGATCTCTGGATTTCTGGATTTCTGGAATTCTGGATTTCCCCACCCCTACCCCCCCCCACCTCCCCCCCCCCAGTCCTTCCGTAGTCTTCCGCGGCTTTCCGGCTTCTTCCTTCCGTTCCGTAGTCTTCCGGCTTCTTCCAGTAATCTTCCGTAATCTTTCGGCTTCTTCCCGTAGTCTTCCGTAGTCTTCCGGCTTCTTCCCGTAGTCTTCCGTGGTCTTCCGCCTTCTTCCCGTAATCTTCCGTAATCTTTCGGCTTCTTCCAGTAGTCTTCGTAGTCTTCCGGCTTCTTCCCGTAGTCTTCCGTAGTCTTCCGTAGTCTTCCGGCTTCTTCCCGTAGTCTTCCGAAATCTTTCAAGCTTCTTCCCGTAAATTTCCGCAATCTTTCGGCTTCTTCCCGTAGTCTTCCGTAATCTTCCGGCTTCTTCTCCTAGTCTTCCGATACTGTTTCGGGACCAAACAACGCGCGTGTCCTGTGCTTTCGGGCTTCTTCCCTAGGCTTCGGGTAGTCTTCCCCCACCCCTCCGCCCCCCCCTGTGTCTGTCTATGTCTGTCTACGTATCTGCATCTGTCTTCGTGTCCGCGAAGACCCCCCCTGCCCCTGCGTGTCTGTCTGTCACTCTTTGTGTCTGTCTGGGTCTGTCTGCGTCTGTCTTCGTGTCCGCGAAGACCCCTTGCGTGTCTGTCTCTGTCTCTTTGTGTCTGTCTGTGTCTGTCTGTGTCTGTCTACGTATCTGCGTCTTTCTTCGTGTCCCCCCCCCCGCGTGTCTGTCTGTGTATTTGTGTCTGTCTGGCTCTGTCTGCGTCTGCCTGCGCATCTGCGTCTGTCTTCGTGTCCGCGAAGACCTCCCCCCCCGCTGCGTGTCTGTCTGCGTGTCTTTGTGTCTGTCTGTGTCTGTCTACATATCGCGTGCTTTCTCTCGTCCCGGGCCGAAATTCTAAGGTGTGTGGGGGCGGCGGAACCAGGCCGCAGGCCATTAAATAGCAGGTGATCATCTTTTGGAACCTTGACTAAACCTGGAGCAAATCAGGAAAAGCCAAAAACATAGATCAGACCAACAGGTCGTTTTTTTCTCTGAAGGGGGGCGAAAGTGAGTTTGTAACCGTTTCTCACGCCAGGTAACCAAGGTTGACCATGGTTGCTGGGGCAAGTGGGTACAACTGGGGGTAGGGCAAAAGAATCGTTTAGAGTCGGGTCAGCTCCCTCAGCTCCCTATAGGACTAGTCCAACACGCAAACACCACCATGTTCAAGGTTCAGATTCCGGTCCATCCAGCACAAAATCCCCTCTGGTGTGCGTCTTGCTTTGGAGGGTAGCTAAATTTGGGTCTGAAAGAGGGCCACAAGGACAACCGAAGCCCATGTTCGAGGTTTCCCCCATTTTGAGACAACCCCAGATCGAATTTTAAGGCCAAGCGGGGCCACCATCCCAACCCCCAAATCGGACACCCCAACCCCCCCCCCTTTTTCCCAAACAAATCCCATGTTGCACCCTTCCTTCTGGGTATTGGTTTGTAGGCTTCTTGGCAGGTGTCCACTCCAATCCATCTGCTGTGTCTTTTGCTGAAGCTAGCTTGTTTTTTGTCGTCAAAAAACAAACTAAAAAGCGGGCCGACAGGAAAACCCGGGAAAGATGTCCCTGGCAGCATTTCCACCCCCCCTCCCCTCAGCTATTCTTTGGTCGTTTTAAAGCGGGCCAAACGGAAAGCCGAAGCGCATTTTGGAAGCGTCTCTTATTTTGTCGCCAAAAAAAAGATAAAAACACGAAAAACGAAATATAGCGGGCCAAATGGAAAACCGTTTGGAAGATGTCCATGTCACCCTTTCCACCCCGCCCATCCGCCCCCGGCCCCCTTGCATCCATCATCCCAGAGCCGTTTTTTTTTCTCCAAGGCGCCCAGGTCAGGGCCTGCATGGTGCCCTGGAACCCGTCGAAGCATTCCCAGGAGCCCTGCAGCCCCTGGACCTCCGCCTCCGCCTCGCCGCATAATCCGCATATCGCGCGCAGGTTGGAAGGGCTGCGACTAAGGCGAGTGACGTTTCTTCTTTGGGCTCCCTTACCCGAAAAGGCGGTCGTTTGGGCGGCCTTCTTTTTAGTGAGTTTTCCTCTCTGAAATGAGGACTGCTTCTTTGGTTCTCCCAAAGATTCCTCCAACTAAAAAGCACCTTTTACAGGAATCGAACCCGGAAATCCCAACTCGAAAATGCACCGTGCTTGGTGGAACCTTGGCTGCCGAGGCAAACAAAAGCTTGGCGGATGTGGCGCGTTGTGTTCACTGGAGGTCCTTTACATCGGATTTTCCGGGAGGACATTCCCCTGACGGCACGACCCAGCTGCTCCCCTGCACACGACCCAGCTGGAGGAACTTGAGGTTGTTTGAGACTTGCTTGGGGGGAGCATGCCTGAGGTCACTACCAAGGCTGCCTTCTCTCTACCTAATTGAAAAAACCAAAGCGGGTACCAGGTTGAAGCTGCACAACCAACCCCATTGCAAGGTTTCTGAAAGGATACCTACAAATCCCCTTCTCAGATCCCCTAAAAAATAACCAGTGGGTTAAATGGAACCCCCCCACTCACCCCAAAACCCCCCCCCCAAAAAAAAAAAAAAAAAACGCGGGGGGGGGGGGGAACGGAAGGAACCCCATGGGTTAAATGGAACCCCGCACTCACCCTAAAAACCCGGGGAGAAAAAAAAACGGAAGGAACCCGGTGGCTGAAAACCACGGAAGGATCACAAGCAGATCGTTTCCTTGGAGTTCTGAGCACCCCACTGCCCTCAGGTACAGCGTGAAGGTGGCGGACGGCGTCTTGCCTCTGCGATTGATTCTCGTCACCCCGATGTTTTTTCCAGGAAACTGACTGGAAAAAAACAGCTGAAAAAACCCATATTCTTCTTTCCTTTTCTTTTCTTTCTTTCTTTTTTTTGGGGGGGGGTTGGGTGTAGGTACTTTGTAGGGAGAGAGGGCTTCCGTAAAATGTTCGCCTTGATTCCTGCCCTTACGAAAGCATGATTTGCATGATTTGTCGCCCTTGGCTTTTAGACATTACTCTTACTTGCGGTTGTTTCGTTGCTTAGTCTGTGAACCCCCTCTCGCTTTCCAGTGTTTCGTGGCTTCTAAAAGTTCTCAATTTACAAGGTTTGCGGGAATACAAAAGGCTAAGCATAGAACCCGAATTGGTGGTTTGGATTGGTGGTTTAGTGGTTGAGGAGGGGGTTTACGTTTGCCCTCTACAAAAGCCGTCCAAATCCCCAAACCACAACTCCAAAACAGCAACTAAGGGTTACCTGACCAAATTCACTTCTCAAGTGGATGGTCCCAAAAAGTCCAAACTTTCTATTTGCCACCAACATGGTCCAAACCTCAAAAATGTCTAAAGTCCGAAACGGAACTCAGAAAGGGGAGGCTAAGAAAGGACGTCCGGCTTCACCCCAAATGAGTCACAATCAAAACCCTGTACAAAAATGGTTCAACAATCAAGAAGCCGGCCGCACCACGAATTTGTGGTTGGGATCGTCCTTTACCAACCTTCATCTTCCAGCACCCGGGTTTTTTGATTGTGACTCAAATGCCGCCGCCCGCAGGCCTCGGGTTTTTCGGAATTTTCTGGGCGCCCGGGCTGGCGCAGGCGTGCTCCGCCGGCGAGAGCTGCCGGGAGGTGAAGCGCAGGGCCCGTCCCACGTGGCCGAAGCCTTGGGGGATGCAGCGCGCGCGAGCTCCAAGAGGCGGCGGCGACTCGTGACTCGTCTTTGCCTCCAAAAAACGGTGGGATGGCTTAAAGGACGGACAGACTCGTCTTTTGTACCTCAAAAAAATAAGGGGAGGGGGTTGCTGAAAGGACGGTTAAAAACCTTCGTCTGTTTTAAAGGACTCGTTTGCCGCTCAAAAAATCTGCTCCGCAAGCCGCTGAGCAATGGAAAAGCCAGTTTCCAAACGGGGTGCGAGGGGCTAAGGTCACACCAAAGACCAGCTGACTGAGGGAACCAAACCCAGTTGCCCCGTTTTGTGGGCGGAAGCACCCTGTCTTGTGCTCGAGGATCCCTTCTTGCGGCTGATCAGGGACAAAGGGAAACGCAGTTCGCAAATTTTGAGACAACGCCACCCAGAAACAGAAGGTGATCACGTTTTGGGGCCATGACTCCATGACTAAAAAGCGTGTCAAAGGGAGGAAATCAGCGCAAGGGAACCTTCATGACACCCACAATTGAAACAAGTGATGCGCCCGCATTGGTTTGGCACGTGTTTGTTCCTTCTTGTTTATTTTAACTTTGGGAACCTCTCTTTTGGGTTGTGGCAGCAGTGAAGCCAGACCCCGTTGTAATATGAAACCCCTGCTTGCTTTGGCTTCAGATGCTTTTTTCTCCCATCGCTTCGCTTCTGCTCCTCATCTCTCCCTCCGTCTGGCCCAATTGGGCAACGGGTGTCGCGGGCTCGACGAGTAACACGATGAACAAACACGTGAGCTTCGGATTGATCCGGAGGATCGACCTAACCAGGTGGCTGCTGTTCAAGTACATAATAACAGTATCAATTTTAGGATGTTCCTTTGACTGATAGGGTACGGGTAAATCCGAAGTTAACGCGGCAAATTCATCGCATGATGGCGCTTCACATCAACACAACCATGCGTGCCATGCGACGTCATCTACGCACCACAGTGGCTTGCGATTTGCCCAAGCAAGCACCGTGCAGCACTCGTGCAGCATGCATTTTAGCCAGTTCTTGCCCCGAATTGGTGACCCACAGATGCAGAGCGAGCCAGTTTCCATTTCAGATGAAACTGGCGCATACACAACGTATCTCCGGTTCCGTCAAAGTGACACTTGTGAAATGATTCTGAACATGGTAAACATGAACATTATCCGGTTCCATTCAAGCGGTTCACTGTTGAAATAAGATGACTTGTTTGTTGGTGACGCTCTGCCAAAAGTTAAACTTGTGTGTCAAATGGACAGTTCCACCGTTTCAACCCAAACAGCTAAAGTCCAAAGATCCGTCACCAATCAAATAGCCATAAAGATGACCTGCGCAACAAACACATGGCCACAGGTCACAATCCCGTACCCCTATAGTGAACATCCCAATCCCCACTAAAATCGACTACAATGAGTGGCGCACCTACCAACCAAAATGGTCCCAAAACGGTTTTGACCCATCACATGTTGAAGCCCAAGTTCGGGGCTGACTGGGCGCCTTTGGTCCCCTCTCCGAATTCTCACGCCAGGATCTCGGGTTCAGGACCCAAGCGCCAGGCCGCTTCCGCCAACAGAAGGATCCCCACCTGGGAAGAAAAAACAAAAAAGGCGCCCGTGGACTCAACGAGTCAAGGTGACCCCAAAACCAGGCCCTTTTCTTGGCCGCATTGCTTCCTTTGAACTAAGCCCGCTGGAAAAAACATACAAATATGTCCAGTAGTGATGACTTCCTCTTAAAACCAACAAGGGGAAATAACATGACATATTCTTAAGCAAATGCAGGATTGGTTTTTCCAGAGGGTCATGACACGAAAAAGGCGCCCCCGAACAAGAAATCCCTTTTGGAATCAACAAGTCTCTCGGGATGCTCATGTCCAACCAAACCCAAAAAGCTTACAACCTCAAAACGGGCTTCACAGAGTGAGCAACTGGGGGCAGGACCCTTCCCTCTTGCTAAGATACGGGTATGCCTCAAAAATTGGACGCCACTATAAATGCCGGGGGGCGGGGGGGAGGACCCTTGATTTCCCTCTAAACCAAAATGCCCTACTGAAACAAGATCCCCCGCAAACAAGCCTCCCACCATGAAAAGAGCAACATGCAAGTGAACAGGGCCTCCAAACATGTTAGGAGAGAAAAACAGTCACCCACATAGAACCTCTGGGGTAGATGTTGTTTTTTTGCAAAAGGACCCCGTGTCAGCATTCATGGTCGGTGGAAAAGAGCATTCAGTACCTGGGGAGCAACCTGTCGCTTGCAATGCTATCTAGTGCATCCTTGGCACTGGCACCAGCGCTGCCAGTCGAGGGAGAAATGCACGTCCGCGCTGGCAAAGGTCCTCGCAAAAGAGGAAGTCACATTTGGGCGTCGTTTTTCTGGGCCCCGCTAAACATTTAACCTTTAGCGGGTTTGGACACCACCACTAAACACGAGGCTAAAAAGCTCAGGAGCCGGATGGCTGGCCACCAAGTTTTCTGAGGTGAGCTTCTCTCAACAGGAGGGAGCCCCTAAGCAGGTGGTCTTCCTTTCAGGGCCAGCCCCAGGGAGGGCTGAAGATTTATCTACAGGTTTCCGGGCCTCACTCGAATGGAGGAACCTACAGGGAGCGTCCAAGAAGAGTCCCCGACACACTGACTCTACCCTAGCTTTACATCTCTCATGCGCTGTTTTCGCTGCCTGAAAACAACGCCATATCTCTAGCAGTGATAGATCCCCTTTAAACCCAACACAGGACAATGCATCATAAGTCTTAAGCACATGGAAGTACTCTTCACCACGGCAAAAATACCAAAGTCGCACCGTATGATTAAGTGGGAAAGGTACTTAGCAAACAATTAATAAGCCTGGTTATAACCCACTTAGGAAAACTATAGCCATGGCAAGTGGGTCATAACTGTCCTAACCAGGCTTACTAACCACTTACTAACTTGGTTGCTGTTGACCCCCCTGCAAACAGTTCAACTTGTTTGGGGTTCAGTGCAAGACCCCTTTATTTCAACCAACCAGATAAAGTCTAAAGATCCAACTCAATAGTCAATAGCAGTCAAGCTAAGTACCTTGCCCCTCTGTGAGTGCCCTTTTCACACCTCGCACCGCATCGGCGCGTTCCGCATCTCTTTTTCAGCCGAGCCTTCCGCAGGCATCTGCTGCGGACCTTTTCCGCCTTCGGTGCCCGGAAGCCCCCGCCCAGACGCCCCTCCCATTGGAGAGCGCTGGGTGGTCATGTGAGTTAGCCCTCAAAGGCGCGGTTGCTTTCTGCTCCCCTGCTCTTCATAACTTTCCATGACTCACCCCCCGGTCTGCTTCTGCTTCCCTGCCAGTCTGGGGCTCCTGGGCACGCAAAATGAACCGCGTTGGGTGAGATCAACCCGAGCACGACACGTGTCTCTGGTCGCCAGCTAAGCTCCGCCAAGCATGTCTTTGGCGCCTGCGCGACCTAGCTGGCAGCGGCAGTATCATGTGTGGACCGGGGCCCAGAAAATGTGTCTGCCACTATCGCCACAAATGTCTCCCCTCCCGCTCAGCTCACTTTCCTGCGGTGAGGAGGAAGGGAGCCTGGCCAAAGGTAGGTCCGCCACATGAAGCGGAGAATGTCGGGCTCGTCCAAGGAGGGGTCGCTGAAGGGGGCGATCATCTTTGCATGCATCTCCGGATACTTCGTCCAGTGCATGTTGCTGTACATGTGGTGGATGGTATGGTAGCCGTTGTTGCAGGTCAGCCAGTTGATGACGGGCCCCACAAAGTTACGGGCTGAGTTCACGTTCAGCTTGGGGCCCTTGTGCTCGCCCAGGACGATGTCTTCTGTTCCATCATGCTGCAGCATGTTCCTTGGCATGTCCGCAGAGGCCCCAGCACAGCTTAGAATCCAAGCGGTTTTTTTCTTTATCCCTCTGATAGACTTTCAGTGGGATATGTGGCCAACTCTACACTTGTTCACTGTTGCCTCATGCTTGATTTGGCTGGCTCAAATCAAGGCTTTGCACCTGCTTTGGATTGGAATCTGACCAAGTCTCATGGTGACAATGGCATCTGCTCCGAAGATATATGGAATGACCCAGCAGCAAAGTGCCCGCTGCCAGTCCAGGTAAAGCAGAATAGCCGTGGTCGCGTGTGCCGCAAGCACCTGCACGGGAAAGAAGGGTGTGCCTTCTTTTGGGGTACCGTGCTTGCGATAGTTGACAGGAACCGCAAAAGGAGCATCACGTAGGGGACCTCTGCCCAAAACACAACACATGCGAGAGTTCAACTGTCACAAACTGCGGGCGGATTGTAGCAAAACCACATCGAAACCACTTCAAAACAACCTCAACACTACCCAACCACTTTGAAAGCCCCGCCTGGAAGATGAAAAGGAAGAATGTCTTGGAACATTTCCTGGCCTCACTGGCGATGAATTCATTCTCCAGCTTCTGAATCTTTGGGAAAACCTGAGTCAGAGTTCTCCGTCCAGCACCCCGGAGCCACTGTTGTTTGGACAGTACTTGGGCCAGGGCCACTTGGGAATTTGGACAAAAACTGCTTTTGACTCCTCGTTTTCTGTGGGCTTTTTGGTTGGACTCTAAAGCTTGTCAGGTCCTCAGGTCAGCGGCCCTCCGCGAAGAACAGGAGCAAAAACACGACAACATTTTGATGGTACGCTTAGGTTTGAATCCTACGGGTGTCCAAATCCCGAGTTTTGGTTACCCCTACCCTTCCAGTCTGCCATGCGGCTGTGGGGAAAAAGAGCAGTAGGTTCAGCAAGTGCCACTTGTACTTCATCTGCTTGGTGTCCAGGTGGTCTCACAGGTCACACCAGATCTCTCCAAACCCACCAAGTTCTAGTTTACTTGGACCCCAGCATGTTTTTTGTCTTTTTTGCCTGGTTAGTGGAAAACAAAGGGACCCCTAAAAAGCAAAAGAACAAACAGGGGACCTCTGGGGAAGTTTAAAGTCCCGCTTTTTGGAGGTCCTCCATTTGCTGTAGTCCCCTGGAAAAATAGTTCTATTCTTAACCAAATGGAAGAGGTGCAAAAAGTGGTTTGGAGCCAGTTGGACATGGGTGTTGGGGCCGGCGGCCTCCATGCTGCGTATAGACGTGGTGGTTCATGTTGTGGGTGGGGCGGTATGACTCCACCGGCACCCCTGCTGTCGCTGAAAGTAGCACCCGCCAAAAGGACTCCACTCCGGGATGCTCAAAGACGTCGCAGTGCATCGCGTTGTGCACCTGGCGTTTGGATCCGGAAGTCAAAGGCTCTAGGGGTTGATTCCTTTTTCATTATTTTCATCGTTCTTTTCAAAAACCGATCGCAATTTCCCCAGGGTTTTTGGTGGTTTTCTAGAAAAAAGGATCCCTGGAAAGAATGGGGAAGCTACCCATAGAAAGGTGGGCGCAGTTCCCCCTTTTAACTGGGTACCCATCTTGCTTGGTGGGTGTTTGACGGAAACGCGGGATTTGCACCTGGACCCTCAAACTACTACAAAAAAAGGTGGACCCAAGATTCTGCGGGGTAGTTTGAGGGGCCAGGAACAATTGGGTAAGCTGTTGGGACTTTACTACAAGTAGACAAAGGCGAAGCCAAAAGGTGAAAAGGTCGATTCGCTTTGGACTAAGGCACCATGGTCATGACGTAGAAACTCGAGAGGCATTGAATGACCCCGGCCACCATTTTCCCCATGATGCCGAGATATGGGTGGAGATTCCACACAAGGGCCAAAATGAGCCATTTGGCTGCACAAATGCCCAGTGTCCGCACGTCCGCCACGTTCTTCATGAACATTGGCCTGGACTGCCTATCTTGATCCTCCATATTCGCCATACTTCGAGCCAAAATATGGCTTGCTGGAGTCGATACAGTAGCGTATAAACAACCATCTCATCGTGGTTCAGCTGTACACCAAGGTACAGTAGATGGCCTAATTCCCTTTACTCCTTTACATAGGCAAGTAGAGAGATGATAACTATACCAAACTAAGTGCATGGTGCCCTCTACTTTCACCCAACTGTAGTCCGATTCTCTGCCTCTTGCTTCTCTCTTTCTCTCTCTGCTTGGCCCTACAACCAGATGCAATAAGACAATATGTCCAGCAATGATCGATTCCAAAACACTGGCGCCCGTCCTGAGCCGATCCTTTGGCCTTCCCATGCGCTTTGCTGTCGCCGCCTTCTGCGAGATGCTCCAAATCTTGGGACGCACCCTGCGACATGTCAGGACCGGTTGGGGGATCCTTTGCTTCGCAGGCTGGGGACGTGGCACCAGTTTTCGGGGACGCACTGGCTGCTTGGAAATCCGGCAGCAATGACATGCCAGCAGGTTCCTCTGCTTCCTCACTGGCTGCGGCAGCTGAAATGGAGTTGCCACCCGGACTCAACTCTGCATTGCCGAAGTCGGACCTGTCCAACGAAAGATCCTGGCACAGCACATGGACCTCCTCTTGCAGGCCTTGCTCAGCTATGTCAGCGTCCTCAAAAGCGACAAGCTCGGAGCTGAGCTGGTTCGGACTGCTCGGCTGAGGCAACTCTGATGTCTCCTCATGCTCTCTCTCAGTGCTGGCTTCTGGCTGCTGCGAAAGCACATCTTCCTCATCCCTGCAGCTCCCGCATTCATCCTCCAAGGCATCGCGAAGGGAGGCAGCCTGCGGAATGCCATCAGCATGTTCCTCGCCAAGTGACTGGTTGTGCTCCCCTCCGTCTTCCTCACTGGCATCCTCAGTCTCCACAAGTTGCTCGAACAGCTTGTGGCTGCTGTCGCTCTGCTTGTCCTCAGGCTCCATGGCAGCATCTGAACCCATGGGGGATGCTGCAGCACCAACTTGCGGGGACTCACTGGCTGCTTGGACATCCGGCAGCAATGACATGCCAGCAGGTTCCTCTGCTTCCTCACTGGCTGCGGCAGCTGAAATGGAGTTGCCTCCCGGACTCAAGTCTGCATTGCCAAAGTCGGACCTGTCCAACGAAAGATCCTGGCACGGCACATGGACCTCCTCTTGCAGGCCTTGCTCAGCTATGTCAGCGTCCTCAAGTGAAGCGACAAGCTCGGAGCTGAGCTGCTTCTGACTGCTCGGCTGAGGCAACTCTGATGTCTCCTCATGCTCTGTCTCAGCGCTGGCTTCTGGCTGCTGCGAAAGCACATCTTCCTCATCCCCACAGCTCCCGCATTCATCCTCCAAGGCATCGCGAAGGGAGGCAGCCTGCGGAATGGCATCAGCATGTTCCTCGCCAAGTGACTGGTTGTGCTCCCCTCCGTCTTCCTGACAGGCATCCTCAGTCTCCACAAGTTGCTCGAACAGCTTGTGGCTGCTGTCGCTCTGCCTGTCCTCAGGCTCCATGGCAGCATCAGCTGGCTCCTCAAAGTCTAACTGTGCCGCATCCTCACCATCTGAACCCATGGGGGATGCTGCAGCACCAGCTTTCGGGGACGCACTGGCTGCGTGAAAATCCGGCAGCAATGACATGTCAGCAGGTTCCTCTGCTTCCTCACTGGCTGCGGCAGCTGAAATGGATTTGGCACCTGCACTCATGTCTGCATTCCGGAAGCCAGACTCCTGGCACGGCACACGGACCTCCTCTTGCAGGTCTTCCTCCTCAAAAGCGACAAGCTCGGAGCTGAGCTGTTTCGGACTGCTCGGCTGAGGCAACTCTGATGTCTCCTCATGCTCTGTCTCAGCGCTGGCTTCTGCCATGGATTGCGGCAGCTGCGAAAGCACATCTTCCTCATCCCTGCAGCTCCCGCATTCATCCTCCAAGGCATCGCGAAGGGAAGCAGCCTGCGGAATGCCATCAGCATGTTCCTCGTCAAGTGACTGGTTGTGCTCCCCTCCGTGCTCCTCACTGGCATCCACGGTGTCCACAAGTTGCTCGAAAAGGTTGTGGCTGCTGTCGCGCTGCTTACCCTGAGGCTCAGCTGGCTCCTCAAAGTCTAACTGTGCCGCATCCACACTGGCTGCTTGGACATCCTGCAGCACTGACATGCCAGCAGGTTCCTCTGCTTCCTCACTTGCTGCTGCAACTGAGATGAATTTGGCACCCCGACTCAAGTCTGCATTGCCGAAGTCAGACCTGTCCAACGAAAGATCCTGGCACGGCACATGGACCTCCTCTTGCAGGCCTTGCTCAGCTACATCAGCGTCCTCAAAAGCGACAAGCTCCGAGCTGAGCTGTTTCTGACTGCTCGGCTGAGGCAACTCTGATGTCTCCTCATGCTCTCTCTCAGCGCTGGCTTCTGGCTGCTGCGAAAACACATCTTCCTCATCCCTGCGGCTCCCGCACTCCTCGCAAGCATCGCGAAGGGAGGCAGCCTGCGGAATGGCATCAGCATGTTCCTCGCCAAGTGACTGGTTGTGCTCCCCTCCGTCTTCCTCACTGGCATCTTCAGTCTCCACAAGTTGCTCGAACAGCTTGTGGCTGCTGTCGCTCTGCTTGTCCTCAGGCTCCATGGCAGCATCAGCTGGCTCCTCAAAGTCTAACTGTGCCGCATCCTCACCATCTGAACGCATGGGGGATGCTGCAGCACCAGCTTTCGGGGACGCACTGGCTGCGTGGAAATCCGGCAGCAATGACATGTCAGCAGGTTCCTCTGCTTCCTCACTGGCTGCGGCAGCTGAAATGGAGTTGCCACCCGGACTCAACTCTGCATTGCCGAAGTCGGACCTGTCCAACGAAAGATCCTGGCACAGCACATGGACCTCCTCTTGCAGGCCTTCTTGCTCAGCTATGTCAGCGTCCTCAAGTGAAGCGACAAGCTCGGAGCTGAGCTGGTTCGGACTGCTCGGCTGAGGCAACTCTGATGTCTCCTCATGCTCTGTCTCAGCGCTGGCTTCTGCCATGGATTGCGGCAGCTGCGAAAGCACATCTTCCTCATCCCTGCAGCTCCCGCATTCATCCTCCAAGGCATCGCGAAGGGAGGCAGCCTGCGGAATGCCATCAGCATGTTCCTCGCCAAGTGACTGGTTGTGCTCCCCTCCGTCTTCCTCACAGGCATCCTCAGTCTCCACAAGTTGCTCGAACAGCTGGTGGCTGCTGTCGCTCTGCTTGTCCTCAGGCTCCATGGAAGCATCAGCTGGCTCCTCAAAGTCTAAATGTGCCGCATCCTCACCATCTGAACCCATGGGGGATGCTGCAGCACCAGCTTTCGGGGACGCACTGGCTGCTTGGGTATCCCCTTCCTCACTGGCTGCGGCAGCTGAAATGGATTTGGCACCCGGACTCATGTCTGCATTCCGGAAGCCAGACCAGTCCAACGAAAGATCCTGGCACGGCACACGGACCTCCTCTTGCAGGCCTTCCTCCTCAAAAGCGACAAGCTCGGAGCTGAGCTGTTTCGGACTGCTCGGCTGAGGCAACTCTGATGTCTCATCATGCTCTGTCTCAGCGCTGGCTTCTGCCATGGATTGCGGCAGCTGCGAAAGCACATCTTCCTGCACGGGCTCTTTCTCATCACTGCAGCTCACGCACTCCTCGCAAGCATCGCGAAGGCAGGCAGCCTGCGGAATGGCATCAGCATGTTCCTCGCCAAGTGACTGGTTGTGCTCCCCTCCGTCTTCCTCACTGGCATCCTCAGTCTCCACAAGTTGCTCAAAAAGGTTGTGGCTGCTGTCCGGCTCCTTGTCCTCAGGCTCCATGGCAGCAGCTGGCTCCTCAATGTCTGACTCTGCTGCTTGCCGTGGGAACACCGCTGGCTGGCAATCGTCATCTGAACAAAAAGGCGATGCTGCGGCAGCTTCTGGGGAGTCATTCACAAAAACTTCTTCCGCAGCGCCCTCGGGCACGTCCATCAGGCCCTCTGTCGCAGCTTCTCCTTCCTCTATGTCCTCTGCTTCCTCATCAGTTGCTGCGTCTTCCGCATCTGCTGGCTCTTGTGATTCTGCCTCATCTGCAAGTTCCTCCAAACTGACGTCAGACCTGGCGGAGCTAAGTTCTGAATGTGTCAATGTCAAGTCCTCATCCGGCTCGTCTTGCTCAGAAGCCACAGGCTCAGAGCACTCAGCATCACACTCAATGCTCTCGCCCTCTGAGTCCGCATAGTGAAGCTCCAAAGTTCCTTGAAATCCCCTCATGTGGTTCACAATGCGCCGCGGCACCTCGGACCCCTCAGGCCGCTCCTCCTCGCTCGCTGGCTGCGCGGAGCTTTGCAAGTCGGCCATGTGCGGCACCTGTTGCGCAAGCACCGCATCCCTCTCGTCCCGGCTGCTTTCGCACTCCTCGTGGACGGTTTGGACAAGTTGCTCGAACACGTCGTGGCTGCTGTCGCGCTGCTTATCCTCAGGCTCCATGGCAGCATCAGCTTGCTCCTCAACGTCTGGCGAGGCCCCCAGTGCTGGGCAATCGTCACCGAGATCCTCTGCAATGTCGGCTTGAGAGCGTAGAGCATCCTCATCTGAACAAAAGGGCGATGCTGCGGCAGCTTCCGGGGAGTCATTCACAAAAACTTCTTCCGCAGCGCCCTCGGGCACGTCCATCAGGCCCTCTGTCGCAGCTTCTCCTTCCTCTATGTCCTCTGCTTCCTCATCAGTTGCTGCGTCTTCCGCATCTGCTGGCTCTTGTGATTCTGCCTCATCTGCAAGTTCCTCCAAACTGACGTCAGACCTGGCGGAGCTAAGTTCTGAATGTGTCAATGTCAAGTCCTCATCCGGCTCGTCTTGCTCAGAAGCCACAGGCTCAGAGCACTCAGCATCACACTCAATGCTCTCGCCCTCTGAGTCCGCATAGTGAAGCTCCAAAGTTCCTTGAAATCCCCTCATGTGGTTCACAATGCGCCGCGGCACCTCGGACCCCTCAGGCCGCTCCTCCTCGCTCGCTGGCTGCGCGGAGCTTTGCAAGTCGGCCATGTGCGGCAGCTGTTGCGCAAGCACCGCATCCCTCTCGTCCCGGCTGCTTTCGCACTCCTCGTGGACGGTCTGGACAAGTTGCTCGAACACGTCGTGGCTGCTGTCGCGCTGCTTATCCTCAGGCTCCATGGCAGCATCAGCTTGCTCCTCAACGTCTGACTGTGCCGCATCCACACCATCTGAACCCATGGGGGATGCTGCAGCACCAGCTTTCGGGGACGCACTGGCTGCGTGGACATCCGGCAGCAATGACATGTCAGCAGGTTCCTCTGCTTCCTCACTGGCTGCGGCAGCTGAAATGGATTTGGCACCCGGACTCATGTCCGCATTCCGGAAGCCAGACCAGTCCAACGAAAGATCCTGGCACGGCACACGGACCTCCTCTTGCAGGCCTTCCTCCTCAAAAGCGACAAGCTCGGAGCTGAGCTGTTTCGGACTGCTCGGCTGAGGCAACTCTGATGTCTCCTCATGCTCTGTCTCAGCGCTGGCTTCTGCCATGGATGGCGGCTGCTGCGCAAGCACATCTTCCTCATCCCTGCAGCTCACGCACTCCTCGCAAGCATCGCGAAGGGAGGCAGCCTGCTGAATGGCATCAGCATGTTCCTCGCAAAGTGACTGGCTGTGCTCCCCTCCGTCTTCTTCATTGGCATCCTCAGTGTCCACAAGTTGCTCGAACAGGTTGCTGTCGCGCTGCGTGGCCTCTGCTGCTTGATATGGGAACACCGCTGGCTGGCAATCGTCACCGAGATCCTCTGCAATGCCAACGCTGGCTTGGGAGCGTGCTCTATCACCATCTGAAACAACGGGGCATGCTGCGGAAGCTTCTGGCGAGTCAGTCGAACAAATCTTTTCCCCAGCGCCCTCGGGCGCGCAATCCTCTGTCTCCTCTGCTTCCTCTTCCGCTGCGTCCGCCGCTGCTGCCTCTGATTCTGCCTCTGCAAACTCTCCAGCCAGAACCCCATCTGCAAGCTCCTCTCGGCTCGCATCCGCACAGAAGCGCAGGGTGTCCCCAAGTTCCTTCAGCTGAGCACCGCCCTCCGACGCCATCGCCCCGACCGCAGACAGAGCCATCGGCCGTCCCAGGTGCACGGCGATGCGACCCTCCAACTCCTGGTCAAGGCTCAGGTCCACCTGCAAGGCTGAGATCTGGCGGGGAGCGCCACCCGAAATGGGATTCAGGTGTCCGCGCAGCGGAGTCAAGTTGAGGCTGCACTTCATATGTTCATGCCTTGCCCAGGTAGCATTTACTTGGGTGCTGTAGATCCCCCAGCAAAAAGTTTAACTTTTGCTGGCGCCCACCCGAAATGGGATTTAAGTGTCCACTGGTCAGGGGGTCAAGTTAAGGCTGCAATTCACTTGACTGGAATTGATAGACCCCAGCAAAAAACCATATGGTTTGCCTAGTGGAAAACAAAGGGGACCCCGAAAAAGCAAAAATATTCAAGGGGAACTAATTCTGGGGAAGTTCATATGTTCATCCCTTGCCCAGGTAGCATTTACTGCTTGAACTCCAGAGATCCAAGGAAGCTCTGTGAGAAGGGGTGCACCAACTTCCACGAACCCAACCTGCCACTCGCAGATGGGAACCCTTCCAATGGCCAAAGGCTGCAAGGCAACAACGCCAGGACTCTGTGCAACCAAACAACCACCCATTTCCCAGTTGTCCGAAGGACCCATACAAAAGGTTCACCTCTTGGGGCCATGAAATGGACCAAAAGGTTCGGAAACCAACAAATCAAAAGGTCGGCTTGGTGCACTGCTCACAGTTGAACAGCTGCTTATTTGAGTCAGAATCAAGACCTGGTATTAACATGGCCTACCCAGACCCAGAACCATGCAAAGAAGTACAAGGGCGGAAATGTCCACTTCTCTTATGGTTGGGACTACCCCTTAGCTGCGTCTACCCGGGGAATTGATTGTGGCTCATTTGTTAACTTTGGCGCTTGCCCATTTTTCGTTTTCGGCCTGCGCTGGCGAATAGCCCGGCGTCGGGCTATGCGCGATGTCGAAGGACAGGTGGGTCTTGCTCTGCAACTCCCCTTGCTCCTGCCCATTGGCCAAGGGTAAAAACTCCGTGTACATCTTGGAAAGAGGGGCACGACTTGTCCAATCTGGTTTCATCATCTATCTTACCCTCCACTTGCGTTTTCGCCCTAGCAGAAAAAAACAAAAGAAAACATCTTCCATATTCTTAAGGAAATGGAAGTGACATACCGACAAGTTTCAGGTCTTTTGACGATCAGCCCACTACCCACTCCAGCCTCCACATCATGTCCAGCCTGGGTTGCACGAGGGCGCTTCTTATGGAATATCCTGATTCAGCATGTCCTAAATTGTTCATTCATGAGACGTCGCAAATTCCGTGATTTATGATTCATGAGAGCTTGGACTTGCCCATCACCATATTCTTGAAACATGACATTGTCCAATGCAAACAAATACCCACTTGCGACGATCAAATCTTCAAATCCATTGGCTTGCATGCAGTCTGGCTCTCCCGTGTTTTTCTAACATCTTCCTCTAATACCGAGTTGATTTGCATCACCACGTCTTTACTGCATCGCCTGTCTGCCTGTCTATCTGCCTGTCTGTCTCTCTGTGCGCACGTGCGTCCCATCGGCACTTCTGCGAACATCTGGCCAACGAGTATTCGCAAGCCTCAGCTCACCCAAACTTGCTACGTTGTTTGTTTGAACGTCAGCTTCCCTCCAATTGGTGGCTTGGATTGGTGATTTAGTGGTTAGGGACAGTTTCCCATTCACCCTGCACCACCAGGATTCTCGCCAAACCACACAAACCAAACCACTTATTGACCCCTCTCCAAACAATGAACACTTTGTGTGGTCCGATGGAAATCCCCGACCTGGCCGAACAGCCTGGGGCTTCAACAACCAGGGCTTCCATTGTCAATGGTCCAAACCACCAATCTGCTGATCTTTCCTATAATTCCAAAAGCAAATTTAGACTCGGCACCGAGTAAAGGACCTTTTTAATGGCTACCGCTCGTTATTCCCCAGCTCATTGGTGAGCTCGCTACGGACCAATCCGCACCACCCATCTTTTTCCGGGTGACCTGAGCAACCTCGGTTGCTTTCTGCTCCCCTACTAAAAGTTAACTTTTAGTGGTCTAAGACGGAAAACCCATTAGTTGGCGAAAAGCTAAAGTCCTAACATCCCTGGGCAAAATTTGCGCCAAAGCAACCATGCATCTCCCGCGCCGGGCCCCGCGCTTCCAAGAACTTCTCACAGCTCCTTGGGCTCTTCGCCGACTTCGTCTTCTTCGGCGTGGAGGGCGGTGAGGGGTCCTGACGCAGATCTGCGGGCTGTGGTGGAATTGGAAGCCACGTCTGTGATACGACCAACCGGGTTTCCCAAAGACTAACCCCCCCATAAGAGGGAGAATTCCCAAAAGTATCACAGAAGTGGTTGGATAAACCCCGAGTGATCCAACACAATCCTGATTTTTAACTTCCATTTGGTTAAGAAGCCACATGACACTCCCTCCGGGCACAGGAGATTCTGAGATGCCGAAGGCACCGAGCCACCACAACGGGACCAACCCCCTTGGGACGAAGGCGGATGGCGGCCTGGCCTCGGACGCTTGGGTCCAGTCCAGCTCGAACTCCTGGAGGATGTCCCAGTCCCGCTTCTCTTCGCCTGGGCCTTGCCGGGGGATCCAAGATGGGATCCCGGGGCTCAACCCGCCCGCTCACAAGAGTAAAGTGTCCTTTCGCTTGGTACGATGTTGGATGGAATGGAATTGCTGTCTCGAAATATATCATTCTTCGAACAACTGGATCCAACAAACCCCCACCGAAAACAAAAAAAGGGGTGAGGTGGTTTGCTGGCCCCAATGCTCAGCAACGCGTGAAACGTGGGGATGGCTAATGGCATGCACGCGGTATTCACGCCTATATATATATATATATATTCAACACACATGACCTCTAAGTCTTATTAGGGCTTCTGGGGGTATGTGCAACTGACTTTGGGGGTAAGTCAGGCCAAGCAGCTGTCCACCTCCGCGTCAATGCAATGCTGGAGCTCCGTGTCACCTCGATGCGGACGTGCATTTCGGTTGCCAAGAGCGGCACGTGTGAGGCTTGGCACGGCCAGGGCTCCACATCGAGTTGGATTTCGGGGCCCAAAAACGGGCGGAGCCATCGGTTTTCCCATTGAACACATCGAGCTACCTGAGCAGCGATGCGCTTAGCTCAACTGTGGGAAGCCCGCCGTCCCCTCCCGTGTATGGCGTGGACTTACCACGCAAGGATGGATGGATGGATGGATGGGATGGGATGGGATGGGATGGGATGGGATGGGATGAATGGATGGATGGATAGATGCATGGATGGATGGATGGATGGATGGATGGATGGATGGATGGATGGATGGATGGATGGGATGGCATGGAGCAGTAACAAGTCTTGCCGAGAGCTGCGTGCGGAAAACCATCTCCCCCTACGGGAGGAAAACCATCCAGCTTTGTGGAAGGGGAGGTTGAATGATAACAAGTACAACCAAACTTCCCGCGAACCAGCAACCAACCAACAAAAACCCACCAACCAGCCAGCCGGCCGGGCAGCCGGCCGACCAACCAAGCAAGCAAGCAAGCAAGCAAACAACACAAGCAAGCAACACAAGCAAGCACGCAACTAAATTAATGCATAAGCACAAAACTATATAAATAGACACAACAAGCCTGTATGCATATCATGTATCTTACATGTCAGCAAGGTTTTCTGGTTGCTAAATCGGGACACGCACAATTCTTGGCAAATCACCTTTTCGCCGATCCCCTTTTGGCTTTTTTAGGGTTAATCAAGAAAAACAACGCGCGGGCTCTTGATCAAGCTTTTTTGCTTGGTTTTAAAAGTCATGCCTTCCGTATTTTGGCGTCCAACACTCAGATGCCCAGTGGCCATGGGGAAAAAGGGGTATCCTTGTTTGGTTGGTTGACTTGACCGGGGAACCCTTCCCAACAAGAATGAAAACACGAAGGACGACTAAGCAACTGCATGGGGAAAAAGGGGCATCCTTTTTGGCTGGTTGACTTGAAAGGGAAACCCTTCCCAACAAAAAGCAAAAAAGGGAACCGCTGGGCAACTTGGAAAGAAGGACGAGCGATCCACTAGGTCCTCCAGTGGAGAGGTTAGACTAAGGGTACCAGTCTATTGGGAACCCTCCCAAAAAAAAGGGTAGAAGGGCACTGCTGGGGGACCTAGTCCACGTGGGCTGTGAATCGAACCCAAAGCGTCCGCCCGGCACATTGGACGGGGCGCTGCGAAGCTCCGACTCCAAAGGCACGAAGCAACTCTCGGCGAGGAGTGGAGCCTCCATCGATCAAGCGCCGCTCGGCTTCCAAAAAACAAGGTAGGCAAACCTTTTGTATGCGCGCAAATTGGCAGCCAAACCCCAAAAGTGGCCAAAGTCCATAAACTCAGGGAGTGAAAATTGTCTGGAAGGCGCAAGAAATCAACCCGTCCGTTCTTGGACAGACGTGTGAAACCCATGGGGAGCGCGTAGGAAACCCCTAGAAACGTAAGACGTCGACCAGTCTTGGTCAACTCACTTGGTGGCTCAAAGCTCAAGAGCCAGAAAGCCGGAGGTGGTGGTCGATGCTTGCAGCTAGAGTTCTACCTTGGGCCCCTATTTTGAGTGGATGACAAAACCAAGTCCATGATTGCTTGATTACCTGGTCGCAAAAAGTGACTGAAGTTTGTGAACTCAGCAATTGAGGTCCCCTCCTTCCAACAAGCATGGAAGTGGACAGGGGGCTTCCCCAAAACGAAGGTCGTCTTCGAGAACCCTCTTGCTTAGCTTCCACGAATGTTGGAGGGGAGGAAGGAAGGACATTAAAAAAAAAAAAAAAAAAACTCCCCGCCTTGGGGGCATGGACAATGGAGGTCAACCCATCCGACGGCGCCTATCCCCCAGCCACCGGGGAAGCACCGAAACCGAAGCCCGGGCCCCGAAGCGAAAAAGTTTTCTCGGCGCCTCGGCCATTGAGATGTCGCCTCAGAGGCGAAGACAAATCTGGGTGAATTATAATATTTCGCCAACCAGAAACAAGGTGGCTGGGGGGCTATTCCCCACATAACCACCATGTGGGGTGAGGTCGTGTGAAGTCGTTATAATTCACCCAGACAAATGTCGGTGCAGCAGGTCAGGTTTATGGTTCAGGACATTTGATGGGTCCAAATATGTCCGAATTAAGCAACCTCTCCATGCCCCCCCCTTAAAGAAAAAAAAGACGAGCGACAAATGAACAGGCTGGTTCCTTTCCGACTGGAAAATCCCGCGCTTTCTGCAGCTCAGCTAGGGGCTGGGCAGCTCTCGCAAAGCCGGAGAGAAGTTAGGACCAAATCGCTGGCAACTTGAGCCGGTGCTCAGGTCGCCGTGCGAAGAACTTGGGCGGAAACCAAAAACGCCGCCCCGCCGCTCCCGGGAAGGTTCTCGGAATGTTGCCAATGCGTCCCCCTAGAATGTAAAACAATATGTCCCGTAGGGCTAGATTCCCTGTAAAACCACCACGCAGTCTTCGGTCTGCAAACGGAAGTTCTTGTGTCTCCAAGGGGTCCAGCGAAAACAAACCGGTTTTGACACTCGCCATGCGGATTGGTCTGAAGCTGGGGAGCTTTCTTATTGCATGGTGCAGCGAAACCTTTAAGGAAACCAAGCATTTGTGAAGGGTTTGAGGACCAACCCACATGAGCTGCTCTGCTTCTTTGAGTGCTTTGAAGCCGCACACCGTTCACTAAGAACATGTACAATGTAGGCGTTTTCTGCCACTTGGAGATGTAACACGGCGCCTTGGAAAATGGAAAACCAAAGACTAACGGCGGAATTGCCCCAAAGGCTCAAGTTTGAGCCACATGGAACCTGCCAATAAACGGTGTTCATGTGGGGTCTCTGTGGGCGTAACCCTTATTGACCGAAACCCTTGTGCTTCATATATCGATGGACTGCCACAAAGGAAGGTTTGCTCCCGCAATAAAAGAGAAAGCGCGCTCTGTTTGTGGCCACGCGCCGAGGTTCACCAAAGCTCGCCCTGGCTTCATGTCTCCCCTTTGCGAAAACATCACGAAAAGTACCCATGCTTGAAATGGCAAGCCAAAGCAGGGCTCCTGATTAAATTGCACATGGGTATGTGTCAAAGCAGGGTTACCCCCGAAATATGCAAAAACAACCAACCCTAAAAGGGTATGGAATTCAATAGCGGATTGGTCAGAACAAGTCTAAACTTTTTCCCAAAAGTAAGTCTGGAACTGGAGTGAGGGTAGCCTCAAGAAGACACAAACACAGACACGACACATACCCATCGTTTTCGAGACTCTCCTTCGCCTTCTACGAACCCTTTTCATTTTTTAGGGGACCCCCCCCAAAGAAAAAGAACAAAGTGGGTTTCCTGTTGGCCTCACTTGAAACTCCAAACAAAATGTGTAGCAACTCCAAACAGGACGAGCCACCTGGACAAACTCTTGCAGCACCCCCAGTAGAGAGGATAGCAATAAGGATACCCTTTTTCTCTGTAGTCTATTTTAGTGGGGAAACCCTCCCAACCAAAAAGAAACGGTAAAAGTTGGCACCTAGCTGGGGGACCTAGTTTTGCAACCCTCCACAGTCTGTCTCCATCCGGGGCTTCCGGCCGTTCCCGACCGGCACCTCAGGCCCCTCCGAGACCGGCGTCAGGCTCCAGCCCCAGTCCGGGGTTCGGCCCACGCGCAGCAGGAAGGGCAGCGATGGCACCTGCGCTGCGAGAACTTGCGATCGCTGTGGGTAAAGAATATGGTTGAATGAAGCTGGGGAGTCCCTTGAAGGAAACCGCCAGGGATGGCGTATGGGGGTTGATGTTTGAAGAGTCATGCCACTTTTTTATGGGGTAGGGAATAAAGCGGGGTTTGGGTGCGATATGTAACGAATGTCAAAAGTAGGTTACCCTTACACGAATATCAGCTTCCAGGAAAGCTTGCGATCGGTGCGATAGGTGGGGAATGACCCAGGGTTGGGAATGAACCGTTTTGGGATTCGCAAATAAAGAAAGGAACCCATCAGTTGGATGGCTTTTCTCGGGCATTCCATTTCTCATTCCCTGCCTATCGTACCAGCAAATGCAATCCAAAACCCCGAGTTTTTTTGCGGGCTCGTGTGGATGGACTTGTGAAGTCCATCCTTTTCGCACCACTGTTCATGTTGACCCAGGTTCACAAACCTATCCTACCATGCGGTGGTGGCAGCCAGAGCAAAGTGATTTGAACCCCCACTAAACAAGGGACACAAACTGAAACCAGGGGTTCTGGTTTATCCGGGTTCCCATTACAACCTGCTGTGGATGCACGAAATCCTGCAACACTGTTCAGAAACCCTCCTAACGTAAATGCAGCAACAAGCGTTATATGGTTTCAGCCATGGTTTCTTTTCTTGGTGTGAACAGGGATTCAATCCATCCACAGTAGGTCAGTAGGCCACTCCTAAGATGCATCTTGAGCTCGTTAAACAACATTGCTTTAGGCGTGTGTGTGTTCAAAGCTGCATTTTTCTGTGTGGAAAAAGACAATGGGGGGGGGGGTTTTCTATGATGTTGGGTGTCATTTTGGGAATGTGCGCCTGTTTTGGCGAGGGGTTTGACAGAACAAATGGATAAACCACTACTCTCTTTTTGTATGCGTGTGTGCGTGTCGTTTTTGAAGGTAATCTTGCATCACACGTGTATCACCCCCAAGTTCACGGTAAAATTGGGCTCCCAAAAACAAATCCCTTTAGCGGCTTCTCAAGATGGGTTGTTTTTTTGGGCTTCCATGTTAAACAGAGCACACTCCAACCTGGGGGAGAGGAGTTTTTGCTTTGGGGGGTTCGTATGTTGAACTGGGGAATCCCCTCTCCAACCTGCGTCTCTTCTTGGTTGCTCTCGACCCCTGTGCGAAAAGCTTGAATTCAACCAAAAAGGTTCAAGTCTAAGGATCCAAGCCAACAGCAGTCAAGATGAAGGGAGAATTGACTTGTGGAAAGGCCAGTTGAAAAATAAAAAGCCGAGGAAACCAAAAACCAAGGCAGGTGCAAAACTGCCGTCTAGTCGTTGCTGGTCTCCCTTTTTTTTCCTTCGGCAGAGGGGGCGTCAGGCGCCCGCGGCGTTGCCCGTCGCCTCCATGAGCTCGCAGCCGGAGCTGCGGGGCCGGCGCCGGGGCACCGGGGGAGTCGGCAAGGGCACCGCGGCCAAAGGCAGCGGCAGGGGCATGAGGAACGGTCCTGCCCCGAGAGAAAAGAAAAACGCGAAAAAATCACCTCCTGGCCCGTCAGATCAGCTTCCTCTTGGAACTTTGGTTTGGTGGAGAGCTTCCGAATTCGTGGGGTGAGGATTTGAATCCCCAGTTCTTGTCAAGGGCGAATGAGGAACCCTCGAAACACCTCCAAACCAATCCAAATCACCGATAGAAAAGCTGAGCAGGGGTAGAACCCGAGGACAAACAGAACAGGGAAAGGAACTGCATGCCGAGACAAGATCAACATTCCTGAAATGCATTCCTTCCTTTGGCAGGAAAACAGGACACCCTTGTGCCACCAAAGCGAAACTCAGAAGTTACAAGTTTCAAAGACTCAGCAAACAGCAGACCATACCCATCCATTTGCTTAAGTCCCCTGAACAACTAAAACAATCCAGCCTTAAATCCAACACAACGGTGAACAATCAGAAATGCTCTTAAGTAAATGGAAGTATACCGCACCTCCCACCTCCGACCTCCCACCTCCGACCTCCCACCCCCTGTCCGTCGGCGAAGCGCCGCCCAAAGTGCAGCAGCGGGGGCGGCGGGGGCCGCAACGTCCGAAGGAATCTTGGCCGCGGCAGCTCCCTCCGCCGGCCTGCGGAGTCGGAGCCGCTGTTGTTTTTCTTCAAAAGGGTCCAAGGAATGGCCCGAAATCAGGCGGAGGGTCGGGAGGAAAAAAAAAGAGCAGATTTGTTAGCTGTTGTTTTTGTGTTGTTTGTCAAAATAGCTTAGCATGTGTGATTCATCTGGTTTATTCATTTACTGTTGTTTGAGTACTTTCTTCATTGGTATTATCATCATTATATATTATTATTGTTATTATGATTATGATTATTTTGTTATTTTTTATGTTTTCTTTTGGGGGGTCCCTCTTTTTAGAGAAACCCCAGATTGCTATGAATTTCCATGGTTGGTTGGTGGAAACGAAGACTCGATTCATTTTTCGGCACGCCGAGAGGTCTGGGATGTGTACATGTTTCTTGGCGCCAAAGAAATCTGGGTTCTTCATGAGACGCATCTACTGCCTTTTGAGGGCATCCTTGGGAGATCAAAGGGAAGCCTGGCAACAACTCATGTTGGCCGCAGCAAACCTGACAAGATACCTCTCATTGAGCCAGTCATGGAGCCTCTGAGGCCGGAGGGTTGTTTCCTTGTGGCTTCCCGAAAGGGGTTCCGCGCTTTCACGCGGGGTCGAACTGGCAGAGGAATCGAGTGCTCGGGCGGAAGAGCAACCCGGCGGCAAAGCCGGAACCTAAAAAACCATCCACCCTGGTGGATACAAAATGGCAACCACACTAATGGCCCCTTTTCTTCTCCAGGCGAAACACCTGCACATGTAAACACAACTAGGGCTACAAACAACATAGATCCTAACTGACTAGGATGAAGCCAACCCTCAAATTTTAAGCCCCGTGTTCTTCAACCTCCGTTTGGCTGCTTTTGTCTAGGGCAGCCACCATTTTGGGGGTATGGTGCAAACCGAAACTGAAGCAAACCCAATGAGCGTCCAGTCCAAGCAAGCCCCACCCTCACTGCCCCACCTAGATGTTTCACCAACTTAGTAGGTCATAACTTTCATGACCATGGCAGCTGGGGAAACTGGGCAAACGTCGCCTTATCCCAACCTAGTAGGAGTTGTGACCATGGTAGCCGGGCGAAACTGGGCAAACGTGTCCTCTGGTTTCTCAAAGGCACTAGGTCCTCCAGGAGAGAGGTTATAGAACAAGTTGGTTCCTGCCAGAATGACATGAAGGGCGACTAGGTCCTCCGGTAGATGGTTAGAACAAGGTAACAACTTTTTGGGGTAGTCTATTTTCGTAGGGAACCCCCCGCCCCAAAAAAAGGCCTAAGAAGGGCACTACTGGGGGACCTAAATGATGCAAACGTCAAAAGCGGTACCCTGGAAGACGGCACCTACAACCCCCCCCCCCTCTAGTCTTCAAATATGGGTGTTCAAGCCCATGGGCCAATTCCTCCTGGTTTCCCACTGAAAACGGACACTGTAAAAAAAAGCCATGGGTGTCCTCAAGCATCCTTCTCTAGGGGTTGATTCCAACCATTCTTTTAAACCATCCTGCCGTTATCAAAACCCAGCGAGGCTCACGTTACAAGGGAAGCTGTGGGGTCTGGAAGGGTTTTGGAGGGTTGTTTCAAGATGTTTTCAATTGGTTTCCCTGGGTGTTTGATGGTTTCCCTGGGTTTTTCGATGGCTTCCGGAGAAGAAGGAGGCAAAGGCATCCAAGGCGCCGTCGAGGATGGCCGCGGCCTCTGGGCCGGGGACGGAGCCGCGGCCCCCGAGCGCCGCCAAGGTGTGGCGCAGGAGCGGGCGGTCCCGGGAGCGGTAGCTCAAGGCGTCCATGTCCATCCTGGGCTTGGGTGGGTAGTGGGCTTGGGTGGGTGGGGTGGGGTGGGTGGGGTGTGGGGAGTGGGTGGGGGGTGGGGAGTGGAGTGGGGTGGGGGGTGGGGAGTGGGGTGGGGAGTGGGGTGGGGTGTGGAGTGGGGTGGGTGGGGTTGGGGTGTGGGTGGGGTGAAGGGGTGGGGTGGGTTGTGGGTGGTGTCGGGACTGTCGCGTGTGCATTCTTCAATTTACTTACTTGCTAAAACCAAAACATTCAACGGGTTGGCTTTGGACAACTGAGTTTCGGCTTGGCCTGGACAATGCTTCCCCCATGTCGGGTTCCGTGGCTTCCTGTGACCCCATATCTTCAGTTTCCCTTTGGTGGTGTTTGGTTGGTTTCTTTGAGAGCTCATATCCCGCCACTTTGGCAGGTTACTCTTAACATTCATATTCGGTCGGATTGGATGTGTTAGATTTGTTCCCATGGCTTCCTTTTGGCTGCCTTGTTCCTCGTCTTCTGGAGTTGGTGCCCATGTTCCGTGGGTTTGTAGGGGAACCAAAAGGAGTTACCCGCCCATTTGGGGGGGGTACCTTGAAAAAGACACAACCTCAAGAGAGGGTTCTCAAATTGTGTGGCCTAGGGCTGCTTTCCCTTGAAGGATCTTCACCTCATCCAAAGCCACCCGCTTTATTTGAGAGAGAGCGTGCACCTGCCAAAAGTGCCAACACAGAGGGATAAGCCCTGCGTTTGGTGGCAAACCAGCTCAGCCGGACTTCCGCATGCGCTCGGCCGAGCAACCAGGAAGACATATGACAGGTAGACCTGATTTAGGGCTGATTTACCACTGATTTGCTCCCAGTTTGGCTCATCCTGGGGTATGTTCCGGGGCTTGACCTTGGAAGACGGCAAATGCGAGTGGCTTTGGTGGGCTTGACCTTGGAAGACGGCAAATGCCAGTTCCCAGCGGGGTCCAAAACTAGGCCGATGTTCGGCTCAGAATCCAAACCTTGGCCCAGTGATTTGTTGCGGACAGGGCAGTTTCAGTTGGGTAACATCCGCTGAACAAGTGGATCATCTAAGGGCTGAGTTGAGAGGGTGGTATGCATGACTCGGAATTCAAGACGACATCTGATTCCCTTGCGGCTCTCTGCCGCCTTGTTGCTTGACATCATACTATCTTTGCAGCGCTCCCAATTTAATTAAGTCTTGCAAACCTCACCCCCCCCCCCCCCGCCCGAGAGGAAACTCCATTTTTAACTTTTTTCAAAGTGATGCTACAAACCTACTAGGGGGACAATATACACGCAGGAAACTCTTGAGTTTCTCATTTGCAAAGGAGTGGATTCCAGAAAGAGAATCTATGTTTAATTGAGTCTGAGCCACATATTTCCGTCTACGCAAACTGGATGGCTCAATCCAATATGTCCAACTCTTTGCGGTCTAGTGGGGATAACTCAGCATTTGCCTAAAAGCTGCCTTTTCGTCCCGAGTGAGAAGCCCCCAAACTTTGTGCTTGTACCACCAAAATGGCCACCAAACCCAAGTGACTCAAGCCCAGGAACTCAGGGAAGGAGCTGAGAAGTGGAAGTCGCAAGAACCAAACAGCAAAGCCAAGCAGCAAAGGAATGTAGGAGACCCGAAAGTGGCGCACCAAAGAGTTGCACAGATGCTGGTGTCAGCCAAGCAAAACAGGTCCCATGATTTCACCGCTCTCAAAAAAGTCACCCCCGTTCAGTGCTAGCAACCAGATTCTCACCTTACAGAACCAAAAGAATGAGCCCGCTACAACCTAAACCTTCGTTTTGGAGGAGACAAGTCCTCGATCCCTCCTGCCTTCATGGGAGCTGGGAGGGAGGGGAGGGGGAGGGAGCCCAAGAAGGCCCTACATAAGACCTTATGAAGGGCTTATGGGCTTATAATAAGGGCTTAATAAGGCGCTCCTTCCCCCTCCTTCCCCCTCCCTCCCCCTTCCTCCCCCTCCCCGCCCCCATGATGCCAAAATCACCGGGCGTCATGGGCGTGGACAGCACCGGCACCGGCACCCGCTCCATCCGCTCCATCCGCTCGCTCCGCTCGCTGCGCTCGGTCTCCTCGATGCGGCTCTCCCCTTCCTCGCTGCGGGGAGTGTCGCTGTCGAGGTCGTGGTCCGGGACATGAGAGTCCTGGCGGCCGTTGGTTTTGTTTTGTCTTAAGATGGGGAGACCCCTCCAAAAAAAAAAAGGCGATCGGCTTCCACGAAAGGGAGACCCCTCCCCAAGAAAAATGTGTGGTTTTCCATTTATCCCCTCCCAAACAAAAACGGATCGGTGTCCATTTTAGGGAGACCCCTCCCCAAGCAGAACGTATGGTTTTCCATTACGACTCGTGAAGGTTTCTTCAATTCGATTTCCATTCCGTGTAAACACCAAATCTGTCTGGAGATCGCCAGGGCATTCCATTTCCCTCAACCGAGGGAACCACCGCGCTAAGCAAGCGGAAATCAGCGATCCTTTTTCAGCCCCTCTGAGTTCCTGGACTTTCGTCGCTTTTTGGGTTTGGTTGCCATTTTCGTGGCTAGGTCCTCCAGTGAAGAGGTTAGAATAAGGGTACCCGATATTTTTCTGTAGTCTATTTGAGTATAGGGGAACCCTCCGCCAAAAAAGGGGTAAAAGGGCACTACGACCTAGGTTTGGTTGCCATGTTCGTGGTACAAGCAAAAAATTGGGGAGTCTTTTTTGGCCCGTCCAATCAGAAAGTGAGCTTGGGAAGCCAAGGGAACTCTGGAAAGAGTGGGGACAATTTCGCTTCTATTTGAATCATGGCTCCCCGGCTCGCCTTGTGGCGAGTGGGAGGGTTTTCCCACATGGATCTACATGTGGGTTTTCCCTTTACATCCACTCGACCCCTCAAAAAGGTTCCAACTCGAAAAAAGATGAGCCATCCGGATGGCAGGGGAAACCTCCAACTTGGGCGGCTATTCCCTTGAGCATCACGGAAAGGGGAAGCTCGCAGTGTGGGTGTTGTATGTGTCCCGCTTCCGCATCGCCCGACGACGAAACGAAACAAATTGGCAACCAGCGGGTGCCGTTTCAAACCACCCTTAAAGAGGAAACATAGGGACGCCTGCAGAAGGAATGCCTGGCAAGTTCTTCTCACATATTTGCTCTAAAGAATTCCTGGAGCAAAACCAGGTCTGATTGGTTGATATGGAGAGGGAGAAGAGGGCAAAATAACAATATCAGGCAATGGGAGGAACTTTCACAAACATGAAAAGGGCACCCCTCAAAACAGCAACGCCCAAGAATCTGCTTCCCTCTTGGTGGCTTGGATTGTTTTGGAGGTCAGGTTGGGTGGGAGCTTTCTCCAGGCGGTATTCCAAGTCCATCAAACCACAAAATCTTCATTCGGCTTTGTCGTGTTTTGGGCTGTTGCCCTTTTGCCCGTACCGCTTAAATGGCAACTCATAAAATTCACACCGAAGCTTAAATCCGGGGCTCTGAATACAAACGAGCCACCCACATGGGCCCAGCACCCGGGACGCGCACGTTGAGCAACTCAATCGACAAGCCCAAAACCTAACCCCAAAACGGGGAAATCAGGGGCTGGATTGGTGTCCGGGTAGCAATGCACAAGCTTTCACCTAATGGGATAATTAGCTTGCGCTCTCTGGTGCAGTTTGCTCGATGCGCGCTTGTGGAGGTTCCAAAAAGGACAGCTGAGGTCTTTTGTTGAGGCTCCCTTTGGGGATCTCTCTCGAAAGGGAAACCCAAGAAACGACCACTTTGGGGGATCAATTCTCCGTTTGAGGCAGACCCACATATGCACCTCTCGTTTTCCCGTGCAACTTGCAAACAAGAAGAGCTGAAAAAATGAAAACTGCGAAACACCAGCAAATGACCGTCATTCAATGTCCGGGCAAAGTTGAAACGTTCTCCTCCTGCAGTGACTTGGGTGTGTCTTGTTTTTAGGAGACCCACCCCCCACCCCCAACTGGCAACGGCTTCCTTTTGGTTTCCCTGAAACACCAAACCGGCCAAAAAGGGTTCTTGGGCCAATTGGGTGCTCGGCCAGTAAGCTGATGGCGACCGTTCGGTTATAGCCCACTTATAGATTAATATATATATATTATGTATATATTATATATATATGTCCCCCGTTCAGTCGAATTAACCTTGTTACTTGGGGGATTGTTATCCCAACTTGCTAGGTGAACAAACCCCAAGTGGCTAACCACAGGCACTTGGGCGGAGATTTCCGGCGTGCCCCATCTTGACCCGAAACGGCTTCTTCTTGGCCCAACTTGTTTTTGTTTTTTTTGGGGGGGGGGGGCAACACGGTGCCTGTTGTTTCTTCATTTTGCCTAAATGGCTTTGGTGTGATTTGGGCATTTTGAGCCGAGGAGAAGCCGAAGGCTTTGGAACCGGCTGTGCACCAAACGGCTCGAGCCGACCCCACCTGGCCGGAGACCTCGCTCTCCGAAGGCAAGCTGCCCTGGGACTCCTTCCGCTGGCGAGCGGCCGCCCATTTGTTGGGGGTGCGCCAACCGATCCACATCCAAACCAATCGGAGGGAAGCCGTTGCTTGTTTTTTTTGGGTGCTTTTTACAGGGAAGTCCACCCGTTGACACAAGACTTTCTGGGGGTGGAGGGAAAACACACACACACACGCACATTTAATTTATTGTTTGGTGAGTCGGGCATGAGAAATGGAATGAACCAGGTGCCCCTAGGAAACCATCCGGATTGGAGTTCTTGGGGGCATGCCATTTCTCAGGGACCCTACCTATTGCGCCAGCAAGAAACTGGCCATCCGCCGTGTCTCGGCTGCCCCGTTTGGGCCCGGAGAAAAACAATAAGACAAAAAGTAACTTGGACTGGATGCTGGCGAAGCCCCTCCGCAAACAAGTGTTTATCACTTTATGTGGCTTCAATTCGTTGAAAACCCAAGCCTTGATTTCAACACCAAAGCTTAAAAAGTCTCAGGACCCAACCCAAAAGGCAATCATCTCAAATGCCTCAAGCCCAGAAACAACAGGTCACCTGAAGGAGATGTTGAAAACAACCGAAAACAAAATGGTGTATTTTATACCAAGAATTACACCAGCAGAGACCCCAAACAGTTGAGGGCTGACGGGCGAGCACAAACATGCCAACAGCTTGTGGCTTTCTGCGCTTCAACACGGATGAATCAAAATGATGCAGTCGTGAACCTGGCGCGCGTTGCGTTGCTGCACGTGTGTTGCTGGCATGCTTCGCGCTTCAGCACCGCGCCAGAACTGAGGTTGGGCAAGCGCGCGCGATGGCGGGCGAGCGCGCGCGCGTGAACGCAAGTGTGGCCGCGCAAGCACGCAGTCACATGGGCAGTTCAAACACACATGTCCAATTCAGACACACATGTGTGTACACGTGGAACACACATACGTATACGACTGAAACAGTATACATTCACCTGCGGCACACGCATAAATGTGTTGAGCTGGAAAACAAACATGTGCTTCTTGGAAAGCACACACACACATGTGCAAACGTGGAACGCACATATGTGTTCACTTACGACACGCTAATGCGTTCACGTGGAACACACATGTGTGTTCACTTGGAACACAATGAAACGCGTGTCCAATTCAGACACACATGTGTGTACACGTGGAACACACATGCGTTCACCTGGAACACAAAGACGCGCAATTAAAGCACACATGTGTGTACGCGTGGGACACACATATGTATACCACTGGAACACAAACATGTGTCCACCTGGAACACCGCGTGTGCGATTAAAGCACACATGTGTGTACATGTGGAACACACATATGCGCACACGTGAGCAAACATAAATGCTCACCTAAATCGCACACACATGCGCGCACCTCGAAAACAATCATGCGTTTTCTGGAGCGCATACATGTGCACACCTGGAGAGCAAATATGTCGTCAGATGCCAAAAAAAGTTCATCTAGCACATACTAATGTGTTCACGTGAAACACACATCTGTTCACCTGGAACACAAACACGTGTCCAATTGGAACACACATGTGCGTACACGTGGAACACACATATGTGCACACGTGAACACGCATATGTGCACACGTGAACACTCACATATATGTGCACCCGGAACACACACCCGTGTGCTCATCTGATAACAACCATGTGTTCTCCTGGAACACAAACACGTGTCCAATTGGAACACGCATGTGTGTACACGTGAACACACATATGTGTACACGTGGGAGACGCAAATGCGCACACGTGAACACACACACACATGTGCACACGTGGAACACACACATGTGTACTGCACATGTGAACACACACATTTATGCGCGCGCGGAAAACACAGACACACACGAGTGTTCATCTGATAACAAACACGTGGTCTCCTGGAACACAACCGTGTGTCTAATTGGAACACAACCGTGTGTACACGTGAACACACATATGTGTACACGTGACACACACATATTTATATATATATATATATGCGCACCCGGAACACACACACACACGTGCGTTCATCTGAAAACAAACATGTATTCACCTGAAACACAAACACGTGTCCAATTGGCACAAACATGCGTGGACACATGAACTCACAAATGTGTACATGTGGAACACACATATGTGTGCAAATGAACACACATACATGCGCACGCGGAGCAGACACACACACACACACACACACGCGTTCATCTGATAACAAACATGTGTCCTCCTGGAACACAAACACGTGTCCAGTTGGAACGCACATGTGTGCACGCGCGAACACACAATGTGTGCCGTGAACACACATACAAAAAAGTGCACGCGGAGCAGACACACACGCACGTGTTCATCTGATAACAAACATGTGTTCTCCTGGAACACAACCGTGTGTCTAATTGGAACACAGACGTGTGTACACGTGAACACACATATGTGTACACGTGAACACACACATATATACGCGCACCCGGAACACACACACACACGAGTGTTCATCTGAAAACAAACATGTGTTCACCTGGAACACAAACACGTGTCCATTGGAACGTGTGTACACGTGAACCGTACACGTGGGAGACGCAAATGCGCACACGTGAACACACACATGTGCACGTGCAACACACACATGTGTACTGCACATGTGAACACACACATTTATGCGCGCGCGGAAAACACAGACACACACGAGTGTTCATCTGATAACAAACACGTGTTCTCCTGGAACACAACCGTGTGTCTAATTGGAACACAGACGTGTGTACACGTGAACACACATATGTGTACACGTGAACACAGCACACGTGGAACACACACATGTGTACTGCACATGTGAACACACACATTTATGCGCGCGCGGAAAACACAGACACACACGAGTGTTCATCTGATAACAAACACGTGTTCTCCTGGAACACAACCGTGTGTCTAATTGGAACACAGACGTGTGTACACGTGAACACACATATGTGTACACGTGAACACACACACATATATATGCGCACCCGGAACACACACACACGTGCGTTCATCTGAAAACAAACATGTATTCACCTGAAACACAAACACGTGTCCAATTGGAACACACATGTGTGGACACGTGAACACACAAATGTGTGCACGTGGAACACACATATGTGTGCAAATGAACACACACACATGCGCATGCGGAGCAGACACACACACACACACGTGTTCATCTGATAACAAACATGTGTCCTCCTGGAACACAAACACGTGTCCAGTTGGAACGCACATGTGCGCACGCGTGAACACACAATGTGTGCACGTGAACACACATACAAAAAAAGTGCACGCGGAGCAGACACACACGCACGTGTTCACCTGATAACAAACATGTGTTCTCCTGGAACACATACACGTGTCTGATAAGAACACACATGTGTGTACACGTGAACACAACACCACAGTGCATCATCGTTGCGCGTGAACACGCGTAACACACACACGTGTACACACACAACACACACACATATATATATATATATATGCGCGCCCGGAACACGCACACACACACATGCGTACACCTGGAACACATATGTGTGTGTCTGGAAACATTTCTGTTCACCTGCAACACACATATGTGTTCACCTGGAACCCATATATGCGCTCACTTGGAACAGGCATTTGTGTTCACGTGCGACACTGGTGCAGACCTGGATCACACAAGCATGTTTAACCAGAACAAACTTCTGTGTTGACTTGTAACACACATATGTGTACACATGGAACACACGTGTGTGCACATGTGGAGAAACATGTGCAACACAAATGTGCAACACACATGCGTTCACCTGGACAACAAAAATGTGTTCACATGGAATTTACATTTCCTGCACGCCTGGGCGACACATAAATCAAGTTCCCGAAGCCGGCTGTGAGGCGCTATTCCATGGGGCTCTGCCTTGAACAACGCTTGTGTTTTATATGCGTGTTCCAAGTAGGAAAATAGTGTTCGTGTACGATCAATCTAGCTTTTTTGCAACACATTGCTAGCGCGCGAGCCTGCTGCTGCTGCTGCTGCTACTACTGCTAGTACTATCAGTATCGGATGCGTCTCCAGCAGTTACAGGCTTCAGCTTAGCAAAAGCTTTCCGGCGCATTGCGCTTCTTTCTCGCTTAGCTGCACAGTGTCTTTCGTATCGATTGCTAAAGTGCTTTGATCGTATTGTGGCAACTCTTCGTATCGATTCAGTAAAGCATTTGCTTTCGCAGGGAAATACGCAACCCAATTCTTCCGTATGCTCGGTACAAGGCATCCCTGCCGTCTTGCCTCAGCCGTTGTTTCTCCCCTTTGTCCAGCAAATCGCACTCCATGATAATTGCATGCGAGGAGAGCGGAAGCAAATTTGGATTGAAGCGTAACTGGGAACCGGTCACAGCTGACCACTGCGCTAGCGCCTTGCTAGCGCGCGGCTAGCGCGGGTTCGCCGTATTTTTTGGAGTCACGGCGACCATCTGTGTGGATTTGACAAATTAAGGCCACGTAAGATGAAGGTAAACGTGCGGGCTGGCTTCAAGTACTAAGTAAGAACTGCAACATTACACCCTTGAAAGCCACGCAAAGCCCATCGCGGCAACCCACGCGCCAACTCTTGGAAACCAAGATCACCGAAGACCCTAGCGCAAACCAAGCGCCATCCTAGCGCCTCCAGTGGGGAGCGGGCAATCCATTGGTATTTGCAGGACTCCGCTTTGTGTGAATGAAAAACTGCACAAAGTGACTGCGACGGTGGCCTCTGTAGACTAAACCCCCTTACTAGGAATTTTGACCGGATCGCATATGTGTTTTATCAGAACAATCGCATGCTTTCACCTGGAACACAAACATGTGCTGACGTGGAACACACTCATGTGGTCACATGCAAAAAGTGCGTGTTCACTTGGAACGCGCCGATGTGGTCAGCTGGAACACACCAAGAACACACAATCATTTACTTGAAGCACTCGTACGTGCATCCGCAGCATGCTGCCTGTGGCTTGATCAAGCGCACGCGCGCGCTCAAACACACGTTTCTGAGCCTCAAACACACATGCGTGCCCGCGGAATACACCGCGAATGACCAGGGAGCCGTGCCAGGCATCCAGGCTGGGGGACAACAAGAAGGAGACAAAGGGAGACAAATGAACCCGTCCGCCCGGAGAGCCGTGCCAGACATCCAAGCTGGGAGACAAACGAATCCGTCCACCCAGAGAGCCGTGACAGGCATCCAGGCTGGGAGACAACCGGGGCCAAATAAAGGGAGACAAAGGGAGACAAATGAATCTGTCAGGCAAATGAAGGGAGAGGAACCCGTCCGCCGGGAGAGCCGGGACAACCCCAGGTGCCAAGAGCACCACTGGGTATCTCGGCGTAGGTTCGTTGAACATCATCAAAGAATCGATAGACGATTTAACTCCAGCGTGATTCACGTTTGTTTCACCGGGGGGTTAACAGAGCCTTCTCGTAGCTGAAGCCGTGCACCGCAGCGCACCGCTCTCGTCAGCTCGGGACTCCAAATGCGAGCAAGGACAGAGAGAGGCCGCAACTGATAACGAGGCACTGAACGAACAGACAGGGTGTAGCCAACGATAGACAAGGAAGACGACCCACCACGAGCCCAAGCAAAATCGAAGTCCAGATGAAGGGCAGACAGAGGACCCTGTCCCCAACATCCACAAGACAAGGAATGACCGAAGCCAGGGCCGAAGCCGAAGGCAAACCAGACCCTGCCAAAAGGACAGAACCGCGGGAAGTGAAGGAAACCGCGGAGCGTGAGTGCCACACATCCAGGCTGGGAGACAACGGGAGACAAATGAATCCGTCCACCCAGAGGGGCATCCAGGCTGGGAGACAACGGGAGACAAACAAAGGGAGACAAAGGGAGACAAATGAATCCGTCCACCCAGAGAGGCATCCAGGCTGGGAGACAACGGGAGACAAATAAAGGGAGACAAAGGGAGACAAATCAATCCGTCCACCCACAGAGATGGGAGACAAATGAAGGGGAACCAAGGGAGACAAGTGAATCCGTCCGCCTGGAGAGCCGTGACAGACATCCAGGCTGGGAGACAAGGGGAGCCAAATGAAGGGAGACAAAGGGAGACAAGTGAAACTGTCCACCCAAAGAGCCGTGCCAGGCATCCAGGCTGGGAGACAACGGGAGACAAATGAAGGGAGACAAAGGGAGACAAGTGAATCTGTCCGCCTGGAGAGCCGTGCCAGACATCCAGGCTGGGAGACAACGGGAGACAAATGAAGGGAAACAAAGCCCAGAGAGCCGTGCCAGACAAATGAAGGGAGACAAAGAGACAAATGAACCCGTCCACCCAGAGAGCCGTGCCAGGCATCCAGGCTGGGAGGCAACGGGAGACAAATGAAGGGAGACAAAGGGTGACAAATGAACCCGTCCACCCAGAGAGCCGTGCCAGGCATCCAGGCTGGGAGACAACGGGAGACAAATGAAGGGAGACAAAGGGAGACAAATGAACCCCTCCACCCCAGAGAGCCGTGACAGGCGTCCAGGCTGGGAGACAACCGGGGCCAAATAAAGGGAGACAAAGGGAGACAATGAATCCGTCAGGCAAATGGAGGGAGAGGGAGACAAATGAACCCGTCCGCCGGGAGAGCCGGGACAACCCCAGGTGCCAAGAGCACCACTGGGTATCTCAGCGTAAGGTTCGTTGAACATCCTCGAAGAATCGATAGAGGATTTAACTCCAGCGTGATTCACGTTTGTTTCACCGGGGGGTTAACAGAGCCTTCTCGTAGCTGAAGCCGCGCACCGCAGCGCACCGCTATCGTCAGCTCGGGACCGCAACTGATAACGAGGCACTGAACGAACAGACAGGGTGTAGCCAACGATAGACAAGGAAGACGACCCACCACGAGCCCAAGCGAAATCGAAGTCCAGATGAAGGGCAGACAGAGGAGGACCCTGTCCCCAACATCCACAAGACAAGGAATGACCGAAGCCAGGGCCAAAGCCGAAGGCAAACCAGACCCCGCCAAAAGGACAGAACCGCGGGAAGTGAAGGAAACCGCGGAGCGTGAGTGCCACACATCCAGGCTGGGAGACAACGGGAGACAAATGAATCCGTCCACCCAGAGAGCCGTGCCAGGCATCCAGGCTGGGAGACAACGGGAGACAAATAAAGGGAGACAAAGGGAAACAAATGAATCCGTCCACCCACAGAGATGGGAGACAAATGAAGGGGAACCAAGGGAGACAAGTGAATCCGTCCGCCTGGAGAGCCGTGACAGACATCCAGGCTGGGAGACAACAGGAGCCAAATGAAGGGAGACAAAGGGAGAAAAGTGAATCTGTCCACCAAAAAAACAGTGCCAGGCATCCAGGCTGGGAGACAACGGGAGACAAATGAAGGGAAACAAAGGGGTGCCAGACATCCTGGGAGACAAAGGTAGACAAATGAACCCGTCCACCCAGAGAGCCGCGCCAGGCATCCAGGCTGGGAGACAACGGGAGACAAATGAAGGGAGACAAAGGGAGACAAATGAACCCGTCCACCCAGAGAGCCGTGCCAGGCATCCAGGCTGGGAGACAACGGGAGAAATCAAGGGAGACAAAGGGAGACAAATGAACCCGTCCACCCAGAGAGCCGTGCCAGGCATCCAGGCTGGGAGAGAACGGGAGACAAATGAAGGGGACAAAGGGAGACACATGAACCCGTCCACCCAGAGAGCCGTGCCAGATCCAGGCTGGGAGACAACGGGCGACAAATGAAGGGAGACAAAGGGAGACAAGTGAATCTGTCCACCCAGGCATCCAGGCTGGGAGACAACGGGAGACAAATGAAGGGAGACAAAGGGAGACAAATGAACCCGAGCCGCGCCAGGCATCCAGGCTGGGAGACAAATGAAGGGAGACAAAGGGAGACAAATGAACCCGTCCACCCAGAGAGCCGTGCCAGGCATCCAGGCTGGGAGACAACGGGAGACAAATGACAAAGGGAGACAAATGAACCCGTCCACCCAGACTGGATCATCCAGGCTGGGAGACAACGGGAGACAAATGAAGGGAGACAAAGGGAGACAAGTGAACCCAGGGAGACAAACGAACGCGTCCACCCAGAGAGCCGTGCCAGGCATCCAGGCGGGGAGACAACGGGAGACAAATGAAGGGAGACACAGGGAGACAAATGAACCCGTCCACCCAGAGAGCTGTGCCAGGCATCCAGGCTAGGGCTTGGCAACAGGCGAGCCACCTTAAATGAATTTAGAACCCCTCACAGTAAACTGTTTGGGGAAAAAAGACTGGCCTGCAAATATGGCCAAAACCCTAAACCCATCTCAGCCCAAAGGACCACCCCCCCTTATAAGGACCCCCCCCTTACCGGTGGCGGGAGGTGCTGCCGACTGTGCGCCCCCTAAGGGGACACCGAGTTTCGTCCCAAACAAAAATCGAGAAAGTTGCGAACTGGGACCTGAACAGTTGTTTCACTGGCTCAAGCTAGCTTTCAGCCTTTCGGCCTCTCGGGTATGGTTGGCACCCTATGTTCAAAGGGCAGAAAGCCCAAGCCGAGATCCTCATCAGCGTCCTCTACCCCATCACCTCGGGGCCGTGAGCGAAGCAAGTTGCAGCGATGGCCCTCAACTACCCATATAGGCATATAGAAAGGGAAACTACCCATAACGTTGAGCAATAACCCATCAGCATGGGTAGGATGAGGGCCCAGGTACATTTATGGTCCAGGGCTTTAAAAGCTTAAACTGGTGTTTATTGGTTCCAGCTGCTTCACAGAAACGACAACAACAAACGAGTTTGACATGCTGGACAAGTCGGTTTTCCAGGCTTCGTTCGCATTAACTCCAAGGAAACTTGGTACGCAAGGCGCAGCGTTACTTCCGGGTGTCAAGAGAAATGGGTAGATTTCAAGTACAGTGGGTCCCCTCAGTGGGTGCTCATTTTGTTCTCACTGGCCCAAAGAACCTGGACATACAAGGTTAACCATTTGGAACCTTGACAAAATATGTGCCAAATGTGGGAAACCAAAAAGGTCAAAAGAGGTCGATTCGCTTTGGCCAACTGAGTGTTGCAAGTAAACCAACCCTCTACCATTGCCTTGCGCAAGCAAACCAAGCCTCAACCACAGCAAAAACACTGGAGGGTAACGAGCTCCAGGTAGGGATGTCTGGATGGGTTCCGGGGCGGGCATGCCTGGGCAATTCGCACCTTTTTTGCTCGACCCGGTCACAGCAAAGACCCTACAAGAACCAGGGACCCGTTCAAATCCAAATTCAACCCACCAATCCAACCCACCAACCTGACGGGGTACCTGACTTCAGGGGCGGTGTAAAGGGAAGTCCAGTTGAAGGGGGTCCAAAACCCCATGGAAATCTCACACACCAGGTGTGTACGGGGTTACCTGGTCAAAACCAATGGTACCATTTTGGGGTAGGTGCACCACCCATTTTAGAATCTATTTTACTGGGGATTGGGATGTTTATTGGGGGCCAACCGATTTGGATTTTGACCCATGGCCATATGGCAGCACCCCGCTGAAGTGAGGGACCCGTCGGGCCTATCTCGGCTACTGGGCGCCAGGCCCAAGTCCAGATCATCCTGCTCCTCGCCTCGTGGGTCTCGGTTTTGTTTCGTGGAGCCCTCGCACCCTTTGCTTCTTTTTGAAGGGAAGCCCACCTGCGCAAAAGGGCTTGGTGTCGTTGCGTTTGTGTGTTGTTTGCTTTTCTTGTTTTTTTGTGGGGGGGGGGGGTTGTTTTTGTTAGTTGTTGCTCGTGTTTTTGCTTTTTGGGGGGTGTCAGTGTCCATATCCTCACTTTCCCACACCAGGTCGCCTCAGACTGCAAGGACCCAAATGACATGTGCCGATGCCCCTCCTGCCACATCAGGGACAGCTCAGAACTCGCTGTAGGACCCGGGTCCATATTGCAATTTGGGAGGCAACTGCCTCGGGGACTGGGGGAAACAAGGTATGGGCCAGAAGTGGTTAGTCAAAGAGATGCCGTCTCGGAAATTCTGAATGGTTGACATGTCCCATGCTTGACATTTTTCCGGCACAACAACTGTCACCATGCGAGTTCTAGATTCTACACATCGCTTATCTTACGCCCCGGCAGCGGCTTCCGCTTTCCTTCGCCCCCCCCCCTTCGGCGCCCTCCGAATCCCCCGGAAGGCGCGGCAGTCGCGACGGCGACCGAAGCGCTTCGCCTGGGGGCCGCCAGGGGAGCTCTTGAAAGACCCGGAAGTTCAGCACCCGAAAGTCGAAGTCCGCCAGCGAGCCTCGCGGCAACGCGCGAAAGCGCTCAAAAAGGCCGGACGTCCCGATACGTCCCGAGCCCGCCTGCCCGGACCAAACGAAGCCACCAACTGCCACTTCTTAAGAATTTGTGGGTGAGAGGCGTACATGTACCCCGCTTAATCACACCCAAACGAATCCTGGGCATTCATCTGCATGGTCGGGTTGGGGTTGGGCCGAGCCCTTGCTTAGGGCCTTAATGGCCTTACACCAACTACTGGCACTGCTGGGTCCATTGAAGCCTTCTCAACAAATTATATCCACTGAAGTTTGGGCCCCGTTGGAACGAACCAAGTTTGGGGCCCCGTGGAGGTGGTTTCCTTTTGGGAAGGGTACCCTCAAGGTTTGGAGATTAGATGGTGGCTTCCTTTTGGAGCCAAGGGGGAAGGGCTGTAAAGGGTACCCTCAAAAAAAGACGCACCCACATGGCTTAGAGGAAGCCGAGGGGTTAATTACCTGACGAACTGTCCGGGGCAAAAATAAGACACAACCAAGTTAATTATGGTTATTGTGTTTACTTATTTGTAAACAGATTTGTTAAAAAAGGAAAAAACGAAACACATGCCGTTGCAACAATAAATAGAACTATCTAAGAGGGTATGTTGCAATGAGGAGGGGTCTGGAACAGAAAGAAACAAGTAACATCTTCTTGGCGTCGCTTGGAGCAAAAAAAAAAGTTTTGCTGGCGGGAGGGAGGCCAACCTTTGTTTTTTTGTTCAAGCTGGGTGTGGTTGTTAAGGGGCCCACCAAAAAAAGATGATGTCCTTAAACAACTTCAAAACATGGGAACCTCACCGAGGAACAAAAAAAGGAAAAACAAAGAAGAACAAAAACAAAACCGGGAAGAGATCGCTCGCCATCCACAAGGAGATCTCTTTGAGAGATGGCCTCCGCCCGGGCTGAAGATCACCTCCTTGTCCACCCAGCCTCAGATTCGAGCTCCGGGCGTGCGGCTTGCCTCCAGCAGAGAGGCTAGTAAAAATGGTACCCGACTTTTTTTCAGGACGTCGATTTTAGTGGGGAACCCTCCCCCAAAAAAGGGTAAAAGGGCCCCTAGCTGGGGGACCTAGAAAACCAAAACCGGTTCGGGTAAGTCAAGGTTAGGGACAGTCCCCACTACAAAATGGGTGCCGGAAAACCCGCCTGAAGTCTTCACATGGGTTCTGGGTCGACCACTTTGATACCAGGTTTTCATTGTGACTCGTACTTGGACCCTGAAACTAGCCATAAACAAATGGGAAACATCGTGGTCTTCGAGCTCACCACATCCCGTGGCATGGACACCTAGGGTCGATGTTGCCGCCAGGAACCAAAACAAAACCTGAAGGAGGTTGGTTGCAAAATAGACCGAAAAGTGTCCAGCATCTGGACCCGCCCCCAAGAAAGAAGAGGTGCAGGGTTTCAAAAAGGAACTTGTCCCCAGAAAACGGAGAGTTCCAGTTTCCTTTCAGTTGCACAAATGGGTGGAGCTTTTTCCCAGAAGGCCATCTCAAAAAGGTCCTGCGCGCCTCAAGAGCAAGACTCGGTTGCTTTCTGCTCCCTGCTACAAGTGCAACTTTTAGTGGTTTAATGAAAAACCCATTAGTTGGTTGAAAAAAAATCGGTCCTAACATCCCTTGGCAAAATGCACCAAAGAAGACGCGCACACACACACACACACACCCTAAGGGATGCTCCACCAACGCTAGCCGCTAGGTGATCTCCCCAGAACCGGGGTTCCTGGGGCCAAGGTCCCCTTATCTGGGTATGAGTCAAAATCAAACCACCACAATATGGACCGCAGGTTTTGGGCCATGGTTCCATATGTGTCCATTTCGCGCTTGGGAACCCCATTCAGGGAATCCCCAGGTTCATTCCCTCATTTCCTGCTGAGCACCGGCAAGAAAAGGTTGAAGCCAAAGTAACTGGCCATGGAGAACAAACACGTGGGAGAAAGTCGATCCAACACGATTCCTCCAATGTCCGAACTGCGGTGTTTAAACGGGGTGGTCTATGCCTTGGCACCTTCCCACCAACAACAAAGGTGGGAACCAGGTTGAACGGTTCCCAGGTTGAACGGAACCGTTCAAAAATTGTTGGATGGTGAGCCTATTTTAGGGCACGCCCAATGGTTGTGTGAGAGCACCCGTTTCCTTTTGAAACAGCTCCAAAAGGTCCAACTGGTTTTGACATCCAGGGTTTCAGTTTTGGGCTGCCTCAAGCAGGGAACCCGCTGGGTTTCAATCGTGGCATAGTCCAAAAATGGAACCCTGGGCACATCCCCCCTTGGCACCTGCATGAATGCATGTGCACCACCTGGAAAGCGTGTGCAACATTTCCTCAACCTTAAAGGCGGGTCCCCCAATGTCTGTTTTCAAGTCTTCCCCATAAAAAAGGAGAGATCTCGTCAACGATGTTTAAGCGGGTGGGGATGGCATTTGCCCTGAGAACTTGTCAATCAGGGGACAGTACTCATCCTATGGGGGAAGTAACTGGGTCTCCCTTGGGTTTTCCTAAAGGAGCAACAAAGAAGCGCGCCCTCCAAAGACACCTGGCACCTTTGGCTTCCCTGTACCGAACACAACCGCAACTAAGCCGAGCTACGGCCCAAATGCATCTTCAAATGCCATCGGCGAGGCAAGGGTCGACCGGACTCGCCGTCCCGAGCTGCATCCCAGCACAGCTCCTCTCCGCTGGCACAGGCGAAAAATGGACCCATGGAATACTAGGTCGAGGTCTTTTTTGGAGTTGGTCCAATGTTTTCGGGTGGTTCTAAAGGGAAACCATAAGGAGAACCACCCTTTTTCGGGGATTCCTGAACAAGATATCCCCCCATTTGTAGGTGATTTCTGTGAGAACCCATTGCTACTTTGGGCTTGCAACCGGTCTCCCACAGTAAATCCATTCCGCTGACTAACGCAGAAACTCAGAGGTCATTACCTCGCTACCTGAGGGGATGGCCGAAAACAAGTTCAAACTTGTCTGCCACCTAAATGGTCCAAACCCAACAAGCAAGCTGATTCCCTGTAGCTGTTGTTTACTTTTCGCTGGCCCCCTTGTTTCAACCGGGTAGACAATCACTTCAGAACGCTAAAAAAATACCCCGGCACGAGACCCCAAACAGTGATAGGCGGTCACACGCTGCAGAGTATTGTGCGGGCAGCGCCGCAAAACGGCGGTTGTTGTCAGGAAGCTGCAACATCATTTTGCGGTATCTGCGCGCACATTCACAAAGACAAGGACACGGCCTGGAACAGACACGCGCAAGAGAATGCAGCAGACACGTGTCGAAGCCAGCGCCATGGTCGTGTGTGTGTGTGTCTGTGTGTCTGTGTGTCTGTGTGCCTGTGTGTCTGTGTGTCTGTGTGTCCGTGTGTCCGTGTGTCCGTGTGTCTGTGTGTCTGTGTGTCTGTGTGTCTGTGTGTCTGTGTGTCTGTGTGTCTGTGTGTCTGTGTGTCTGTGTGTTTGTGTGTCTGTGTGTCTGTGTGTCTCTGTGTCTCTGTGTCTCTGTGTCTCTGTGTCTCTGTGTCTCTGTGTCTCTGTGTCTCTGTGTCTCTGTGTCTCTGTGTCTCTGTGTCTCTGTGTCTCTGTGTCTCTGTGTCTCTGTGTCTCTCTCTCTCTGTCTCTCTGTCTCTCTGTCTCTCTGTCTCTCTGTCTCTCTGTCTCTCTGTCTCTCTCTCTGTCTCTCTGTCTCTCTGTCTCTCTGTCTGTCCGTCTGTCGTCTGTGTCTGTGTCTGTGTCTGTGTCTATGTCTGTGTCTGTGTGTGCGTGCGTGTTAGTGTGTTTTCATGTTGATTGCGAAACGTGTGTGGGAGTAGAGACACATGCAGCACCAAGAACAAAAAAGGCGCACAGGCATGGCCAGCAGGCATGCTCGTTTTTTCTTCCATGAGCAGCACATATCGGTGAGACGGCAGAATCGCAGGACAGGGCTGCTGGGATGGATTCGTTGCACTGCGCGCAGCCGCAGCAGGCCAGTCTGTTGGTAGATGCAAAGGCGCTGCGGTCAAGACGTGGTAGCTTGTTGCTGCAAACAGCCGACGCGGCGCACGCAGAGTGCTAGTGGCAAGCTCTCGCAGCACAGAAGCGTTATCAAGGCAGGCCCAAAGACTGGGCTGTCTGGCTCGGACCCTTCCACAGCAGGCGTGTACATAAAGCGCGCGCTCCCAGATCGCAGGGCACACAAGAAGGCGTCAAACTCATTTGGCGCCATGTTATCGAGGCAGTTCATGCGGTGCAGCGCTGCGAGGGGCGGCAGGCCGCGAAGGCGCGGATGTTGGTCGATCCACTGTTGCATGGCAGCTTCGTCTGCACAGCGGAAAGAGTTGTCAAAGAAAGTCGGCAGGCGGATTTGTGCATGGATCCACTCGCGCGGACAGGGCGGGAATCGAGCCCGGGACAACCCGTGCCGCCGGACCACGAGACAAAACCCCCACGGTCCCGGAGCCGCCAAAAAAGCAAAAAAATCGAGTTTGTGCGAGCCTGCGCAGCCGAAACGCACTTGTACATCAAGCAAAAGCAGGAATCTGCGGTAAATACCACGCGAAACGCTCGCGGACAGAAGTCGACACCTCACTTTGTGCGAGCCTGCGCAGTCGAAACGCATTTCAACATCAAGCAAAAGCACGAATCTGCGGTAAATACCACGCGAAACGCTCGCGGACAGAAGTCGCCAACTCACTTTGTGCGAGCCTGCGCAGTCGAAACGCATTTCAACATCAAGCAAAAGCACGAATCTGCGGTACATACCACGCAAAACGCTCGCGGACAGAAGTCGCCAACTCACTTTGTGCGAGCCTGCGCAGTCGAAACGCACTTCGACATCAAGCAAGAGCACGAATCTGCAGTAAATACCACGCAAAACGCTCGCGGACAGAGCGGGCACCTCAATCTGGCACCAAGGCCTTTTCTCTTACCGTAAGAACCCCTTAGTGTAGACACACTGTTTGGGGAATCACTTGTGAACGCTGCCACTTTCGATCACTTCCGAACACTAAAAAAAATCACTTCAAACCACTGAGCACCCGGAACGCCGAAAGGGTTGCAAAACCCGGTCAGTCAAAAAGATCACTTCCGAACGCAGGCGTCCCAGCCCAGGATCACTTCCGTACGCAGGCAGGCGTCCCAGCCCAGGTGTGCAAAATCTAGTGGTTCTGGGGGGGCATGATAAGCACACCCTCTGAAGCTCTATACCCAAATGTGCAAATTCATCTGGTTCTGGGGGTGGGGGGTGGGGTGGGAGGGGGGGTGGGCATGATAAGCACACCCGCTGAACTGCTTCACCAGCAAGGGTGTGCAAAATCCAATCTTTGTTCTGGGTGGGTGGGTGGGTGGGGATGATAAGCACACCCGCTGAAGTGAACCAGCCCAGCCTGCTCTGTAACCAAATGTGCAAATTCATCTGGTTCTGGGGGTGGGGGGTGGGGTGGGGGGGGGGCATGATAAGCACACCCGCTGAACTGCTTCACCAGCCGCGGCGCTGTTACAGGCCCCTCAAAAAAATCATTGCCATGTGGGCGCGTGAGCATGGGTGCTTCTCCAATGCTTCGAACACAAACAGCCCGCTGCCGCGAGTGGGCGTATGAGCGCGCCACGAACGTGAACAGTCAGCAGACGGTGCAAGCAGTGCATGGGCGCGTGGGTAACAATGTGGCTGCATAAGCATGGGTGCGTTAACCAGCGCTTCAAACACGAACAGCCCAGTGCGGTGCGTGGGCGCATGGACCCGCTGCGAACACGAACAGCCAAAAGCGCTGCGAGCAGTGCGTGGGCCTGTGGGCAGGTGGGCGCGTGGACGCATGGGTGCCGATTCTTGTCCCAGCGTTCAAGAGCGAAGCACTCGCCGGTGTCTCGGTGCGTGGCACGTGGCTCCACTTCCAGCGTTCCGAAGCGATTAGTACGTTTTCCGGCGTTCGGAAGCGATTTTGTTTCAGCGTTCTGAAGCGATGGTTTTGCCAACGTTCAGGAGCGACGCACTCACCTTTCAACCGACTGAAGTAGGCCATTTTCTCCCAGTGGTTCTTTCCTGCGCCGCCCAGGCACAAAAGACGCCGCGCCTCCGGCAGAATGCGGCAACGATGTCGATCCTTCAAGGCGAGCACATAGCGCGCCTTCGAGCGAGACTGTTTGTCTTGAAAGAGTCCCAGTAACCCCCAACATGGGCACTATTTCCCCTTGCACCCGCTGCCCTCAAAAAGGGTGGTTCCCCGGTGTCCGGTGTAGTGGTCGTTTCCCAATTTTCCCTGAACAAGAAGGGGGTCAAAGTCCAAGCACCCAGCAAGGGTACCTGATCAAAGGGTGGTTTGAAAAATCAGCTGTTCAGTTGGGTTCCAAGGGTTGATCTCACCTTGAGCCCACTGGGGAACAAAGAGTGCGCAGTACCACAACTCCAAGGTTTTGAAAAGGGTTTTGGTTGGGATAGCTGATGTTCAAAGAAACATCCCCTGGTTTTGTTTTTGGTAGTTGTTGTTCTCCGAAAGCAAAAAGGGCGCCGCCGGGTGCCGGGGAGTTGGCATCAAGCGCGCTGATGGACAAATCCACGCGATTCGATCGGCATCTGGGATTGGTGGCTTAGCCACCGTTGGGGGATTCATCCATCCCAACCGGCGCCTGGCGTGGATTCTACCAACATCCACAGTATGGAGAGCATATTGTACACCTATACGAAGGGAGTTCGAAGCCTGCTACCAGCCCTGTGCCGTTTTGTTGGTCATTTCTGGGTTGCTCTAAGCAAAACCTTCGATCACCTTCTCACTCGCCCACCACCAAGCATCGGAAAAAAATCACAGGGGAACCCAGATCCGTCAGACCCAGTAGAACTGAGCTTTGGGCCAGTGGGAACTGAGCCCTTCTTTTGCAAGTCCTCTAAAAAGTTTGACCTTTCACTTTCAGTGGGAGAAAACTACGGCAAAAGCGAGCGAGACAAAGCTTGAAGCAATCGACTTTTTTACCTCTCTCGGCGCCTTCCAGCTCTCCTCTGGGTCGCCTGGGCCGAGCTTTTTAATTCAAACCCCGATGCAGGTCACAGACGTGTTGAACAAAACGAGAAAAAATGCCACGCGCCACAGCGGAAGGGCTTGCCAAAGAATCAAAGAAATGGGGCTGGTAGGGCTTGCCAAAGAGGAAGATCAAATTCAGAAGGGCCGGGCAGGGTGGCCTTTTACATGTTGACTTGAAGCTATGGACAGGATGCGGGGGCGATTTCCTGCTAGAACTGCGAACCAGGACAAGTCCAAGGCTGAGGTCTTGGGAATCTTGACCAAAGGTTGGAGAAATTCCAGGGCCCAAAAATGTCTGGGCGCTCAGATGCCCCGCTAAACGTGACTAACTTTTAGTGGGATAAATGGAAACTACCACCAAACATTAAATGGCCGAAAAGCTAAGGAACCGGATGGCTGGGAGCCACCAAAAAATGTCGAAAGCTCGGATTTCGGCGAGGAACCTGAATAAAAGAAGCACTGACTTGCTTAATGTTGACCCCATAATAACCAGGGGGTGTTCCCCTCCAAAAGTGGTCTGATTCCCCACTAAACCCAGGGAGAAGCACCCCCCCTATTAATAAACTGGGGTTGATTCATGTGCGGGCAGCATCTTGGGTGCTGTAGTTCCCCCAGCAAAACGTTAAAAACTTGTTGCTGGTTAAAAGGAAATATGAATCCAAAAAGTTAATGTCCAAAGATCCAACCCAATAGCAGAGACATTAGGAGACCTGCATTCACTTTCCCGGCCTCTGCCAGGCTTTGGCTCGGATAACCAGCTCCTGAGTGGGACATCGGAGCTTTGTCTCAGGGACCTCCCCGATTTGGACCAGAAGTGCGAGGTGACAAACTCAAGTTTGGAACCAAAAGACTGAATAAAGACCACAGAGGGAAACTAGGTCAAAAGACCGGTTCGCTTTGGGCAAGTGAGAACTAGATTATGACAATATCTTACGCTGAAGATCCTAAATCAGATCTCTCTTGATAAGTGTGGGGGGGGGGGGGGTCGATCAGGGGTCGACATAGAACACCCCTAAAATGCGCGTGGCGCGGCCATGCAATGGGGCAGTTGCCAATAGAATTCTCCCTTAAACCTTGAAACCAGCTGTTTCCCCTGGATTTGTGTGGGTATGGATGGATAGATGGTTCAATGTTGTTGAGGGGACTCCAAATATGGTGGCTTGTTTGTTCGTTTCCATTCAACCGAGGCACACAGATTTGGTACCAACTCCAAGACATACAAACCACACACACACACACTCGCCCTGAGTGGATTTGCCAAACCAGCGTGAACTTGTTCTGCACCAAAATGTGAGCCCCAAGTGCCGGACCCCAAAAAGCTTAGAGCTGGTTTCCGATCAAAACCCATTTTGTGTTGATCAGAACCTGCCTTTTGGGCGCTTTGGGGCACGATTTGTTTGGGCTGGTGCTCAAACAAAAGCCTTCCGCGCCTTGGGATTGAACCGTTTGAAACATTCCCTTCAAGGAAGCCTTTGCTGATGGGTTTCCTTTGGGGGTCATTCCATGTCTCATTCCCTGCCTCTCAACCAGCAAGTAATTTGCAGGGGAGGCTTTTTGACTCCGGAGTCTGTGCCGGACAAGCAAGGCAGCTTCCAAGTAAGGTAGCTTCCACGTCCTGTTCACGTGCCTGATGCAGGGGCGACTACCTCCAGAAACCTCAGGGGCAGCCGGAGAAAACAAAGAAGAAAAAAAAACGACGCTCACGCCCCGACGCTCCGCTCCGCTCACGTCGTCCTGATCCTTGCGGAGTGCTGCTTCGTGGCCCAGGTCCGAAGGCAGGTCCTGGCAGTCGACGCGCAGCTGAGCACATAGTTTTCTAGCTGTACCCTCCCCATCTCTTCAGGCATCATTCCCAAAGAATGGGCCAAAACCCTGGAAAATGGGCGGTGTCCAAAGATGGGTGAAGAGAATGGGGAATCAAACCTTCGAAGTTTGGCGGCTCGTCTTTTGGTGAGACTTGGTACCCCACCTTCTTTCCCCGTTGTGGTTTCAAAGGGAGACCAAGAGGAAAACCACAGTTGTGGGGGGGAGGGGGTTCCCGAAACTTTATACATAAATAAATGAATATATATATATTAAAAAAAACAAAAAACAACAAAACAAATAAATTTGCACCCCAGTCGGACATGCACTGAGTGTGTCACAACCTGTGGATGCACTTGCGAAATCCATCCAACACTTCAATCTGGTGCAGGATTTCGACCATCTGCAGTAGGTGCCCGTTTGATCGGGTGAGTACATACACCATTCTCCTCTGGGTAGTGGCATGCCATCGCAAATCAACCAACGTTTCTTTTGCAGCACGAAAAACAACGTTATGCAGTAGCACGTGATCCAGCAGGCTAGCAAAGGCAATGGTGCAATTGATGTGCCATCGCTGGTTGATTTGTTGTTTGGTTGGTGGCATGTTGAAGGTTTTTTGCAAATCCAAAGATCATGTGTGGGGTAAAGGGAGTCCACCGTGTAGTTCGGGCTTTGTTGGTGGGGCCACTTCTGGAGCAGTTTTTTTTTTTTTTTAATGTTTGGCCGGCTTTACGTTTTTGACTTCCTGTTCTGTCTCGTTTTCGCAGCCTCGGCCAAACGGCGGGGGCGGGGGGGGAAACAAGTCTCGTCTCATCCAGGGTGTCTTTTCTTTGAGGGTACCCCTTTTTCCTTGTGACAGTGCAAACCATTGAGCAACCTGAAAAAGAAACAAGGGTTGGGAGTTGGAAATTAACCTGAGAGCTGAAATTAACAAGGTTGTCCCTGAGAGTTGAGAAACCATTCTGTTGGGAAAAAACCGGGGTCCGGAACGACAAACTCAGCTCTCAGCTTTCCACTCTCAGTCCTACGCCAGACCTCCTCAGAGTCTGAAGCCCGCCGGCAGGTGGAGCTAGAGCTGGCCCTTAGGCATTCCACCCCAGATGTGTCTCTCTAAAAAAAAACGGGGGACCCCTTGACAGTAAGCTTGTGGCTATTGTTTCTTCTTCTTTTTTTGGGGGGGGAACCCCTTGATAGCAAGCTTGTGGTGTGTGGTTGTCTTTCTTTCTTTCTTTTTTGGAAAATGCTCTGGACAAGCAGTGCAGTAAGGTAATAAGGCCTGTATGAGCCCCCTTTGGAGACAAGGTTCAGATAACGAAGCCCGGTGTTGTTTGAAAAAAACCTGCCCGTTTAGGGCAATGGTCAAGGGCAGGGTTGTGGGATCCAGGATTTTGCCCCGCTTCTGTGATACAAGGACATGTGTCTGGGTTAGTCTTTGGGAAGCCCTTATTGTTGTATCACAGAAGTGCTCATTTCCCACAGCCCTGGTCAAGGGGGTGTTGGTCCCCTTTCTTAAGACCATGGTGACCTACAGCAATGGAAACAAAGAGACTAGCTGCGAAGGAATTTTTAACCACTAATTCTTTTTTGATTGAAGAAAGGAGGCTGCCCTGGTATCACACAAGCCTCCGGTTGCACATAATTTAGCAGGGGTCACTGGATTTCCCCCTGCAACAAATGTGTTACCCACTGGCGGTTTCAGTGTAAAATATGACTGGCCATCACTTTCAATGGTGGTTGTGAGGTTGACCCTGGATTCATAAACCTATTTATGCATACAGAAGGCGTCCCATATGTAAAAAGCTTTATCAAATACGGGTTTCTTCATCCGGGGTCAACACCAAGAAAGTGGCAACCTAAGCTCACTAAGCCAAAACCCAAAAGCGAAGTGCACCCCCAAAGCTCAAAAGCTATTTCAGGGGTCTCAGAAGTGGACCTCCAAAATGGATTTCGGCTTTCTATTGCTTCCTTCTAACTCCGCACCTTGTAACCGAGCCTCGCAAGAAGGCGAGCCCATTTTTGTGGTCCAGGTTTCAAGCCTGTCCATTCGTAGGGGGAAAGCCGAGTGAGTGAGCGAGCGAGTGACTGAAAAACCATGCCAAGCGGCAGAGCTGCGAGCGCAGAGGGCGGCAAAAAGTCCAAGACCTGGTGATGAGTCATGGCGCCTTCGATCTTTGGACGCCCAGGAATGGACCTGGACTTTTGTTAGGTGATCACCGATTGGGAACCAGAAGACGCACTATGATTCTATCTCTCTCTCTCTCTGCCCTGGCATCCAGAGGGTCTTGACTCAGCAAGGCGACGAAAAACGAACTATGGTTACCAAACCAACAACAAAATCAGCTCGTTTGGGTCCGGTCGATTCGCTTGGGGCGCTCGGCAGTGCTCTTGTACAGAAAATCACTAGGCTGAAATGGGCGCCTTTGCGTTCTGGCTCAGAATCAGCATGAGAATGTGGATGGCGGATTTGGGGTGAGTTCCCGTGCGGATACAAAGCGTCGGTCTGTTGCAAGCTGTTTGTCGAGGGTAAGGAACTTTCCAGGAGTCACCCCTTACGATCTCTCAATGGATCAACTATGGCGACAATTACCTGCTCGTTTTGAAGTGGAGCCCCGTTTGCAAGCTCAGAAAGCGATGTCCTTTCCCAAAGGAGTAACCCCAAAATCTCAGACACCCGCAAAACTGGAATTTGGCGCGTTTCTTCTGCTAGGTCCTCCAGATTTGAGAGGTTAGAATAAGGGTGCCCGTGTTTTTTTTGTCATTTATTTTCGTACGGGTTTCCCTCCCAACCCAAAAAAAGGGGTTAAGAAGGGCACCTATGTCCGGATAAAACCGTGTTATTTTGAAGCCTTCAGGGCTCAAACCCAGGGTGTAGTACAAAAACCCTCAGACTTTTTTGGGCTCCCCAGGGCCTCAAGGGCCTCAAAGGCTCTCTGAGGCCTCGCTCGGGGTGTTCCGCTCGCAAGCTCCGGCCGGGCCACTCCGAAGATCACCTCCGGCGCCGGCAGCAGGCCCAGGTGGTCCTCTTTCCTGGCGATGAAGTTGTCTCGTCGTCGCCCCCCTCCCCCTCCCCGCCCCAGCCCTTTGTCTAGCATGACCGCGGACAAGAAGCTTGTATTGGACCCCAAGTATCTTTGGACCCCTCCAAAAACATGTACAGCGCTGGTTGCAGCCCTACTGAAAATGAACAGACCCAACACAACTAAACAAACTATAACACTTGCCTATCATATATTTAAAGTCTGTTGAGAGGGCGAGAAAAAGAAAGGGACGAGTCAGCATATCCCACATCTTCCCCACGCAAGGCCCAGTCAAAACATCCGGGGAAAAGAGATCGAGCTGCAGGGTTGGGACGATCCCCATAGACCCTTGCAGCTGCGGGACAGCTTCCCGCGGAAACTCATTGTTCGAGACTTGCTCTCACTTGTTTGTGGTCGATCATGGACTTCCCAGATCAACTTCACGACAACCCCAGATTCATCAACTGGTTGTTTTGGTTGATCCGGGGGTGTCCCTTGTTAAGCATTTTTGGAGGGCCCCCCAAAATCAAATCTGTTTTTATCCGGGGTTGACCCCTCGATTTGATCAAGCTCTTTATCAATGTTAAATGAGATTGGACTACTTTCTGGGACGGACTGTCTGTTAATCTCTTCATGGATTAGATCATGTACTAATACATATGTATATATATATATATATAGTATCCGTTGACATCGAGACGAGACGGAGCCCCAACGACTCCGCCCATTTCTGGATCTCCCAAGCGGCCGACGAAGCAGCGCCGAAAACCGCGTGACTCCTGGACGGGCTGAAGCGCTCCGTGCCCACCAGGCAAGCCAGGCCATAAAAGCAGGAGCTCCATGGAGCCTTGGCCCAATCTCCGGACGTTGCCGAAACCCAACCAACTTCTAGCAATAAAAAAAACACCCCACATCGGCGTTTCCTGGTAGAATGTCCCTTTCCCTTTTAGCTGGTTTCTTTGCTTCGACTTGCCTAGGCTATTACAACGGGGGCACCTGAGGTTGGCGCCCTTCCGAGGTTACCACTTTATAAGTGGGTTGAACGCCCAAGTAGGTCCGGCCAGCCAAGATGTGAGCAACACGTTTGGCCCAGTGAGGGGGCCTTCATTTAATTTCCGTTTGAAGGTGCCCAAATGAGGTACGTACACTCACGACAATTTCCCGAAATGAACTGGGCCCACTAATGTGGCATTGTCAAAATCACTGCACCCTGAACATGGTGGCTTGAGGGAAAACATCGGTCCTCCTGTCGGCTGGAACCCACCAAATGGTCCCTCTTAAAGGAAAATGGTCTGCCAGGACTCAGGTTCCATGTTAGTGGGTGGGAATGTTTTGAGGACCCCTCAAAGTGCTTGCCTGTCGTCGACCCAAAACCACCAGATCCGAGCACCAGGCCCGGACTGCGACATCAGCCATCACCCGATTGCGGCCCCATGCCCTCGCCCGCCCTGAAAACGTGTCTAACAAGTGTCTCAAGCCAAAGGGCGGCCAAAGCGCGCTTCCACCGACACACCAAAGGACGGTGCAAACGCATCCCCCCTGCCTTAAGGGGGAGGGAGGGGGGTGGGGGTCCCCCAAATTCCATTTATACAGTCTTCCCCATGAAAGGGAAAACGGCACCAGAAATGGAATTCCAGGAATACCCCCATCCCTCAAGCCCCAAGAAACAAGCAGGTTGCCTGGCGCCGGAAGACATGGCGAACCGTGGCGAACCCTTTCCGTCTAATTGGAACAAGCGATTCCATTCGCCAAAGAATGCCACGGCCTGGAGTTGTCTTCCGTGTCCTGGTAGTGCAAGCAGATTGTAAAGACCTCAAGGCATTCGAGCATATTCGAGCCCAAGGGGTGGACCTAGTTGACTAGCCCAAGCTACCCTAGAAAAAGCCATGGTAGCCTATACCTTTTTGACTCCGGAGTCTGTGCTGCACTTATCTTGAAGAACAGGGAACACAATACCAATCAAGGTCCATCCGTACAACTGCTCCCTGTCACGCGCAACCTACGCCAAAGTAGTTTGAACATCCAAGTGACCCCGCGGACATGGGGTTCCTCCCAACGGTGGGAAGGAATACGTGGGGCCTCTCGAATGCCCCAAACCCACCAAACAATCGAGCCTATGTTCATCCTCACCTCCGCAAGAAATGTGGTCCTTTTGAAAACCCGCACAGTGTGCTTCCCAAACAATTGTGGCCATGTTCATCCTCACGTCCCGGGAAAACAAGTCATCTTGAGAACTTGAGCTCAAGAACTTCACCTCAAAATGTCTCACCTTGCGAACCTGACATCCTCCAAAACCAGTGGTCCCTTTGAAAACCCGCAAGGTAACCTTGAGAACCCAAGAACTTCACTTGAACATACCCTCCCTCGCACCCTTTGTGGCACCGGGAGGGACCGGGCCCTGTCAGGATGTCAGGTGCCATGTTGAGAGAGAGGGTGCCCAGACTTCCATTTGATTAAGGCCCCAGGAAAAAAATAAAAATGTCCAGTGGTGATGAATTCCTTTTCAGACCAACAAGGGAAAATAACGAATATCCTCAAGCAGATGGCAGAGCAATGGGCGCCCCCCGCACAGTGAGATCGCGAGGAGGCGTCGTTCATCGCGGTGGCAGCCGTGGTCCTCTGGGCGAAGCCTGCGACCGGGTTCACCAAAAGGCCCCTTTTGGGACCGTCGGTTTTTTTTTTTCTGAGGGTACCCGGTGGCCAAAAATCCATTTTGGGTCCCTCGGTGTGTTTCTCCCTTTTTTTCCGTGTTTCCTTGTTTTCTGAGGGTACGCGGTTGCCATTGAAAGTGTTTTTGTTTTGCCATTTGAAGTGTTTTTTGATGGCCCAAAGCTGTTTGTTGACCACTAAAACGGTCCAAACCCAAAAGTCGGAAGTCCATGCACTCGGAAGTGAGTTAAAGCCTAAAGATCCAGCCTAAAGATCCAATCAAAGCTTCACTACCCATCTTTCCCTGAAATTTGGCAACTGGTCAGTTCACCTATGCTTTCAGCCGTCCCCCCTGCGAAAAAAAAATGCACCAGGCTTCGAACTCCTGGCAAGATATGTAAAAACAACTAGGTTCTCCAGTAGTTAGAATAAGGGTACCCCTTTTTTCTGTAGTCTATTTTAGTAGGGGAACCCTCCCCGAAAAAAAGAAGACACGGTAAAAGAAGTTGGCACTACCGGAAAACCTAGTCTTGAAAGAATCTGCTAAACCAGCAAATTCTCAAAAACCGCTTGGGAAAAGTAACTGTCCAACGCCTTTTTCGCCACCCTGTGGCCCACCTTCTGCGATGAGGCGATCCAGGTGCTGCGTGTTGGCCACCACCTCAAACGAGGTAGGGCCCAGGGGTCACCTTCCCCGTGTGCAGTTTTCCCGGCGAAGGGCATCTTTTTGAAAGCTTCTATAGGCGTATATTCATGTATATTCCATTTCCATTCTATCCGAGGAAAATGGCGGGTTTTTCGAAAAGAAGGATGGCTGAAAGAATGGGGAAAATGAACCAGAAGAAAGCCGGTTTGAAGAAGGGTTGCAGTGTCCCAACAATTGCAATCATGTTGGCTCCGAATCCTATTTTGACACATCAAATCATAACCCCGCGTGCTTTGATCGCGCAATCGCGACCCGTCTTTCAGCAAACCTGACTGCTCTGCGCGCGCCTGCCCGACCTTCGTCCTTTTTTTCGGACGCTTTCCGCGAGATCCCGTCCCCTGCCGCGGATCGGAGTGCTCATCGTGGAGCGGGGGGGCGGCATGCGCGACCAGGGCCGCTCACCCAAATGCTCGCAGATCGCCTCCTGATCCGCGCGACCGCGCGATTTTGATCGGAGGGGCGCCGAACAAAGGAGGACCTGCAGCTTCGAGGTGTCCCCCCAAAATAAATAAATAAAAATGTCGGTCTTCCTTTTCTGGGCTGTCCTCAGATCCCCTGCTAAAAGTGACTAACGTTTAGTGGGTTAAATGAAACATCTAAAAGCCCAAGGAAACCAAACAGCTGGGAAGAGCCTCAAGTTTTGGCTTCCAGTCAGTAGCGAAATCGATTCCCTTTAAAACCAACAAGGGAAAAGAACATAACATATTGATTCATTCCAGCAAATGGAAGACATGGACCTCGACCTTCCTCCTGGCTTCCTTGCCAACCGAGAGGGGAAAAAACACTCGGTTGCTTTCTGCTCCCCTGCCAAAAGTTTAACTTTTGGTGGTTTAAGACGGAACACCCAGTAGTTTGCAAAAAGTTAAAGTCCTAACATCCCCGGGCAAAATGCACCAAAGTACATAAAACGACCCGCCCGTCTCGTCTCCGAGCGGCGTAGGCCGCGTGTGCCGCCTTGGAACTCGCCGTCGACTCCGCCGACTCCGCCTGCTGCCGGCGCAGTAGGGCGCGCTGGGCCTCCGATGTCGCACTGCCCGGTGGCAAGCCCAGGACCTTGCGACGGTTCCCGTTGGGATCGATGCTCTTTTTTTTTCTATCTCGTTCGGACAGAGGTATGGAACTCCAGAATGACAAAAAAACCTGACAGTTTTCATGGTCCAAATGTCTCATTACAACTTTTAAACTTGCTAATGCCGACTGGTTTCAGGGCTCGGCGATTCCCTGGTATCAGCGTGGTGGAACATCTTCCTGGTTCAGCACCACAGAACTCGGAGCTCTGATTTCCTCCCAACAAAAAGGAAACACACAACTGGGTTCGTGTTTGTTTCAAACGAGCATGTGTTCAACACACATGTGCATTGGAGTTGCTTTCCATGAAAGCTCGGAGTTGCTGCCATTAGATGCCCTATAGTCAAAAGCAGTCAAAATCAAAAAAAGGTGGGCATAAACATGAAGTTAACTCTGTGCTGCTCGAATCGGAGGATGGTGGAGAAAAATGGCAGAACGTTAAAACAGGAACACTGGATGCTGCCTGTCAAAAGTTGCAAGCTACTTTTGGAGCCGGAGGGAAATTGAGGAAAGCGAAGTCAGGATGGACCTTTCAACTACCAAAAGCATGGGGCAACCGCCCGCCTCGTAGTGCCGCTGTATGGCTATGGGCAGGTCCTACGGCCCAGAATCCGGGACCCCAACATTTGGTGTGTGTTTCTCCTTTTGGTCCAACCCTCCATAGAGTACTCTCGGAAAAAGAGAAAAAAAACAACGTTGGATTCTATTCCCGAAAGTTCATTGGACATTATTCAACCATCCGCAGAAAGAAATGGCCAGTTTCAACAAGTAACCAAAGGAATGTTCTTGTGTTGGTGCAGCGTGTGTAGGCTTGGGCCCCATTGGGATACCGGTACTACGTGGGCACGCCTGCAAACGGAGCGTTGGTCCTCTCGGCCTGCTGTTGGCAACTGCTCTACAAAGCAACACCTTTGCCTCGATTCTCATCAATTCCCCGCATTTTTGGCACGCACTGATCCTGAAACAGCTCATATCAAACCACCAAGCTTCCGCACACCTTCCGCGAAACAAAACACAAATCCCCCTCCGCGTGTGTTCGCGGTGCACATTTTAAAAGAAGCCGCCAAATGTGGAGAAGCCGCCAAACTGTTGGTTGATCTGAACCAGCCTAACCCCTCCAAACCTTGGTACCCATAGGAGCCTTGGAACGTCAGTATGAGGGTCTTTGACCCCCAACAGCCTTAAATGAGGCCCTTGGCCCATCGACCCACCGAAAAAGCCGAGGAGTACCCACCAGCGCCGCCGCCCACGGCGCCGGCGCCTCCGCCGCCTCCGCCTCCGGCGCCGCCGCCGCCGGTCGCGCCAAGCGCCGCACCAGGCGGCCGGCGGCGCTGAGGTCCACGCGGGCGCGGGCGTCCGAAGCCACGGGGTCTGACAGGCGGCCGTCGGAAGGCGCCTAAAAGGGACGGGAGCTCCAAAAGCTGCAGGAGGGTTGTTGGGGAAGGGAGCTCCCCAAAAAAAAACGGACCTTTTTGCGGGGAAGGGAGCTTCAGGAGGCTAACGACCTGATTAAGACTCAGAATCCAACGGCAGCCAAGAGTCCGTAGGCTCACACGGCACCGCCCGGCCCTTCACAGCTTCCGAACTCGCGGCGGAAGCGGTGGCAGCGCAGGCAGCTTTGCGCCGCCGCACGCGGCGCCAGAACTCCTCCTGATCCAACCGCCCAGAGCTTTTAGTCTTTCTCGGAGTTGGAACCCCAACGAGTCTGCCTCAACCAGAAGGGAAACTCAAGCCATTCTAGGGATAGTTGGTCTTAACCAGAAGGGAAACTGAAGCCATTTTAGGGATGCCCCTAAAAAAGACACACCCAATTGACTGATGTGATCTGGACAAGACTTCCCCATTTGGCTTCATGCTAAACATGCATCCCAAACTGCGTGTGAAGGAGACACAAATGTCCGCCCTTTGCACTTTAAGGGAAGCACCCGATTCAGCAGAACCCCTGGTGCATTCTTGTGTGGTGGGTGTCCCCTTTTGCGGGTTCAGACTTGGGTGTGGCTCAAAATGGAACCCTGGTACATAGAAAGGTAGACTAAAACCTGCGTAACCCCAGCTCCTGAATTTTGAGTTCACTTGCAGGGGCCTTCTCGCCCCCAGCCGCACCCTAGGATGACCACCCCTAGGAATGGTTCTACTTTGCTTTCCAACCCTTGGCATGGTAGCACAAAATATCTTTGCAGCCCCCTGCTAAAAAAAAAAAAAACAACCGAACCCCAAAAAAACAAAAACATCCAAAAACCATAGCAACAAATAAGTACAACAGTGTAGTCAGATCCGTTCGGTTTGGGTGATAACCCTTGGCATGGTAGAAAACTTTCTTTGCAGCCCCCTGCTGAAAAGCGGGAACAAACACATGCACAGAGCCAAAAACAACATTCAACAACTACCAACCAAAATTGACAAAAGTGAAGTTAGATCCATTAACATTCGGTTTGGGTGATCAACTTGTCTCCTCCTCCGCCAGGTCTTGGCTTTCCCGCGCGCTCCGCCTGATCTGCCGTTTTGTTTTCTTCGCGCGAAAGGGGCGGAGAAGAAACGCAGTGGTTACTTCCACTTGGTTGTTCGACCCCTGGGAAAAAAACTAAAATATTTCCAGTAGTGAAATCGATTCCAACTTTAAAACCAACAGGGAAAATAAAGAAGTATTCTTAAGGAAATGGAAGGTTATGGGGTGGGCCCAGCCTTTTTGCGTGTGTCTCAAAACAGGGGAACCCCCTACAAACGGTTGACTCTGTCCCCTGAACACAACCCAACGAAAAAGGTAGTTAGCAATCCTAAAAAGACAGAAAGACAGACCCACAAATATCCAGGGGAATCCATCTACTTCCGACGTCAACCAAATAGGACACCTACTGTGGACGGACGAAAATCATTTCACTCCACTTCCAACTCGTGGTTGAAATCATTCTCTCTCTCTCTCTCTCCAGCATCGTCGAGCAGGTCTCGCTCGTCCCAGATCAGGGATGCGAAAAAGAGGCACTAACACAGGGATTTCAACCATCGTCTCTTGGTATTTACCGGCGGCTCAACAGAATCCAGGGTTTCTCAACGGTGGCGCGTAGCAGCGGATTTCGCTAAGCGCCATCCACATGCATCCTTGGCGCACATGGAGAGTTTTCGGAGGGCTTCTGAATGCACGTCTCTTTTCCCGTATCATCTTAGGATCTCTGGGTTCATTCTCAAACCCGCGCTGCTTTCATTCCTTGCTGAGCAAATGCAAGTATCATCTAGGAGCTAAATCTTAGGATCATCCAAGAGCTGAATCAATGGACCCAAAAACAACCAGGGCTCAAGATGGACTCGCAAAAAGTTTAACTCCTTTTTTTTGGGATCCAATGGAAAACCCTTGAATTCCCAAAAAGTTAAAGTCTGAAGATCCAACCCAACAGCAATCAAGAAAACCCACGGATCCAATCCCTTGACTAGGTCCTCCAGTAGAGAGGTTAGAATAACGGTACCCCTTTTCTCTGTAGTCTATTTTAGTAGGGGACCCTCCGCAAAAAAAAGGGCAAAAGGGCACTACTGGGGGACCTAGAAGAGCAAACTCTTAGGATCAATGAACCCAAAAACCGGGGCTCCAAATGGACCCAACAACCCATGGATCCAAACCCTTTACCTTTCCGGAATAAATGGACCCAAAAGCCCGGGCTCAAGATGAACGCAAAAACCCATGGACCCAAAACCCATGGGCTGAAAAAAGGACCCAATCCGCAAGCCACGGGCCCCCCAAACCCGTCGCTGTCGCTTCTCGCCGGGCGGCGCCAGCTCCGCCCAGTTCCGCGCGCGGCGCTCCGCCGCGCCCATCGCGACGCCCGGCGGCGCGCGGGCCATGCGCCGGGCGCGCCGAGAGGGAAGAGATCCCGAATTGGACTTGGCGCCACGTGATCTGCAATTCGACTTAAAGTGTATCTTTCCATTTTTGTTGTGTTATTTTTTGGGGGGGGGATGGGGAGAGGGAGGGGTTCCACCATAACTTGGACCTGGAAGACGCTAGGAGTGGAGCACATGTCTTCATTTATTCACGGTAAGAACCTTGATGGGTAATATCGTTTTACCACCGCTTGGTCCAATTTCCATTCTAGAGTTGTGAAAGAAGAAATCAAAACGCATCCAACTCATCCATCTGTCCTCGACCCCGGATTAACAAACCAAACCCACTGTGAAGCATTCCCAATAAAAGGGGACACGTGCCTATTGAGTGTTTATTCATCCTCTGTCGAGACAGTGGAAGCCCAAAGAAAAAAAAAATCCAGCCAAAAGAAGGGGTCTCACCCAGATGTGTGATACGGATTTCCACTAAAAACTGAAATCAACCTTCCGATGTGCTGCTACCTCCGGACTGGATGCGCAAAAGCTAGCGGTGGTTCTTTGAAGACACACCCAGTTGCCCCATCTTTCCTGAGATGGCGGCTGGCCTTGCCGTCGGATATGGGGATTGACACTTCACAGCTTGCCTTCAGCCACAGAGACGCGCATCACATGCCAAGTGCATGGATGTTCGGGGAGTGCCCGTGGTCTTCCTTGCGCTGTGGTTAGCCACGTGGGTTAGAACCCCCAAGGGTAATCCCACTGAAGGGGGACTTGCAAGTGGGTTAAAGCTTGGGTCAATTACCAACAATTCACTTACTAACTTGACCACGAACACCCAAGTACGACGCGCAGTGGGCATACCTGGTCAACACATGCAACGTTTCTTCGCCAGACGCTTGAAACAAAAACGCCAACCCGAAGTCAACGACTCAGGGTTTTGCCAATGTAGCCTCTCAAGGCGGCAATGCAGGAACTTATGGCTATGTTTCCGAAAGGGAACCTTTGAACATCCTTTCAACATATGGGTATGACTTTTTGAGGGTAGCCCTTTGGGGTGGGTGTTAGCAGCCAAAAGGACAACCACCATACTTTTTGGGGGTAGGTGTTCGCAGCCAAAAGGCAAACCACATTTTTTCCGGGGAGTACTCTGAAGAAAGACCACCCATTTACACGAAAAGTTTGTTGACCGGAACCCATTTGCACTTGGCGACGTTGAAAACGCAACACAACTCATCTGCCTTTTATTTTTCAGCGCGCTTTGAGTCAGGCCTGGCGGTCGAGGTCCGACGAATCAACAACTCTTTCAGCTGAGGCCTGTTCCAGATGTGCCCACCCTGACTGGGCGAAAACCAGGGCAAGCATCAGGACTGCAGGGTCTGCTGCTCTTCACATCATCTACCCTAGCTTCACTCTCTCCATCCTACCGCAGGCATGACCCTGGAATCAGGCTGTACACATGTCCAAGCGCTTGGTTGGCCGGCCGGACGAATTCCTCATGCAGTTTTGGATCCCTCCAGCAGCATTGAAGCACTGGAGAGAAATGAGCCTTTACAATGCTCAAGCACCACGTCGAGCGAGGGCCGACGCAGAAATTCCGACCGCGCGACGCACAAAAGAACTTGACATGCGGGCGCAGTTCCGCCTTTCCCCTGTTTTGGAGCGGGGGTGTGGACAACTTGGCTTCAACGGAATTAGGGTTCAATTCTCCAAAGGTTCTCTCAAACCTGGGAACCCCCATGCAAATGGTGTTCTTTCTCTTTCCCGAAGCCAACCAAACAGGCACCAACTTCCAAATCCAAGCCACCCATCCCCCGGCTCCCTGGCTCGGCCCCCCATAGACCCAGTCACGCGTGTCTCTGGAGGTCCCGCAGCCTTTGACTCGCCAAGCGAGCGGAGCCCAATCCTCGGACGCCCCGAAGACACCTTGGGAGTGACCTGGAAATGGGGCTCACTTTTCAAAAAAATAAAATCTTAGGGGTCAGGGAACCCCCACAAACCGGATTCCGGATGTGGGCTTCTGGCTTCCTTTTACAAGAAGCATGGAACCTGGGGCTTCCCCATTGGAAACCCAAGACATGCTTCGCTCTCCTTTCGGCTTCCCCAAGCCAAGCCAAAAGGGATTTATTGAAGGTGCACCTCCTCACAGGTTTCTTCGTATCCTTCCTATCACCCGAATTGGTCTAGTTTTGTTGAGGGTGCCTTGTTTTCTCGCGGTTTGAATGGGAATTGACAACCACCATTTAGGGGGAGTCCCCCTGAAAACAACCCTCCATGTATCTAGTCTTCCCCACAACAGGCTGCATGGAACCATAAACAATTGCTGTCTTCAGTCTGGGGATAGGTCAGTTGAGTCCCTGGGACATCCGAAAAATCGCAACATCGAGCAACATCCAGCTGTGAAGCACAGAACAAAACAAGAACCCCCCCTCCCCCAAGGAAGGTCCCAAGCCTTAAGGGCACCTTAAACCTAGTCCCAGATGCTGCCGCCGCGAGCACTCGCACGCTTGGCCTTGGCGCTGACGCGGGTCAGCTCCAAAGTCGTGTGCTCCTGACGAGTCGTGTTTGATGCCCTCGATTTGGCTGCTCAAACCAACGGAGACCAAAAAATGGCATGGACAATGGAAAGACTAAACCCTGCGGCTAGCGTTGGCCTGTGGAGTTCACGCTAAAGTAGCTAAAGCCCAGGAATCGGTAGCCGGTTTGCCCCTAGCTCGTTAAGATTTTAAGCCACCCCCATTTCTTAGCTGCGTCCCCTGTTCCAAGCTAGTTCCACAGTTGCGACCCCTTTTTGAATTAACCTGGGCCTGGGGTTTAAATCCGCGAGCCACCACTCCAAACCACCCATTGGGGGGGGGGTTGCCTGAGCTACACGTGTGCGTTAGACAATATATCATGACCCATTGCATCGTTTGTTGAGGTGCTTGCTAGCTTGATTGCGTCTCAGTTTGCATCTTGTGCTTACACTCATGATGAAAACAATGCTTTCCTAACAAGCAACAGCAAAACAAACAGCATTGTCTCTCAGGCTCTCCACTGAGACTCTCAGGTAAGGCAAGTTACACGTGCAGCCTCAAAACTGTGGCGGGTCATCCTTTCTCCCTCCAGGTCCTGACTGATTCTGCTTCTTGCTTTTCGGCCTCAACGACTAGGGGACTCCAGGGCAAAAGTGGCTTCGGCCTGGAACAAAGAAAAATATGGGAGGGCCGGGAGCGGTTTCGCAGGAAGGGCAAGTGCGTTCTTGTCGGGCCAAGCTAGCAAGTGGGCAGCCACATAGCATATAACACCCTAGTGACAAGGTTTGTTAAATCCCAGTTAAGGGGACTATGCAAAAGAGTTATAACAGCTCCCTATATGTACCCTCAAAACATCACCCCCACCAACGAGCACTCACCTTTCACGGGCCAAAAAGGTGATGTCCGTGCTCCTTAGCGCGGCGCCTGAAGGCGCTCTTTGTGAAACCTCCGTCTAGTCCACTGTGACTCGACGGTATCCCCTTCTTGCAAAGGGATGGAAATCATGCGAATGTCTGCAACCAAAGTGGGCAGGTCCCCATTGATGACAGGGCAATCTGCCTTATTGCGAAGTGCTTGCGTTATGTCTTCGTGGAAAGGGAACCACGGCCTTTTCTGAAGACCGGGTCGTGCCTGCAAGAAATCGAGGGCCCAGAGGCTTTGAGGTCTGCTGCAATTGTTGCAAGGGAATAATTCGACCCCCAGACTTTTCCCAAGGCTCGCAAACTTTTCTCAAAGCTAATCATGCGCTTTTGCATAGTCGGCTTAATGAGTTTCAACACTTCGTTGAGTTCTGGCAATGTGAAGAGTGGTCGATCATCAGTGCCAAGGTTAACTGGGATGTCCAACATTGGAAAGCTGAGAAGCAGCTCGATCCATGAAACACCCCATTCATCTTCCTGGACGTGAGGCGCCCAGCGAAGAGTGGAGACCCAATGATACAGCCTAAGCATATACGTAATTCCCCAAAACGCTTCGTCACAGCATCGTTCATCAAACTCTGGCAATTTACGAGCGTGCCAAGTGCTATGGACACTGCCACATAGTTTCAAAACCGGGTCACTTTGTACCAAGTCCTCTTTTTCGGTTAATTCACTCAATTGCAACTGTGAGATCTTTCCTAACAAAGTGTGCGCTTCTTTGACAGCTTTCTCCGCTCTTAAGTTTGCAAAATGCAAAGCGTTGGTCTTGCCGACAATATCCTGGTTGAGGGAGTTGCGTGCTTGATTTGCAGCGATATCCGCCGCATCGTGTCCAATGCACGCCCACTTGTCTTCAAGAGTATCTAAGTCGGCAATTTTACTATGGGATTTAACTTTTGCCACAGAGGTGCGCTCGCGACCGAACATCTGCACAGCTCTACACGCGTGATGTATGGTTCCAAATCGCTCTGGACGGGGCTCGTCCCATGATGTCGTTGGTCACATGCGTATGAGCTGTCGGTGTGAATAAGCTTTCGCTCAAACAAGCAAAACGCATGGATGGCAGAAAGCTCTGCTCGATTTATGGTTTGGTTGCCGTGGATGGCTGATACGGCAACACATCTAAATACACCAGGGATTTTCTTATCGCGTGTGTATTGGTCGAGAAATATTTGCTTTGCGGCGACACTCTGAATGCAATCTGCAATTATTGCGCAGGCCGCAACATTTTTGACATGGAACTGCCTGACCGTGCAACTCCCATCCGTGAAAACGTTGTGGTGCTGCGCAATCCAGTTGCCGGTGAGTGGTGGTAAGGGCTTGCATCGATTCAATCTGGTGATTTCACTTTCGAGGTCATGTGGTGGAAAAAGCGGGAACTCGGGGCTGATGTTTAAAACCACCAAACAGAGAAATTATAGGGGCCCCTGTACAACCTAGGCCACCGCCAACTTTCTTTCTTGAACGAACACCCAAGTACCCCGTCCTCCTCGAGGGGCCGCGCTTCCTCGGTGTGTGGAAGCTCCAGCCCCTCAAACCCCCTGCGGCAAAACATCGAAACGAAAAGCACAACTTATAGAGAAACCAGTTTCCCCAGGGAAAAGAAGCAATCTAAGCCACAGTTTCCA